TGTTTTTGTTCTTTTAGGATCTCCCTGGTCTTTGTTTCCTATGTTGTTATTGTTGTTGAACTTAATGCTGCCACGCGCGGCGCATTATGCCCGATGTATTTCTCCTTTCGCAAACATCTAATAAATTTCCCTTTTAATGTGTCCAACCAAAATGTATTACTACATGCGCCTACAGATCTTTCATCCCCTACGACCCCATATACTACAACAAGTAACCTGATTTTTCTGAGTGGACGGAATAATAATAATAATAATAATAATAATAATAATAATAATAATAATAATAATAATAATAATAATAATTCACATCGTAATTCATTATAATTCATGAATTATAATTTGTTGACTTCTTTTTCTGAAATGAAGATAATATATTTTTGATGAAATTACCGGAAAGCATTAATTTTTTATGGAAGGATGAAATTAAATTAGTCAAAGTGTTAATTATTATAAGGAAAATGACTACCTTAAAAGATTTTGGGTTGAAATCAACCAGAGTGACACTTTAGCATTTCAGTAGTGTTTGGTGTTATTGGTCGAAATGGGCCAAATATTCGCAAAGGCTATAGATGAATTTGGATAAACGGAAATCTGAGACTCGTGAAAACACGATTTCCTTAAAACAGATTTGCCCCCTCCTAAAGTGTTAGAGGATTCGTGAGCATTTGTTTCCCAGGATACAACAGAAACGTAGAGACAACTTAGCACAAACTCTACAAGCGAACGTGAACTTAGAACAAACTGATGAACACTAAAACAAGAAGGGAAAAAGGCTTTGAAAGAAAGCTATAAAAGAGGAGGAGGAAAAGTGTGTAGAACTTTGGAAAATGAGTGCCTATTTATCGGCTGGAGAAAATTTTTCAAATGTCAGCAAACCTCATAACGGTTTTATCACTTTAATGCAATGAATTCTTATTACATAAACCTCCAAAACGGTTTTGACAATTGAAGAGTCACAAGAATTCATTCTGCCATTCATTTGCTCATTCAACACCAATGAATATTGCAATTCAATTGCAACCTTTCAGTTTTCCTTCTAACTGAAATGAATGAACATTAATCTCCACCTTAATATTTGGTTGGAAAATTCATCCGAACCTGAACAAAACATGGGTTGATCATGCCCGCAAGATTTCGGTCCAATATTTGTGTCCGCACGTCGGGCACATACACGAGTTAAGCTAAATCGATAGCATAAACTCAAATTTTTAATCTATGAGAAAACAATTCTCGTTCAAATTAATAATTCATTTCCAACAGGTGTTACCTTCTACTCTCTCCGTTCCGAAATTATTATTCGGTTTGGACTTATATTTGACAAACACTATTATTTTAATAGTGGGCTTTCATATGAAGACTAACCTATTGTTAGAAACATGTTACTATGCACCCTTTTTACTTTTTTTTTTTTTGTGTATGAAATTATCGCGTTGCAAGTAATATATTATTATGTGCCCGATTTAAATTTACAATTTCAAGGGTATCTCATTTCAAAAAAAAAGTGGTCACCCTGCGCTAAGCGCGCGGGTAGAAAAATCCTAGTTAGATTTTATAATGAGATTGCTATAGGATAAAAATCCATGGAGTGTGGGAAGGATGGTAATGTTGCCACCATATATAGGATTAACGCTTCTTACTTTTCCTTCTTCTTCGATCATCTAAGGAAATCATGTCATACATATTCGTTACTTCCGTCTTCTTTGAATGATTTTCTCGGTGAGTATGAGAAAATTTTACTGTCCGAGAATGGGTAAATTAAAGAGTGTAGCCGGCTAGAAAAAAGTTAATGGATACTCATTTTAGGTTGGCATAGTGTGGGTTAGTGTTGTGAAATGGGTTGGGCTCGTAATGAAATTAAAAGGTGTGGAATGGACATTGCCCATTTCATCATGCTCACGTCTATTATTTGATTTGAGCTGGTTATTATATGCATAAGTCATTACAACCAAAAAAAAGAAAAAAAAAAAAAAAACCATTTTATTTGGCTTTCAGCAACGTGATATGCCAACGTCAGTAGCTGAATTGAATAGATTCCGGCGATTAAATCTATATGTGTATGAATATTTAGTCTGTTTGTTATTAAAATTATGTTATGACTCGATTCTAAGGAGTAAATTGATCATTTTTATCGTAACGAGTAAATTATGTTTGTGATAGTTTGGGCGTTTTGATATACTATCACAACGAGGTAGTTGACAAACTAAATAAGGAAAAAGGAAAATCTAGCACCAAATTTGGAGGTATTCTCGTATAAACATAGTAAGATGTGCAAGCAAAATCTATGGATATCCGACATATGGATAATGAGTTTGATGATGTTTGTCTTAAACACAACAACTTAGCAATCAAACCTAACAACAATTTTGTTAAAAAAAAAAAAAATGGGTACAAGGTTTTGACAACAACAATTAAACTAATTTTAATTATGCGTTGCTGACAGTGCAGTGACCTGGTTGTGGATTGCTACAAAAAGTTACATGTGGTCCTGCTGGAAACTTGGTGACTCAGCTCCACCTGTAAAGTGCACCTCCTTTCTTTTCTGTCTTTTCCTAGGGGCTATTTCTGATTACACATTTATTTATTTATTATATTTTCCTTTTGGTATATTTATAGACTGTATCCACCACAATATTAGGTTTTGTTTGTTTCTTTTTTTTTTAATGATTTTTTTAAATTAATATATTAATAATTTTCCCATCCCAGCATATCTTTTTACGTTTCCAACACACTTTCTTACATTTTCAATATAAAAAACAACTAAAACTAAAAAAACCAAACAAGCATTATACTGTTTGTCCAATACTCATTCTTGGTCGTTTCCGATCCAAAATTAGAATCTTGTTTATTACATTAATAGAATATTTATTCTGGTTCGATGTGTAATAAAACTTTTTTAACTAATTCTAAAATGAATTCCTATTTTATAAATAGGATATATGATGCGGAAGTACAATAAACATTTGGGGGGGGGGAGGTGGGGAGGGTGGGGAGGAATAAAGACTATACGTTAACATTTTTTGTTTGAGGTAAAACTACATATAGATTTATATGAGACTTCAAGGTTAGTGATTATAATCTTTCATCGCATTCAATTGTTAAGCAGGGCACAAATAGAAGTTCAGAACATAAAATAATTAATGAGTTTCTTGTTAATTGCTGTGATTGAAATTAAAAGGTTGTGTTAAAAAAATTGGATGGTTTTCTTTTAGGGACAGAAAGAGAATAATACAAAGTAAACTTATGTGTGGTTATTTTTTAGTAGGTATTTTTCAAAAAAAAAATAATAATTTTTTATTCATATATTTCATATCTAAATATTTTTTTTTTCTAAAAAAAAAATCCAAACGGAGCCTTTGCTAACAACTATTACTGTTACATGGAGTAGCAACAGTCGGGGACACATAAAAATAAATCACGCTGAGTCACTGAATGATTAAACTAATAATAACCGAAATGGAGGTCATTGTTTATGTTTTAGGAGTTAGTGGTTTGAATAGCGAAATCACACAAAAGTTAAATAAGACTAGTTTTTAAAAAACATCGCTTTTTGGTAGTGAAAGGGCAAAAAGTGCAGGGGGTAATGGAGAATATTGATTTCTTTAGGAATAAACAAATGAATTGTGGAACCTCTTTGAACCCTTTCTAGGAATATTAAATTGCATTTATTCGGGCGGTCACTCAAAAATGAAAAATTATTCAGGTGGATAAAAAGCCTTTTTGTCAAATAGAATATTATACTCTTTTCGTCCCAAAATTATTGACAGTACATTTTTATAAAGACTTTCCTTCCTTGTTTGTGTCTCCATTGATGACTCTTTGATCGACTCCTCACAATTTTTTCTTTTTTTTGGGGGAGGACAATAACACTCCATTGTCACCGGAAGTGTTTATTAACCGGTGATTATGGACATATCATGGTGAAAATAATCCTCTGATTCTTTTTGGTAAGTAAAATTATACCGACAATTGTTTTTTTTCATACACAAACACAATAGCAATCTTTTACATTGCAAAATATTGCATTTACACCTTATCCACCAAAAAAGAAAAAATGGAAAAAAAAAAAATCCGAAATCCTGCCAAGCTGTGGCTTTTTCGCGTAGAATCTTTATGCCAAGTGGCAAAAATGAAGCAAAATTCCGACCAAACTGGCGAAGGAAGTTATTATCCAAAGCAATAAAATCATCCGTACCTGTGCTTCAAGAGCGTGAAACCCACCACTACTGTTACATGGATATATGGATTATTATGGACAGCCCACCTAATTTCTCACAAGCAAAGAGTAGTATTACTCCAACACCGTGAAAGATTTTAAAAATATGATAGATGGAAAAAGAGAATATATCCATACATAAAAAACAAATGATAAATATAGTGAAAAAAATAGTGACTAATATGAAGTTTTATAACGTTTTTCGTTGAAATTTTATTTTTATTGCAAAAACTTACATATTTACTCTTAATTAATGAATACATTTTTTGGTGGAGGTGATATTTTTGTCTTTTCACAAGTAAATATCTCATTTTATTATGCAGTAAAGCGTCACTATTTTTATTATTGCTCATATAAAAATTAAAAAAAAAAGAAATTTGAATTAAATATCAACAGACCACCTTAACTTTGCCTCCAAAGTCCAAAGAAAACCAAATTGTTAAATTGAAATATTTTTTTCTTTCTTTTCTTGTAGTTTCATTAATTAATGAACAGAAAAAATATAAATGACCCAAAACACAATTATATGGATAAGATTAGGGAAAATAACAGGATCAAAGTGAGTAATTATAGAATTAATTACTAGTTGATTTTCAACAAATCTTTTACAGAAATCACCTGATAAGTGAGGAACACAGCCAAACCAAAAAAATTTTGATTCTTGATCTTGCTTTCGTGTTCCACACGCTCCAACCATCGCGTCTCCTTCCTATATTTCCTTCTACCTCCACGGTGTACTCGATAAGAATAAAGATGCCCTTTCCTCTTCAAGCTACATTCTTTCCCTCTTGAAACCTGAAAAAAAAAAAGGATGTCGACCTGCAAAATTTCACCTCCAGCAAAACACACACTCACGCACTACCATCCTTACGTGTCTTGATGTGAAGATCCCACCTCAATTTCCTTCCCAATTTGCCATTTCTTCCAGAGGGAAATCGACCTTTCTTTTCTGTTTCTTCCCTGGTGGCAGCTATTTAATCCTGCATGCAAAGATGGGTGCTAATGAATCTTCGATTCTATCTGAGCCAGATGTGATTCTCTATCCATCAATGAAACCTAAATTGAGTGACATACCGGAATCTTGCGTGGCCTCGGTATTGTCCTATCTGGACCCACCGGAGATCTGCCGATTGGCTCGCCTGAACAGGGCTTTCCGGGATGCTTCCTCTGCTGATTTCATCTGGGAGTCTAAATTGCCTTCCAGTTATGCCTATATTCTCAAGTTATTGTTGCAAGATGAGAAATATAGGCGTTTGAGGAAAAGGGATGTTTATGCTCTGCTTTCGAAGCCTAATCCTTTTGATGATGGCACAAAGGTTTGATCTTTGTCTATTCATGAGCTGTTAATCTTTACCTTTGGGGTTAAAATTTTGATGATTTTAATATAAGTGAGGTTTTTTATTGTTCAAGGAACTAACTTTATGTATTGGGTTTGATTAGGAGGTTTGGATTGATAAGAGCACAGGAGGGGTATGTTTATCAATTTCGTGGCGTGCGATGACCATTACTGGCATTGATGATCGGAGATATTGGAATCACATTTCTACCACTGAGTCAAGGTCCGTTCATTCATGGGGTTTACTTTCTTTTTATTTTTTCCCTTCTTTTTGGGTGTGCCAAATTGCGAAATTTGCAGTTGAAAGTTGTTTGGTGACTTTTCATTTGTGTTTGTGTTGCTGCGAAAATGTAAAATTATCTATGTTTTCTTCGCGGAAAACTATTCATTTCTATTGACCAGAAGAGCATGAGATATTTCACCCACCTCTTGATGTTGACTGGGTAATTTTATAAATATGTCCAAGGTACACCTTGATGATTTGCTTTTCTCTGGATGTTGTTTACTGTTTACATAAAAAGGCTTTCTTCAAATCGAAAATATATATATTTGCTTATTTGCTTCTTATTTATCTATGTGCTTCCTGATGCTTCAAGGCGGTTGTTGGTCGTTTATATATATATATTTTTTCTAATTTTGTCTTGACCAAGAAAAACTTGTTATGCTTTCCTTCCGGAGGATATCAGTCGTCAAATGCTTCTCCTTGATTATGATAAGAAAATCTAATGACCTTAGAGTCTCAAAGAAACTTGATATGTATGAAGTCCAAGGAAGAAGTGGGGGGAAGGGTTGCTTCTTTTGTTCACAATGAATTCCAAACTAAGAGAAACGTATTTGAAGTCAAAAAGAGTGAAGATTCCTGAAAGTTTGAACTGCATTTTGGATGAGGCAGCCTCTTAGATTGAGCCAACACACAGGATTGTTGCGGAGGTTAAGAATATTAAATAATACAGTGTATCTATGGGTTGGATTGTCTCGCAAAACTCTAGTATGCAGGCATGGAAGTATATAAAACCATCACACTAATCTTCATTAGGATCTAGATCCTGCCATGAATAATTGAATATGGTTAAATTTTGTTCTCGAATCGGTGAATATGTTTGGAGCAACCATAGTATTTTGTCTGATTATTGCAGCATCCAAAAGTGTGATGAATAATAAATTTCGTTTGGTGCTTCAGTTCGTATAAGTCGTGAAACTTGATGGTGAACAGAAAGACAAGTTTGCCTAAAAGGATTTTTGCAAAAACTATTCCTTCGCGTATTTTATTTAAGGGCCCAAGCATTGAGACATTTATGTGTGGCTTAATAAATAATTACACTTAGAGGTGACATTGCTGAAAACCGTTACGTGTAGCTACAAAAGGATGGTTATTTAGAAAGTGAAGATTTGGTGCTGTTTATTCTCATAAACGTTTAATTTGCAATATCAGCTGTAGTTGTGGTTGTGCATACACATCCCTGATTGATATGTTGACCTGTCTGATGGTTTGAAATTTTCTACTTTCCTGAATGAGTTTCCACATGTTGTCAGCTGTTCAGCTAGTAACAACCATTCTTTTCTCTATGAGAGTATATTTTACCATTCCGTTCCTTTATTGTTGGCTGCTGATGCCGCCCAGCTAAAGCAGAGTTTCTAGATTTGCTGACTGGCTTTCTTCCTTATTCCTGCAGATTTCAAACAATGGCTTATCTCCAGCAAATATGGTGGCTTGAGGTTGTAGGTGACTTTGAGTTTCAGTTTCCATCAGGGACGTATAGTTTATTTTTCAGACTTAAGCTAGGAAAGGAAAACAAGAGGCTCAGTCGATGGTATTATACTACTTCTGAGAACATACATGGCTGGGACAAAAAACCCGTGCAGTTCCAGTTATCAACCTCAGATGGTCAGCATGCAACGAGGCGATGTGTGCTGGACAACATAGGAAAATGGGTAAATTACCATGTAGGAGATTTTGTTGTTCAGGATTACAATTCATTGATGAGGATAAAGTATTCTCTTAGTCAGATTGATTGCACCCACAACAAAGGAGGTTTATGTTTAGATTCAGTTTTGATTTGTCCTTTTAGTGTAGGGAAGAACTTGGATATCTTAATTTAGGCAGTGACCTGCAGCAGCGTCCAGGTAAACATCAAATCAATCAGAGCCGATCAAAGTACAGATTTGTTTTCTGTTCAGGGGAAGCAGATCCATTTCTTTGTGGGAAGAGCATTGATGCCTTTGTTCCATAGAGTTTTTCTTGTTTCCTTCCGTTTTTTGATTGGTCTGTGGTTTGGTTTGTCTGAGTTTTGTAATTTTGTCACCGTACAGTCTGTAAATATTTGTATACACAATGACATTTTTATTTCTTATGGTGGTTTGAATCAAGATAAGTTATTCAGTGTAGTTCTCGTTCTTCCTTCACAGAGTGAAAATTTTGGGTGTAAATTAAAATTGCCAGTTTCTACCGTCAACAGTATGAAAGAAACACTAATTTTGATGATTTCAATCCCCCAGAAATGTTGCTTGCTTCCCAGGATTGGAACACACAAGGCAATATAACACGGGAAAGGTAGGCGGAACATTGGTCTCCTGCACTTGACGGGAAGCACACAGCACAAGCACACAGCACGACCCAAACAACGGTCACCCGAGATAAGCAACCAACTCTACCCGTGTTATCAACACCCGGGAACGAGTCACACAGCGGAAGACTATAAAACGACTAACACTATAACTCACTTAGAAACAGTACACAACGAAAGACTATAAAACGACTAATACTAGAACTCACTTAAAAACGGTTCTCAACATAACCGAATCCAAGCACACAAGATAACGTGAGTTTGGGAGAATGAACAAGCAACAACAACACGACAAATGCGTGGAACGGGCTCCAAGCCCCGGAACCAACTAGCCCCTGTCTCTTATATTATCAACTCTATACAAAATACAATGTACAACACTTGCACTCTCACAACCTCACCAAGAGAACTCTAGCTATCCTCTCCAATAGAATACTAGAAAACTCTCCAAGTACTAGCACTATATCTAGCACTCACCCTATCAAGGAAAATTTTGATTAAACCAATGACTAAATACCAAACAACATATTTCTAAGGGTTTTGAGTTTATTCACACTTCATCCCTCTCAGAGTCTGACTCTGAGATAGGGTTGTTTCTAGTCAATCAACAGTCAAAAGCATCATCTATTGGCGGCTGTTCCAAAATATGTAGTCCTAGAAGATGAAATTCGAAACCAAGTTTTCGCCAAACTATCAGCCACCCTATGGGGCAAATTCCTCAATTCGTGAATTCGTAGGAACCACTTAGAACATCCTCCAGGGGTAGATATACATTGTTATTATGATGCAAACAAGATACCTTGGCAATCCCACGGCGGATATGCTTTGAACAGGGGCCACGCTGATAATAAAGACTCTCGTTTTTGTAAAGTTTCCCAACTAGAAATCGATCAAACTTGTTCGTGCGATGATTATAAGCATAAACTGGCGTCTTGTAATCCTTATATCTCAAAGAAGGCTCACCCATCATCAACTCCACATCCATTGGAAGAATTTCAGAAGAAGGAAGGAAATCTTCATACCTAAACTCCACATTCATCAACAGAATTTCACCAGTAGGAAGATTTCCTGCATCCACAATCCACTCCACCCGGCCAAGCTCTTGAGGAAATGGTACACAATGCTTGCTCCATGTGTTATCATTTTCAAACACAAAGAGCACAAAACATCCGGAAATAATAACCCATATAGCCGGTCGCCCCATGGATTGAATGAAAACAATGCGAGAATGAAACGTACTTCTAACATCCGCTGGAACCTTAACCAATTCGAACTTCTCATTGTTGAGATCAAAAGACAACAAATAATAGTTCCTACATAACCACCATAGGAACCCATCAGCTAAAACTGAACCTTCCGAGAGAGAATTCACACCGGCCGGTGCCGGTCGGACACTCAGACCACATCCATCATTGTCCAACTTCCTCCATTCAGATAATGAATTAGATGGTCTTAAGGTCATTACCAGGGCAGTCAGCTGATTGGTAAATACCAATTGAAGCAATTTGTACACCTTGATTCTGGGATCATACCCAAGATAAAACTTGATCAGCCGATTACTAGTACAAGATAAAGGGTCAGGAAGTCTCATCCCCTGCCCGGTACAGAGGTTGTAAATACGTAACCGGAGATTTGATTCACGGACACATATGAGGCCGTTGACCACCTCGGTGGTCAACTCTTCCCATTTGTTATAACTACTCAGCCCCTTTAATTGGCTTAGTTGATTGAATTCTTCTGCGGACTCCTTGGATCGTCGGAGAGTGGAGTAAACGGAATTCAGGCGAAAGCCTTGCCAGTGAATTTCCTCTGCCCAGTACATTATCAGGCTTGGTTCCCGACTCCGGTAAACCTCGAAAAAAGTGCGGCTCTTGATCATGGATAACCAAGACTTGCACACACATTTACAGAGTCCCAATGGCTTGCCCTGAAGCCTGGTCAAAATCTCAATCAACAAATCCTCCGGCAGCATCATCATCATCGTCATCGGCAAATATTTCCCGCCGGAGCCCCGCATCCCTCCTGTGCGATGATCTATAGATGCATGTAGAAAAAAGAACATATCATCTGGATCTATAGAAATGAACCCATTACTCCCAAAAATATTTAGAAATATTCACAAGCAGTCGCAAATTGGGGGGTGGGTGGGCGGGTGGGGATTCTGATTGATTATAACAAATTAATGTGTCTCCGTACAGGGGATTATATACTAATCCTATTATTATGCGTATTACATACGCGGTCATATTTAAGAGATAAAGTAGTAGTTTCACACTAACTTTATGAAATTTACAAGTATTGTATATGAACAAGTCCAGAAGTTGTTAGTATGGGATACCCTATATATTCATACAAAGAATACGAGGATAGGATAGTTATATTATGGATTCTTGGTTTACCTAAGCCTCCGTTCGATAATCACTGAACTCCGAATCTGAAAACTTAACATTTAACATTGAACTCTGAAATCTGAAGACTGAATTTACATTATTTGATAAAAATGTCTGAAGACTGAATACTCATGTCTAAAAGTTATTTAAAATTTTAATATTATTAAAATTGAATTATAAACAAAAATTCTTTTAAATATAAAATAACTAATATTCTGTTCTTAATAATAAATAATAATTTTAAAATAAAATTTTTGTATATATAATGAAAGTAGATGTTACACTTGGTAAATAATCAATATATAATTAAATTTAGATTATTACATATATGTGTATACCTTGTCATTTAGCAAATTTCATGTATTAAAATTAGTTTAATTTGAGTTCGAAAGTTTGAGATCTTTTATATTCATAATATAAATTCAACTTTAAGCACTCTTAATTAATTTATCTTAAGAAAATAAAAGTTTTAAAACAATGTAAAAATTAGCGACAAAATAAAGACGAGGGAAAAAAAAGAAAAAAAAGAAAAAAGAAAAAAAAGAGTAATCACAGAAATTAAGTGATAAGTGATAAGGGGTAGGCCTATCACTAATTTTCTGGCTCACAATTGAACTGGCCATTCAGACGCATTTAATTAATTCAGACGTTGAAATTTTAATTATCAAACGCACTTAATTTATAAGTACTTAATTAGTTCATAACTTAATTCATTAAGACTTTGTAGTAGCAATTATCAAACACACTTAATTTCATTAAGTACTTAAATAAATTAAGTCATTATATTAAGTGATTATTAAACACAGCCATGCATCGGTATTCTGATCATCATCTATTCAAATAAATAAATAAAATAAAATTTACATTCGTTTTAAGTAAGATGCAGTTCCTCGTTTACTGAATGAGTTTTGTTGGTCTCCTAAAACTTTGAAAAAATTGGTCGATCTACCCAAACCTTTACATTCGTTGTCAATTCTATCATGTTCTTTTTCGGTTAGCCAATAATACCCTAATCTATCAAACCGTTAGCCGATTTTGTCCAATTTGCCAATTTCCGTTTAAATTAACGGAATTATGTTAGTTTTAATTAAAAAATTTACCCTAATAGTTTTAAAAATTATAAAAATGACCCAAAAAATTTGCAAAAATAGCAAGTCTTTTTTCAATTTTTATTTAATTTTTTCTGTTTTTTTATTTCTTTTTACTATTTTTCATAACTATAAAAATATACTATATGATATTTAAAAAAAAACTATTTATTTTTAAACAGTACTGTACAAATTTATAGATATAAATATACATATTTGTAACTCATGGTTGATTTACATAAACATATTAATTTTTCAATAATATAGTTTAACAGTAATGATACTATTTTAATCCATTTTTTTTTTCAATATGAAGAATAAGATTATTTAACTAAAACTAATTTTGCACAAAAAAACAAAACATTTAGCATAGATTAAAAAAGAATTTATTGGTATACTTTAATGTATTACAATTTAATTCAACAGACTTTAGATTGTATTATAAAATTAAAAAAATAATTAAAACTAATAAATAAATTTTCTTTAAAAGGCCAAACATGAACATAAAGTTAAAAAAAAAACCTATTTCGTTTCTATATTGACCCAACACAAGAATATAGTGTCGTGACATTTACAAAAATGGTAAAAAACTATTTTATAAAAAAATATGTATATTTATCATTGAGAGAGTTTTATATTTTGTGATAATTTTTTGAGATATTAATATATCTAACTTTAGCAGGAAGTCTTTTTTGTTTAAAAAAAATAATAATAAAAAAATCTACTCCAGTACTGGATTCCGCCTTTTTTAAAAAAACAAAATTAGATAGCCCCAGTGAGACCTCGAACACAGTAATAATCATCTCATATCTTAAATCACCTGACCATCCAACTCAACCCTCTCATCTTTAGTAGACCTCGCTAAAATATAGATAAAATCACTCTCTCACTTAAAAATCCTTTGGTGAGAATTAATCTTATATCTACTCTCATGAAACTGAACACCCTAAACACTAGACTGTGCCATATATTTTAGTTTATTATTTTTTAATTAGATAATACAATTTATAGTTTGTTCAGTTAATTTGTAATAAATTAAAATATACTAATATATAATTTTTTAACCTATGCTAAATGTTTTCATGTTTTGTAAAAGATTGGTTTTAGAAAAAAAATATATCTTATTCTTTAAATTGAAAAAAAATAGATTAACAAAATAATATCATTATTGTCTTGTCTAGCAATATTATTAAAAAAGTTAATATGTTTATGTAAATCAACCATGAGTTACAAATATGTATATCTATAAATTTGTACAGTACTGCTTAAAAATAAATTTTTTTTTTAAAGATCATATAGTATATTTTTATTGTTATGAAAAATAGTAAAAAGAAATAGAAAACAAAAAAAATTCGATAAAAACTGAAAGAGACCGTTTTGTTATTTTTAAAAAATTTTTAGGGTTATTTTTGTAATTTTTAAAACTATTAGGGTATTTTTTATAATTAAAACTAACATAATTCGGTTAATTTAAACGGAAATCGGTAAATTGGAGAAAATCAGCTAACGGTTTGATAGATTAGGGTAATATTGGCTAACCAAAAAAGAATAGGGTAGAATTGATAACGCATGTAAAATTTTGGGTAGACAGTTTTGTGGTAAACAATATTTGCTTCAACCAACGCAAACAGAAAATAAAATAATCCTTTTATTCCAAATTATTTTTCAGTTTAGATTCACTTTTATAACAAATTTTTACAAAAAATAAAATTTTAAATTGAACAATAATTGACTGAAGGAGTAATATTTAAAGGGAAAATTGAAATTACATGAAAACACTACTACTCCTACAGGTACCGGAAAAGGGAATAGAGGAATGGAAATTTCATTTCGAGATTAAAGAAATTTTAAAGTTTCTTTACAATGTTTAGAAATGTTTCGTTAACATAATCATTTTCTCATTATGATGTTTTTTTGCACAGTATTAAATTGGGAATGAAAATGAACTTGTTTCAATATTTAGATATTTTCCAAACAAAATTTTGACATTTGATTGATTCACCAAAGTCCTTACTTAAAAACAGTCCAAACGTTTTCGGCTAAACAAAACGGCCCAAAATTGATAATCCCAGAAGCCCAAACGTTACCAGCAGGTGTAATTTTTTTTTTTTTATAGCAAATCATTGACCGCTTGGATTTTCGCATTTGCTCACCCCATTGAGCTTGACTGCTTCTTGTGTGAAATTCTCCGTTGAAATTCTCCGCATTTGCTCACACTTTTAGCTTTGTAGAATCACTTAAATGGAGTTTATCATTGATTGGGCATCTGGGTTTTGATTCTGGTTTCAATTTATGGTCTGAATCACCTGCTGTGTCATTCAACCACATTCATATCTGGTGTCAATTTTTGGCATACAGTCTCTGGTAATTTGTTGTTGAATTGCGTTAGTTTTGATCTTTTGGTTGATTTTCCTATTCTGGGCTTCTCTGCGTGGAATTCATGTGTCATTGTGTCTTAGAATCATTCATATCAAAGGCAAAGACCGTTTTTTCTTTTGGCGTTCTTTCTTAATTTTTTTTACCATGTGTTCTCTTTAACCGGTGTGTTTCTGGAAACGACTTTAATTTTTGCCTCATGTTACTTTTAGGCCGGTGGTGGCAGCCGAGCTGATGACTCCAGGAATGCTGCTGTCTGGTCTGGATTTCGTAAAGTGCCTTGATAGTGATGTAGTGCTGAAAATCTTGAGTTGTTTAGACGATCCAGCTGATCTAGTACGTGCCAGTTTAGTATCTCACGCTTGGCGAGATTTCGGTGAGCTAGGGAAGTGGCATTTTTCTTCTTCTGGTTTTACTGATATTTGTTAGTTGATTCTTCTTGCTTATGTTAGATACTTAGATATGTAATTCTCCTCTTGCCAATCTTGATCATGAGAGCCTTTGCACAAAGATATTTCCAATTCTTCGAAGTGTTACTATTGTTAGCAGGGAGCGGAGATAGGTTGTTTTTCTTTTTCAATGAAAATTTGTTGTTTCTTCATTATTTTTTCATGTGATGTTCGGGGTAAAATCAGGGAAGTATTTCAATCAGATGTTGCTCTGATCCATTGAAGGTTGTCGTGTTGCTTTTATCCTGGTACATAATCTTCAAAGACTGCGTACCTTGCCTGGAGCACATTTCGTCATTTTATTCCAATTAGAAAGATACATTTTTGGGAATTCAAAGGGAGTTCTTTGGCAGTTGAGTTAAGTTCAATAAGAATCCTAGTGGGCTGTCGGTAAACCCAGAATGTCGTATGTAGAGAACTGGTAATGGGTAACATTTTTTAAGCTCTTTGCTTGACTTTTTGGATTTGCGGAAGAGGATTAGCCAACCTCTTTAATTCCTGATATCGCAGCATCTCTAAAGTTAAGGTTTATTGCTTTTCCTACCTTATTTTCTTTATTTTTTTTATTGGGTTCTGAATCTTGGATATTAAATTGGTATGCTGGCATTAGGACAAAGATCATTATTGTTTTGTGGAAGCTTTGTCCTCAGGGTGAAGTCGGAGAGAGATTGAAATAAAAGGTAGTACAGAGTTTGGTGGAGTGATGGGGGTAATCATGACATTGAAAAGAAGGAGATACTGATAAATGAAGAATCGGAGAACATATAGTTGTCAAAATTATATTTGTACCTAATGTTTCTTTTGATCAATTACCCACAGTAAATGTCTTTTTGATGATCTCAGTAAGGACTTCAAAATGAGAGGAAGTATTTTGATACATTACTTCTACTATGTGTTCTAACTAGGATGAGGCTGTTGGAGTTGGCAATTTGAAACTGTTTCTTCACGCCTTCCTTGTAGTATGATTTTGAACAGATAAAGTTTGGCATAAGACTTTGATTACCAGTAGGAGTCTGAAAAAGATGTACACTTTCTCCGTGAAGATTGTCTTAGCGTCTTAGCTACTGACTTTATGGTCTCATTGAAAATAATGCTGAATCCAATTCTTTTTTCAACCCAAATCAGTGGTAGTATTGGTAGAAACTTCTTTAAGAAAAGAAGATGAAGATCTTTAGGCATTTTCTTGAGGGCGCCATTTATCTTTTTATTCCATTTTCCTACAAGTGAATAAAGGAAAAATAAAAATTTTTGACCATACTTGTGACAAATCTTTTACCGCTTTGCAGTTATTGCAAATGATCTTTCTAAGCAGCTCTGCGTGAAATGGTTTCCTCAACTGTCCAATGTTGTATATGTCACCGACCCAACATCCAAATTCAGCAGTTCCATAGAAGTGGAGATTCGTTTGAGAGATCATAAGGTTTACGCTTATTTACTTCATGCTCTTACCAAACTAAATCCTGCACCTATAGAATGCATAAAGGAGGCTTTTAGTGCTTCTAGCACGGATCGTTATCCAGCCGAAAGCATAGTGCATACACTAGATCCAGTTGTAAGGGGAGTTCCATTCTGGTCTTACTGGTCAAGTAAAGGGCGAAATGATCCTTCTATTCCTGAGACTCTGATCTACAAGCTGAAATCTAACTTTTGTGTTATTTCTGAGATAGGCGTAGAGCCATTTGAAGGTGAATACTCATATTTTGATGAAATTGGGTTTCTTCCACCCATGGTTTCTCCAATTCTGTGTACAGTTAATACTTGTTCTATCTATTTACCCCCACTAATACTCTTACATTGTCCTTTGTAGCTTCTTACCAGACGGGTCGCCCGATATACTCTGCTCGATCAGTAAAATTTCGCATGGGCCATCCCAAATCTAAAATGGAGGTTAAAAGTTCTCTAAGCATTCTATTACAAGAGCCAGCGGATGATGAATTCATATGGACGTACACTTCGCCGGAGTTTCCAATGGCACAGGTACATTGACATCTTCTGGATCATGCATAAGCTCCAAGTTCATGAATTTTTTACTGCAGTAAAAATGCTTGAGCATTCAGAAGTTTCTCTACTGCATCTCATTCCGTTTTCATTTTCTGTGGCCCGTGAAAGGTTTTGGATGCTGTCTTTCTGGGACTATTGTTGTTGAAAGGAATTTCTTATGTGCAGGAAACCCGAATGCAGCATTTTAAGTTGCCAGAACCTGTTCTTTGCATAGGTGGGTATGTGCTGATTGAGTTGCTGGGACGGGTTCAAACGCAAGCGTCAGATGGCTTATACTACATATGGTGAGTCTTTTTATACATGACTAAAATGTCCAAATGGTCCTTTACATTTGGGCTTACTTGATTTTATGTCCCTAACATTAACATTTCAATATCGTAGTCCCAAACATTATGTTTTCACACTTTTTTGGGTCCCATTTCACTTTTGCGACCACTTTTTCTTCCAACTCGATGTTGACCGGCAGTTGACATCCCGAATCAGGGGTATTTCATCTTTTCATATAATTTGAACTTCCATTAAAATTTAAATCATTAAAAATTTTGTAAAAATTCCACATTTATTATTTAATTGTTAAAATATTATTTATTAATTTAAAATATTATTTTAAAATTTTAATTATTTTCAAAGTTACTTTTTTCGTTACCAAAGTAAATGTTAATTATATTGCACTTTTAACCTCAATTTACTGTAACTTTAAAAATTTACCGAGTCACAGTAAATAATTCAAATTAAAAAAAAAAAACAAAACCAAGATTTTTGACTTTAGCTGCTGCAATAAATCTTGAGTTATTTCTAAAATTTTACCGCGATATAATGATTAATTCAAAATTCAAATTTTTTAAAAAAAAATGCAAAAACTTGTGGGGTGAAAATCTGGATAAAAAATTTAGTTTGCTTTTCCTTTTTAAATAAAAAATTAAATTTTGAATTAGTTATTGTAATGCGGTAAAATTTTAGAGTGAAGGGGTTAAAAATGAAACGTAATTCATATTTATTTTTTATCCAGCATAAATCATAAATAGAAAAAGTAATTTTTGAAAATAATGTAAATTTTAATTTTATAATAATATTTTATTAATAAATAATATTTTTAGCAATTAAGTAATTAAATGTGAATTTTCTAATATTTTTAATGATTTAAATTTCAATGAAAGATTACATTATATGAAAAGACAAAAATGTCACTGATTCCGGCATGTCAATTATCGGTCAACATCAAGCTGGACAGAAAAGTGGCCGTGGGATTAAAAAAAAGTATGAAAACATAATATTTGGGATCACGATATTGAAATGTTAATGTAGGAACGTAAGTTCAAGTAAGCCCAAAATGTAAAGGACTATTTAGATATTTTAGTCTTTATACATTCTGATTTCTGACTCTGTACCCTTCCAAATCAATATTTAACTAAATCTGAAAGCAAAAGTGTCCTCGCTATAGGCTCATTCGTAGATGAACCTGACTTCAGTTCTTGCAATGCAATGCAGCATTTCGCATGTTAAAGTTCTGGGACGGCCCTTGTCTCCGGCATTTGATGTTGAGGTCATTGAACCGTCATCGTCAGGGAAGTTTGTCTTGCAGTACTTCCCTGATGCTCTTCAGGAGAGGCGTCTTCAGTTTCATGAAATACAATCACCTTTTTCCGATGAGCAGTATGGATTCGATTAAAAAACTATGTAAAGTATTATTGCAAAATGCCCTTCCTAAGTTAATTCATGCATTTCATTTTGTAAAATATATATTGGAGTTATGTAATAATTCAGTTAATACATTTAATTTAGTGTATTGGTCTTCCAACTTCGGAGATTTAATTTAGTAGTACTTTTATTAGAAACTTTACCACTCCGTAATTTTTAATAATATTACATCATCGTCCAAAATTACTCTCTCTATGAGAATTTTTTGAGTCATGTAAATTTGAAAGGAAAATCTTCCATCGAGCATAAGTATTTTATTAATCATGATTATTAGAGTTCGAACCCATCTATTTTGATACATTTATCATTTAAAACGCATTTTTTGTCTATTATTTATATTTATTTTATATCATAATACCTAATCTTAAAATAATTATGTCGGTTGAACAAAAACGAAGTTATTCATTAGGAACCATAAACTCTATACAATTTCTTCTTCTTCTTCTTTTTTTTTTTTTTTTTTGGTTTTCAGAGCCACGACTCCATACAATATCAGTTTCAAGTTTCAACTCACAAATCAATCTGAAATTATTTTCCCCAAAAAAAAAAAAAAGGATAAAGACAGAGGGTCTGTTAATATGTTGTTATTAAACGACAACGTAAGAGAATAATTAATTTTTATTACCCGCCAACGTAAATAATATAAAATAAAGAAATTACTGGAACCATATTTAATGGGAAAAATTTATCCTATCTATTTCGGCGATCCCCGAACAAATTGATAGAAGTCGACGAAGACATTATTTATAATATATATATCCTTCTCGATCTCAAACCCACCAAAAAACAGAACAAAATTAATCAATTTCCTCTTCAAAATTTCTGCAGTAGCTTTGCAACCCTTCTGTATATACTTGTGACATTCGAATCTATATTGTCTTGGAGTTGTTCCTTACTCCATAATATACTTTTCCACAGATTCCTGCGGGTATGATTCTTTTCCTTTTTTGGTTTTTTCTTATTAAGTGTGTCGTTTTCATTTGAGTTTTTTTTTTTCTTTTTAAATTTTGTTTAGAAAGAATCTTGATTCGTTTTGCTGCTTATTCAGAGCCACAGAGATTGATTTATTCATCGAGTGGGTATCTGGGGTTTCGGTTTTTGGATTTTTGTTTAATTATTATTGATTCATGATTGAATCACTTGCTGTGTGGCTCGACCTCAATCAACGCTCTCTGATTTCTGTGAAGCGAATTTCTAATTTTATGGAATGTACTTTTTTTTTTTTTTTTGAAATTGCTTGCCTGCATTTGTTGTTTAATTGCGTTAGTACACTGGTGTTTTTCCATTCTGGTGTTCCTCTGCGTGTGTTAGAATCAGTAATCTTTTTGGGCAAAGGTTGGATTTTTCGTTTGGGTCCCTTGTTTCAATTTTATCTTTGAAACGCGAGTGAATCTAATTACTGTTTTTAATGTGTTTGTGGTGATATGCTTAACAAAACTACTGTTTCATGATTTCCTTAGGTCGGTGGAGAGTGGTTTGATTGGCGGAGGAGCTGATCACTCCAAAGATGGAGTCTTGTATAGATTTTTTGGAATGCCTTGAAACTGATATGGTGCTGAATATCTTGAAGTGTATGGATGATCCAGCTGATCTTCTACGCGCTAGTATCGTGTCACGGGGTTGGAGAGACTTTGGTGAGCTCTGAAAGTTTCATGAACTATTTGATTCAGTTTTGCAATTATTTGAGAACTTGTTTTTGTGTTTACTGTAGTTAAAAGTATTTCCCATGTTGCAATTACTACCATTCTTCTTCTTCTTATATATATATATATATATATACTTAAAAATGTTTACTTGCTAATTTCAATGCCCTTGGCCGTCTTTGCATGAATTCTTTATTTGTTGCTACTTGGGTTATCAGAATTGGAGACTGGATGTTATAATTTTGTGAAAACAAGCTGCGGCTTGTTTCTTTCTCTTATAATATTTAGGGCAATATTAGAAGGTTGTAAGTTACAGTTAATCGTGATCTGTTGATGGTTATTCTAGAACAATCCTTTTGCATAGGTATGAAGCTTCAAAGAGAAAATGCCTTGCCTGAAGCACATCCTTTTATTGTAAGGTCTTTAGAAAGCTACATTCATCCGAGAGTTTAAATAAAACTTCTTTGACAATTCAGTTAGTTAAATAAGCTTCCCTGTGAACAATAGGGAAAACTCAGGAAATATTCCTGCATAGAGAACTGCTAATTGCCAAGGAAATGACTAACCTTTTCTTAGCCTGTATGCTCGACTTTTGTTCCCTGAAGATCATTAATTTGCCTCTTTAATTCCTGATGTTCTGCTGGATGTTGTTACTTTCTCTAGATCTGAATCTTAGATGTTGAATTAGGATCGCGTTAAGCCGAAGGATATAATAGCTTATAAAAGTTTGTGTCAGGATGAAGCGTGAGAGAGTCTTAGGCCGAAGTGAAGGTTGTTGGATGAATGACAGAAGTATTTCTCAGAGAATGAGAGATTGATAGATATTGGATAAGGTACTTATTTACTGACAGATGTCAGTTAAAAGGAAAAAATTTTAGTTCATCAACTGGCCATTTGAAAAATCACCATCGAATGAGCTCAATAAGCTCTTGATGTAACATGGGAAATGGTCCTAGCCTAGTTGGTAAGGCTTTTAGTGGATTTCTTAGAGGTCCAAGTATCCGATTCCATCAATGGTATGTAGAGGGGTATCCTTCCCGCATTCATAAGTGCGCCGCACAGGGGTGGGGTTTTTTAATATTAAGACGCTCTTGATGTATTATGTAAAGTTGATGGGAAGTGTTAATCCATTCATAGGAAGGAACTAGGATGATGGGATTCGTGTTGAAATTGTACAATTTGCCTTGGTTTATGAGAACATTTAAATCTCGGATTAGGTTTGGGTAATAGTTTTTAGATCTGCATTCGGACTCTAGAATTTGTACAGTTTCATTTGTCCATTCATCTTGGCAACTGACATTCTGGTCTTGTTGCAATGAATCGGGAATTGGGTTCAGTTTTTAGTATTGACATCATCTGTCTTTAGAAAAAAAGATGACAATGGTAGAGATTTTTGTGCACCAGCATTTATCTTTTTATTCAACTTCTGAAGATGGGATATAGGCAATAAATTGAAAAGTAACATGTTGATAATGAGTATTTTTTGCCCTTTTGCAGTTGTTGCCAATAAGCTTTCTAAGATCCTCTGTGTTGGACGGTTTCCCCAACTGGCCAATGTTGTAGATGTAGCAGAATTTAATTGTAAGAAAACGGTGTCTACTGATGTTGGATCTAGCAGCTCCTCGGAGAGGGAGATTCTCTCAAGTGATCATAAGGCTTTTGCTTCTCTGCTTCATACTCTTACGAAACTAATACCTTCGCCTACAGAATGCATTAAGGAAGCATTTAGTGCTTCTAGCACAGATAACTATCCAGATGAAAGCGTAGTTCATACATTAGATCCAAGAGACAGGTTTGCAAGGAGAGCTTCGTACTGGTCAAGTAAAGGGCAAAAAGATCCTTCTGTTCCTGAGACTCTGATCTACAAGCTGAAATCTGACTTTTGTGTCATTACTGAGATCGACATACAGCCCTTTGAAGGTGAGGTTTTATAATACTTAAGTATCTTCTTTTCGTCTTTTTATTAATTTATTATTGATATTGATATTTTTGGTGGGAGTGGGTTGTCTGTCCATGCTTTTTTATAGTTTAGTTGATAATGGGAATAGGATAAGCAAGCTACCATTCTAGCTGGACTTGATACCTTCACCTTTAGCATTTTTAATGTTGTTCCTTCGCTTTTTGTAGCCTTTTTCCAGATGGGATATCCAATATATTCTGCCAATTCAGTAAGATTTAGGTTTGGTCATCCGAAATCTATAAATGAGGTGGAAAATTTTGAATCACTTGAAGGGCCTGCTGACGACAAGTTCATATGGACATATACTTCGCCGAAGTTTCCGATGGTTCAGGTACGGTTATAAAATGTTAATGCTGGCGTATTCTGTATTGTAGGCAAATCCCAACTTTAAGAGTTTGTGTTGCAGTATAATTAAAGTCTGAGCCTTTTGTTGAAATAATTTTTTATGAGCAGGAAAATCGACTGCAGCATTTCAAGTTCCCAGAACCAGTTCTTTGCATGGGTGGATTTTTGCTGGTTGAGTTGTTGGGAAGGGTTCAAAGGCAAGAAATGGATGGATTATTCTACATATGGTGAGTTTTGCTTATTGACTTTTATCAAAGACTCGTGGTTACGGTTCCATTCTGATGACACACATCCTTCAATGCAGCATTGCGCATGTTAAAGTTCTGGGACAACCCTTGTCACCGGCATTTAATGTGGAGGTCGTTGAACCTTCTGGAAAATTTGTCTTGAAGTACTTTCCGGAGTTGCTTCCCCAAACACTGCTAAGCGCTAGTAAGGACAGAGAGCAGGAGGCTGCACCAACCCACCTTGTAGCGTCAGAAGAAATGTTGTGGGGGCATGTAGGTCTGTTGGAATATCTGGTAGGTGGAGGCCTAGAGGAGGATGATGATGATGAAGCTGGTGGATGGGACGAGGAGAATGAGATGGATCAGTTTATTCTCTGAGTCTGCAATCGTCTTCGTTTCCCAAATATTTTGCCTTCTTATACATACTGTAGGAATTCTTTTGGAGTTACTAATAAAAAGAAGCTTCTCGGAGCTTTTTAATCTCATGATGTTCTTTTTTCTTATAAACATAATACAGTAATGGTTGAAAAAGTCCTTGTCATGTGCGTCAGTGCGTGGAAACGTCACTTAGTTGATGCTATTTTTTTTTTTTTTTTTGACTTGTGCTTTTCTGGAGATCATCTATAGTTGCGCAGGGGTCACTTTATATGATCAAAAATTTAATAAAAAACAGATCAATGTATGTGAGATCAAAAAAATAAAAAGGTCAATTTAGTCTCTGTTAAACTGGTGAGAGAAAAACTGGTGAGCAGGAGCCGCTACCACAATTGACGACATCTTTTTGCTTAAGGAGTTTTTTTAACCTGTAAATTTCTGTTTATTCGTAAATATTGGAATTCCACTTGCCGCAATTTGGTTAAGTTAGCTTTGTTTAGCAATGTACACAAAATTGGGATAGTAATGTCCTTTTGTAGCTTAAACATGGCTTGTAAGGTCTATTGTAATAACTCTTTATAGTAGAAATGAATATCGTTGTTGACAAAAAAAAAAAAAAAAACCACTGCGAATCCTCCCTCAAGCTACAAGCCATGGAAATGCTTATGGTTGAGCATTAAACTGGAGATTTATCTAAATCTCCAGTTGGAAACTTGGAATTGCTTTAAAAAGAATAAAAAACAAGTCCAGTAATGTTGTATTTAAATATAGATTCAGTATGGTATACACACATGTGCATGGTTATACAAATGTATAAAGGGCTTGCAATTTGCTTAATGTATGAAGTTCTTTCTAATTTTTTAGTTCTGATCTTGTCTGAAATTATAGTTTGTAATGAAATATATACAGAAGGAAGAATATCCTTCAATTCGATTTCAAATATTGGGTATCAAACCTGTATCACCATCAAGTTATTTGTAGTTATAAAATTAGTTTGGTTCCTTGATTTTGCTGTCTAGCAAAAATAATTTTTAAAAAACAAAAATAATAAAATTAGAAATCCAAGAAGAAATAAAAAACAAAAATAATTTAGAAGAAATAAAAAACAATAAAAATTAGAAATCCAAGAAGAAATAAAAAACAAAAATAAATAATTTAATATTAAATGTGCTGGCTATGGGGTTCGAACCCATGCGCACTTATGTGCAGAAGATCTTAAGTCTTCCCCCTTAACCTCTCGGGCAAACCAGCCGAATGATTTTATTTACAGAAACGTTAAATAATAAAGATCACTTCACCTAATGGTATTCGGCAAGCTCTAGATAGAGATGGTCTAACGGCGAAACAATATCGGTCTTTATTCAAAATTTCGCGTTTATAACATGTGCTTTTTACCCTTAAAAAATGTTTTCGCGTTTATAACATGTGCTTTTTACCCTTAAAAAATGTTTTTCACGTTTTCGTCTTGCTGAAACTGACATTTCAGGGTTCACTTTGAATTTTGATCACAGCAGACAGCAGAGGCTTCACTATGAAATTCAGTAGCGGAAAAGTTCATGCATAATCTGGCTCTTGCAGTGTAGGAATTCATGATGTTTGTAGACTGCCAGTTATGGTGAAGGGAATCTGAAAATTGTTATATTCATTGAGAAAGTTCAACAAATGATTGATTGAGAGCGGTTAAGCTAATCTTTTTTGTTTTTCCTTCTTTCTAAATCCTTCCAAAAAAAAAAAAAAACAACCCTTTTATTATTGGTTGTTTTGATTGGATTCTCTGAGTGACACCACTTTAATTGCGGCGAGAACGTCAGCACTTGCGTATGTAAAGTGAATTTTTTGTTCATTAAAGGAATGTGTATGTGACTATGTGTAAGAACTCAAGTCATCCAGTAATTTTTGACCAATTGTTTTCCTCGTGGTGGTTCTTAATATAAGGAGTTTATCCAAAGATTCCCACTTTCTCCAATTTTACAGCATATTGTTGACTGTATATCCCAAAAAGGAGAATCAACCCTTCTTCCCCTTCTCATCTTTAAGGCCTGTGTTGGAGGTTTTAGGTATGTTGTCATGCTTGTGCTTCTACTTTGAATTGGATGTATGATAGTTGTCTGTTCATCTGTTTCTCATAAGACTGTCTGCTTAAGCTTTTTAACTGTTGATAAAATGTTACTTAGTTTTGTGATCCCTGCTGGACCCAATCGTTCAATTGTATCTATTGCTATATTACTTAAACTGATTAGGGTGTTTTGGGGGATCACTCAGAGTAATGAAGTTGAATTACTTCCAAAATTTGATGGTGTTGTTGAATTTGCAATGCAACTCTGCTAATTTTTGGTATAGGAGCCTCAATAATATTTGATCTCGGAATGCCAGTGTAATGCCTGAGATTTTCCCTCAAGACATTCCAATCATCAAACATGTAAAGTATGACTCCTAATCTGATATGTTTTTTGTTCTTAGTGCACGAAAGAATGCTGATTGCGAGAGAGTTTTAATCCGTTTGTGACCTACTGTGCATTGTGCAACAAATTACATTTTAACCTTACCTGTTTGCTAGGTCCTCTAATGTGCTAGAGAAGTATTGATTCATTCCATTTTGCACAATATGCGTTAAATTGAGTCCAGCAATCTCATGTATTTCAGGTTTGTTGAACCATGGCTTCTGAGGGTTCCAGTGAGGGCAACTGTCGTGCCTTTGCTGCAAGAGATCCGTCTGGATTCCTGTCTCCTTACACATTCAACCGCAGGTAATTGCACTGTCAGCAGGTAAATGCTACCTGGTTTTCCTTCTTTGGAAGAGAATTCTTAGTTCAGTTGGATGATTTTTATATCTTGGTGATTGCACTTCTGCAGAAGGATGAATCATATGTCCTTTAATCGTTTTGGCTCATTGAGAGAGCAGGAAATTTTGGGAAAGTTGGTATATGTAGTGTCTTGTGTTTATAATATCTCACTAAGGGATAGTAATTAGTAAACCTAACAGAGTCTCAAAAAGAAGAATAGAACCGCTAAGTACTAACACCTTTATGAATTAGACGGTGTAAATTAAAGGATGAGTAATTCTTGATTTGATTTCTAAGTTAAATATTCTTCCCTCACTGAAGTTAAAGGTGAGAGACCTCTAAAATTAAGGAGAATACTGTCAACTATGTGTTATATCTGAAGTGAAGACACAGGATTAAAGTTTCCAATATTTCATCTGGTTTAGCATTCTCCAATTCAACTTAGTTGTTGGGGCTTTGCATATTTCTTTGATTTCATGAAATCATGAAGTTTCTGACAACTGTAAACTATCAATCTCAACAGGACTGTAAGAGATGATGATGTTTTATTGGATATCGCATACTGTGGTATTTGCTATGCTGATGTTTCTTGGACGAGGAATCACATGGGAGATTCGAAGTATCCTGTAGTACCTGGGTATGTCATACATTAGACCAATACATATTCTCTAATAAATTTTTTTCTAGATTATCCTTTCTTAAGAAGTTAATGAAACTTTTCAATGACCAGACACGAGATCACTGGCGTTGTACGAGAAGTTGGCTCCAAGGTGTCAAAATTTAAACCTGGAGACCACGTTGGAGTTGGAACCTATGTTGACTCTTGTAGGGAGTGTCAGTATTGTGTTGAGAGGCTTGAGGTTCATTGTGCCAACGGAAAGGTCCGTACTTTTAATGATATCGATTCCGATGGCACAGTGACTAAAGGAGGATACTCAAGTTTCATTGTTGTTCATGAAAGGTGAGATATATATGAGAAAGCTTTCTACCTGGAACCACCTCTTCAATAACAAAGCCTATTTTTTGCATTAACTTGCAGGTATTGCCACTCAATACCTGATGGCTACCCACTAGAGTTGGCAGCACCATTGTTATGTGCTGGGATTACTTGTTACACACCAATGATGCGCCACAACATGAACCAGCCTGGTAAATCGTTGGGTGTCATTGGATTAGGAGGTCTTGGACACTTGGCAGTGAAATTCGGAAAGGCGTTTGGTTTGAAAGTGACGATTTTCAGCACGAGCGAATCGAAAAGGGAGGAGGCATTGAGTCATCTTGGAGCAGATGATTTTGTAGTTGCGTCTGATGAGCAGAAGATGAATGTTAGTTGAATTTCCATAAGTTTACATACAATAATTACTAGTTTATCGTGGAGCCAAATTGCTCACTTATATTTCTGATGCAGGCACTTTCCAAGTCACTAGACTTCATTCTTAACACGGCTTCTGGCAATATTCCTTTCGATTCATACCTTAAAACCTTGAAAACTGGTGGTGTTCTTGTGACGGTTGGGGTTCCTCGTGAGATGAACATAAGTCCAATGAATCTAATCATAGGTACACTCAATAGATAATGTCCCTTTTGTTCAGCTCTTTTCTTACGGTTGTCGTTTCAGTTGCTAACTAAAGTGGTTCTTTTCAGAGGCAAGAACTATATCGGGAAGTGTCACAGGTGGAACGAAACAAATTCATGAAATGTTGGAGTTCTGCGCCGCTCACAAGATCTACCCTGAAGTTGAAATAGTTCCGATCCAATATTGCAATGAGGCAATCGACAGAGTAATGAAGAAGGATGTGAAGTATCGTTTTGTGATAGATGTCGCAAATTCCCTCAAGTGATGTACGACATAGTTGCTTTATTGCAAAGGCGAAGATCCCCCCTAAAGCTCAATAAATCTATACAAAGTTTCAACCTTTGGTTGGCCTCCATGATGTATTCAAGTTCACCTATGGTTTACTTGGAAGAAACAGTTTCATATTCTCTGTGCAATGATGTATCTCATGTAAAATGCTTTTGATAATGTCAATACACAACTTTTCTTGCAGTGCCATCCCAATGGTTTTGTACTACTTTTTTCCTCCAAATCAAAATTGTCTATTTTGTTTAACTAAGACAGTAAAACTAAGTGTGGAATATTCTTTTGGGATGGAGTACAGTGACCAATAACCCCATCTTGATTTTGTAATATTAGTTAGATGGTCAAAACAAGAACATGGATATAGAAACTTGCTTGAAAAATGCCATTTTTGGCTGCACCTTTGCGACTGGAGTTAGTAAGTTTACTTTCTCTGTTTTCTTTCTTGCTCGTCAAAGTTTCAAACATAAATTTCTGAAGAGGGATGATTTTAGTCATTGCAGATTACAATTGAAATTCATGATCAAAACCTCTGACGCGTAATCCTAATATAATTGTATGTATTATTGTATTGTATCTTATTCATGGTATCATTTGTTTTTCTGTTACAATTATATCAGCTGATGAAAGCCAAGTCAGAAAAGGAGAATACTGTGTTCCAGACTTCCAGTAATTCTCAATATAAATCACGTTAACCAGAACATAAGAAATTTCTGCTTCGAGGATTTGAAGATTTTCAGCCAGAGAAAAAGTTGAAGAGATCAAGGTACGTTAATTACTGCCATCCTTCTGAAACTTTGATTAAATTAAGTCTGTTTCAGTCCTACACCTTTCAAAGTTGTGTTAATGTCTGTCTTAAATTTCTCTAGTACGTACAGTTTCAGTGGTTAATTATTTGCATCAAATACTGGCTTTTACTTCTGTGTTGTTTTGCTGTTTTTACGACAATCCGTTGGTAGGGTACACCGATGATGATAATGTTGTACGTGTTGGCTTTTCTCTAGCTAGTATTTAGTGCTTACTCCTTTTGGTGTTTCTTTTCCTGTTTTCTGGTAATTTTAGCAGCCAGGTACCAAAGGAATTCAACAAAGCTAACATAAGAAAGAAAAGATGCATTACCAGATTGCTAGAGAGTCCGAGTTTCTGGCTATCACAGGAGCCGGAATTTCGGACATTAAGATCACTAAGAAGGCATTTATTTGGCCTTCTCAGCGATGAAGAACTCCGGTGAACTAGACTTTTGAAGTGCATGCAATGAGCTCGGGGAAGTTACAGTTCCTTCTCCCTGCTGTTTTCACAATCGGCCCAAGAACCGAAGATCTGGAGAGCCTCACCAAGTTTGCCAGGCTTCTTTCTGAACATAGCAGCGATTCCCACAATGTGAAGGAGCTAGTTCAAGGTGTCATTGAGGGAGAAACTCGCGTTCTCGCCGCTTCAATGACCATGGAAGAAATCTTTAGAGGTACTAAAGATTTCAAGAAGGAAGTGTTTGAGAAGGTTCAACTCGAGCTTGATCAGTTTGGACTGGCAATCTACAATGCTAACATCAAGCAACTTGTTATGTTCCGGGGCATGAATATTTCTCTTACCTGGACAGAAAACTCAGTATGAGGCAGCCAATCAAGCTAAAGTTGACGTGTCTGAGGCTAAGATGAAGGGTGAGATAGGAGCTAAAGGAAAGACAAGGTTTGACGCTTCAGAATGCTGCCAAGATTGATGCTGAGACGAAGATCATATCGAAGCAAAGGGAAGATGAGGCAAATAAGCAGGAGATCGAGGTTCAAGCCCAAGTTCACATCTTTAACACTCAAAAGGAGGCTGAGGTTGCCGAGGCAAATGCTTTGCTTGCTACCAAGAAGGCCAACTGGTCTCAGCAAGCCAACCGGACTGAAGTGGAGGCTCAAAAGGCTGTGGCGATAAGAGAGGCAGTTTTACATCAGTAAGTCGAAAAGCAAAACGTATTGGCTAGAACCGAACAGCTTAAAGCTGAGAAACTGAGCAAGGCCACAGTTGATTACGAGATTCAGGTATATTTTTCCGATCCTTGATCCCACAGGTTTTTTTTTTTATATCATAACATATGCTACTTTAGTTTCTGGTATGAAACTTGTACGAATTTGAAACGTTTATTCTTTTATGTCAAGTATGTAATATACACTTACCTTTGTGAAACTATAGGTTCAACAAGCCAATGCAGCTCTCTACAAGAAGCAAAAGGAAGCCGAAGCACTCCTGTACCAGAGGGAAAAAGCAGCAGATGCACAAATGGTGGAAGCAAAAGCTCAATTCTTCGGGAGGCAACAAGTTGCAGATGCCGAACTCTATGCAAAAAAGAAAGAAGCTGAAGGAAGAGCGGCTCTTGCTGATGCACAAGCAATTTATGTCGCCAAACTGTTGAAATCGTTTGGTGGGAACTACAGCGCCATGAGAGATTACTTAATGATCAATGGATGAATGTTCAAAGACATTGCCCGAATCAATGCAGATGGTATTAGGGGATTACAGCCAAAGATCAGTGTCTGGAGTAACGGTAATAGTGGAGAAGGCAAAGAGGGCGTCGCAATGAATGAAATCGCTTCAGTATATAAGGCGTTGCCACCATTGTTTCAAACGGTGCATGAGCAAACTGGAATGCTCCCTCCAGCTTGGATGGGTAGTCTCTCTGGCTCTAGCTCAGATGCTAGCCAGATTGTTAGGGCAAATTAGCCACATAGGTCAATTTAGATATTGCAATAGTTTAGTCTTAATTTTATCAAACATAACTCTATAATTCAAGCTCAGTTTGAAGTTGTTACTATAATAATTATATATAATAATATAGTTCTTCATACGTGGCTTTTGTGAGCATTTAACAATTGCTGATGTCTTGAATTCAAAGGTTTGATCGTTTATTTTAGACATTATCCATAGTATAGACCTCAATTCCAGGTGTCCCATTCAAAGATTTAGGATTTATTTTTTCTGACAGTTATAAATACCCAGTCCAGAAAGGAGAATAGCATTCTCTTCACCTTTCTCAGCTTCTGACTTTCTCCCCTTTGAGGCTTCTGTTGTACTCTCGGGTATACTGTAATGCTTTTACATTCCATCTCTCATAATACAGTGTGTATATGTTTCAGTTTTGGTTGTTCATGAATGTTTTTTAGATATATGATCCTGCAAAATCCAACAAATTTAAAACTTATAATGAAATCCCATGCTTTTATTACTTGCAACCATCAGAGTATGGACTCAAATGAGTAATGAAGTTGTACTGCTTGCGAAATTTCAATTTCATTTGCTGGTGTGTTGAATTTACAATTTAGCAACTTGGTGCTATGATTTTTTTGGCAGAGGGACCTAAAACAATGATTGCGGGATGCAATTTTAATGCCTGAACTTTTCCAACTTGATAAATCAATCATCAAACCTCTGTTGTATGTCCTGTTTCTTGGCTCATACCTTGGAAGTTTATGAGCATAGTATATGAAAAAAAGCAACATGTTAAGCTTTTGGGGGGCCTACTGTACTATAAAATACTTTCCAGCAACATGTCAGCTCAATATCTGCTGCTCTAATGATCTATAGAAGCTTCCATATGAGTTTGATTCGTTCTAGTTATCTCATGTATTCCAGGTTTGTTGAACCATGGCTTCTGCGAGTGCTGACGAGGGAAACTGTCTTGCCTATGCTGCAAGAGATCCGTCTGGATTCTTGTCTCCTTACACATTTAACCGCAGGTTTGTCTAACTGGTTTTCTGCTTCTGGCAAGCATCTCTAGTTCAGTTGTATGACCTTTTAGATCTTGATATGTACCTAATGTAATGAGACTGAACTGAATATTTTACCATTTTATGGTTTTGGATTATCCTAATCGACTTAGCTGTTAGTACTTTGCATAATTTCTTGTTTCGGTATCTTGAAGTTATGTCCTGAGAACTCTAAACACTTAAAACTCAACAGGTCCATCAGGGATGAAGATGTTTTATTAGATATCGCATACTGTGGAATATGTTACGCGGATGTAGTTTGGACGAGGAATCACATGGGAGATTCGAAGTATCCTTTAGTCCCTGGGTATGTGATACATTACACTACAAGATGTTTCTTTCCAGATTTTTCTTTTTTCATAAGGTAACGAAACTTTTCAATGATCAGACACGAGATCACTGGGGTTGTAAAAGAAGTTGGCTCCAAGGTATCAAAATTTAAACCCGGAGACCATGTAGGAGTAGGAACCCGGGTTGACTCTTGCCGGGAGTGTGAGTACTGTCATGAGAGACTCGAGGTCCACTGTGCCAAGGGAAAAGTCATTACTTTTAATGGTATAGACTCTGATGGTACAGTGACAAAAGGGGGATACTCTAGTTTCATTGTTGTTCATGAAAGGTGAGATTAAAATGAGAAAGTTATACCTGAAATCTCCTTTTTGATACCAAAACCTAATTTTTGCGCTAGCTTGCCCAGGCATTGCTATTCAATACCTGATGGCTACCCGCTAGAGTTAGCAGCACCTTTGTTATGCGCCGGGATCACTGTTTACACCCCAATGATGCGACACAACATGAATCAGCCCGGTAAGTCATTGGGTGTCATTGGATTAGGAGGTCTAGGACACTTGGCAGTGAAATTCGGGAAGGCCTTGGGTTTGAAAGTCACAATTTTCAGCACTAGTGAATCCAAAAGAGAGGAGGCATTGAGTCATCTTGGAGCAGATGATTTTGTGGTCGTGTCTGATGAACAGGAGATGAATGTTAGTTGAATTTCCATAAGCATACATTACTATAATCACTAAACAAATGTATCATGGTTTTCAACTTTTCCCACAGTCAGCGCCAAATTGATAAACTTAATCTTACTGATACAGGCACTTTCCAAGTCATTGGACTTCATTCTTAACACTGCTTCTGGCAATATCACATTTGATCCATACCTTAAAACCTTGAAAACTGGTGGTGTTCTTGTGACAGTCGGCTTCCCGCGAGAGATAAACATTAGCCTAGTAAATTTAATACCAGGTACACTCAATCAGATGAAATCCTTATTTTGGTCACTTCTTCCCTCAAGGGTTATCTTTATCATCTCTCTTTTTTTTTTTTTACAACTAATGTGGCTGCTTCAGAGGCGAGAACTATATCAGGAAGTGCCACTGGTGGAACAAAACAGACTCAAGAAATGTTAGACTTCTGTGCTGCTAACAAGATATACCCTCAAGTTGAAATAGTTCCAATCCAATACTGCAATGAGGCCATTGATAGGGTAACCAAGAAGGATGTGAAGTATCGTTTTGTGATTGATGTTGCAAACTCCCTCAAGTGATGTTCAAACACAGTTGTTATATTTGCAAAAACTCAATAAGTCTACAGAATTTCAAGCTTTAGTTAGCATTCATTATGTTTGCTGCTCACTTGGAAGAGACAGTTCTGTGTAACATAGAGAATCACTTCTATGAATCACCTTACTTTTGTAAAATAATCATTATGAGTGAGATGTTTGAATGAGAGTCATAGCCTTATATTATTCCAGTGATATGTAGTGACATAATCGGTTCTTCGCAAGATCACCATATACTCAGTTACTCACATGAGTACGCCGTATTTAAATCATAAGACTAAAACGTCTTTTGGGGAAAAAATGATTTGCCTCCTTTATTATACCGAAAAATATAGGAGTATTTAGATTTTTCTTAAAGAATTTCTTAGTTAAATAAATTTTGCCTAGCTAAAGTCTACTTTTATATTCTTCACATTCTTTTTCTTTCCTTTAGACAATGTTCAAAATCCAACCAAATGAAATAGAAAATGTAATAATAAGAGTAGGAAATGTAACTCTTTTCTTTTTGACATTTCATTACCGTACTTTCATTTTTTTCTTCCACAATCTTCAAAGCCGAAGAACTAGTGAAAACTAAAAAGTAAAAAAGGAGAAAGCTTTTTTACCTTTAGCCCTCCTAATATTTCATCGTCCTTCTCCACAGGGTTTGTTCTTTATTGTCTAAAATCACCATCCATTAATTTCGTAGTACTAGGATAATCCCATGATGTACATGATTTTGTAGCTCTAGATAGATGGTCCGTCTAACGAGAGCAGTGATATAGAATTATGCTCAAAAAATGCTATCTTTACATCAGGGCCTCGCATTAGTGACCGTGAATAACCTTCCTCTCGCTTTCTTCCCTCCTCAAAAGTCTCATCAAACACAGTCTTTCTGAAGAGGGTTGACTGTAATCACGGTATTCTAACTATTGAAGTTCATCAGTGCTTAAATTTTGGTGTAGGAAGTCATTCTCTTTTTGTTTCTGTTTCTATTTTTATGTGGGGTTGCAGATCGTGGTGTGGACAGCAAGTTATGGTCAAGGGAATCTGAAATTGTTCTATTTATTTTGTATTTGTTTGAATTGGAAGATATAATTAACCTTTATTTAGGTAGCTAATTTGTTTCTTTTAATCCTTGCAGAAACTACCCTTTTCTATTGGTTGTCGTGATTGGATTCTCACTCAGTCTGAGGCTTTGTGATGACAGCACTTGCGCATGCAAAAGTAAATTTGCTCAAGCCAGTTCTGTGAAGAGTTGGTGTAAGAACAGTCTTTCTTTCTCAGTAGTATTAGACCTTGACTTTAGTGAGCGTTTACTTTATGCCAATGTTTTGAATTCAAAGGCTTGACCATTATTTTAATGACTATCTAGATGCACCTCAATCCACGTTGTTCTATTCAAAGATTTACAGCATTATTTTTTTCTAGTTTTATACCCTCGCGTCCTAAAATGATGTCGTGTTTATTCTATTAATAGAATGATGTAACTTACCGGACGATGATATTTGACAGTTATAAATAACCAGCCCAAAAATAAAAAGAGTAACATCCTCTTCGGTCTTTACCTCTCCCCAGCTGCAGAACCATCTTCTAGGCCACTGTTGAACTTTTGGGTATGTTCTAATGCTTCTTTTTACTTTGGATTAGATATGTATGATAATGATCTGCTCATCTGTCTCCCATGATACCACCTATGTCTGCTTCAGCTTTAACTACTAAAGGATGATGTTTAGATTTATGATCCTGCAACACCGGATACATATGGAAACTTATAATCAAACCTTTTTTGGTATTTATTGCCATATTACTTGGAATGAATAGAGATATTTTTTCATGTTTGCGAGTATGGAGATGACTCAGATGAGTTTAAAAATTTGTACTACTTGCAAAATTTCCAATTTCAGTTGTTCATGTGTTGAATTCGCAATTTAGCTAGAACTATTTCCTAGTTTGCTTTGCTGATTTCAGTAAAGGGGTCTACAACAATGGTTTTGGGATGCCATTTTAATGCCAAAAGTTTCCCTCGCAGATAAATAAATACTCAAATTACTGAAGTGTGCCCTGTTTTCTGTCTCATGAAGTGACAGGTTACATTCTCAGTGTACGAAAAGATACAAAATTGTAATCAACATGATAAGCTTTTTGTCACTTACTGTACTATAGAATACTTTCATCTGGGTTTTACCTGTTTGCTAATCTAATGTGCTATAGAAGCTTCCATTTGTTCAATATTGCATTGCATCATATGTGTTCGTCTGTTAGATTGATTCTAGCTATCATCGACACTCCAGGTTTGTTTGAACTTTGAACCATGGCTTCTGAGAGTGCAAAAGAGGGCAATTGTCTTGCCTATGCTGCGAGAGATCCATCTGGATTCCTGTCTCCTTACTCATTCGATCGCAGGTATATCTACTGGGTTTTCCTTCTTTAGGAGAGAAACCTAAATCAGTGGACTTGATTTTATGCCTGTATACATGATATGGTCAAACAAAAAGGAGAATTTTTTACATCCTTTAACCAATTTTGCTTGTTGGAGATAGCAGAGATGTGGAAAACTGGAAAATTTGGTAAATGTAGTCTCTGTTCATATGATCTCAGTTAGAGATAGACCTAATGAAGTTTTAAGAACAAATAAACGAACTTCTTAGAGGAGTATCAACATTGCATATTAATGAATGAGTTATCCTTTCTTTGATTCCTTCACTAACCACTCTGCTCTCGCGGGAATTAAAGGTACCAGGATTCTGTATGACATCAAGCATGATGTGATACATTAGAAAAAATATTAATTAAAGCATAAAATATTTTGCATGACTTTGCATTCTTCTAATCTGCTTAGTCAAAGGTCTTGTCATATCTCTTGTTTTGATTTTTTTGAAGATATGAAATACTGAGAACTCCTTAACACTTAAAACTCAACAGGTCTGTAAAAGATGATGATGTCTTATTAGATATCTCATACTGTGGAATTTGCTTTGCTGATGTTGCTTGGACAAGGAATTACATGGGGCACTCAAAGTATCCTTTAGTTCCAGGGTATGTGTTTCATCACACCACAAGACGTTCTTTACTAAAAATATTTCCATGCTTTTTCTTTCTTCAGAAGGTAATAAAACTTTGTAATGATCAGACACGAGATCACTGGGGTTGTAAGAGAAGTTGGCTCCAAGGTGTCAAAATTTAAACCCGGAGACAACGTAGGAGTTGGAACATATGTTGACTCTTGCAGGGAGTGTGAATATTGTGAGGAAAGGCTTGAGGTTCACTGTGCCAAAGGACAAGTCTTTACTTTTGATAGTATAGACTCCGATGGTACAGTGACTAAAGGAGGATACTCTAGTTTCATTGTTGTTCATGAAAGGTGAGATTAATCAGAACCATCTCTTACTGAAGTCATCTGTTTAATACAAAAGGCCTAATTTTTGCTCTAACTCTCAGGTACTGCTATTCAATACCTGATGGCTTCCCACTAGAGTTAGCAGCACCATTGTTATGTGCTGGTATTACTGTTTACACGCCAATGATGAGACACAACATGAACAAGGCCGGTAAATCGTTGGGTGTAATTGGGCTAGGAGGTTTAGGACACTTGGCAGTGAAATTTGGAAAGGCTTTTGGTTTGAAAGTGACAATTTTCAGCACTAGCGAATCCAAAAGAGAGGAGGCTTTGAGTCATCTGGGAGCGGATGATTTTGTGGTCTCATCTGACGAACAGAAGATGAATGTTAGTGGAATTTCTTTTAGAATATCTTTTTAACTTTTCCATAGTCATCAAATTGCTGACTTACCTTACTGATATACAGGCGCTTTCCAAGTCATTGGACTTCATTCTTAACACTGCTTCTGGCAATATTCCATGTGATGCATACCTTAAAACCTTGAAAACTGGTGGTGTTCTTGTGATGGTTGGGTTCCCACGTGAAATTAACATAAGCCCTATAAATTTAATCCCAGGTACTCTCATTATGCAGATGACATCCCGATTATGTTCACTTCTTTTAATAAGAGTTGTCTTGTCATTTGCTAATTAACATGGCTTCTTGCAGAGGCGAGAACCATATCGGGTAGTCTCACTGGTGGAACGAAACAGACTCAGGAAATGTTGGAGTTCTGCGCTGCCAACAAGATCTACCCTGAAATTGAAATAGTTCCAATCCAGTATTGTAATGAAGCACTTGATAGGATGATAAAGAAGGATGTGAAGTATCGATTTGTGCTGGATGTGGCAAACTCCCTCAAGTGAGGCACAACAGAGCTGCTTTATTGCTGTGCAGAAAGATCTCTGCTATATCTCAATAATTTTGCACAAAAGTTTCAGTGTTCAGTTGACCTTCCTGATTTCCACCTACGGATACTTGGAAGAGCTAGTTTAGCATTTTCTGTCCGATGATGCATCTTTTGTATAATGCTTTGACAATATCAATACGTTACTGTTCTTTGAAATAATACGAAATGCCACTATGACTAATAATCTTTGGTTGTCTCCACCTCAACCCTTAAATTTATTTCAACTTTGATGAACTTCATTTGCATTGTTACACTAAATAAATATTCAATGATGATCAAGAAAGCGACGTAAATGAGCATGATATTCTAAACTTTATAAGCTCACCATGTTGTGAAGGACAAGACAAGCAAAAGTTTAAGGAATAAATCATCATTAGCCTTATCAAAATCAAAACCGTCACGAGTAAATATGATAACCACGCTTTTCCACATCTAACCCTTTATCGAAAAAATGCAATCTTTGTATGAATGCCCATTTGTGACCCTAATATAACCTTCTTTTTTCTCGGTTTGTCTTGTTGTATACGTCAGAAACAGAGTTTTCTAAACAGGGTTGGCTTTAATCACAGTACTTTTACCATTGAAATCCATAAACTCCAGGATTTTGCTCAATTCTTGCGGAGTAGACTCCCAGTTTGGGTCTATGTAATCCTACTTTGTCATATTCACTGGATGTTGATTGTTTCAGATGATCATAGTCAAATAGGCAATGAATATTTTTATGTAAATTGTCTTTGATCAACCTTCAGATTGTTAAGTAGTTCATATCTATCTTTCTAACTTGCAGAAACAGCCTCCATGGCAGACTTTGTGGCCGTGACAGCACTCGCGGCAGAAAAGGTTGAGTCCTTCTCCCTCAAAGTTACTTGAAAGTTGAAAATATGAATATTTAAGATTATATCTAGCATCTGTTAGTCAATGTCTTTGAGAAACTTCGTATTCAAACATTTCAGAGCTTGACTTTTGTGAGCTTTTAATCATTATCTACAATGGCAAAGGGAATGGTTCCTCGCCCCGGTCTAGAAGGCCTTGAATTCCAAGGTTTGACCAGGTTCTCTTACTTTTTAGTATTTTTTTTTTAAAAAAAATTTTGTTTTTGGTTCTTTTTTTTTTCCAAGATTGGACATTGATCTAATTGATCCTCAAAACAAGGCTTTTTTATTCAATGTCTGATTAGGTTCTAAAGTTTTCCTAGGTTGTAATGTGTGTTGCTGTTATAAATACTCCGCCCAAATAGGAGGCATACCATAATCCTCTTTCCCATTGTTCTGCTTCTGATTTATCTCATCCTTCAAGGCCTCATTTTTTGACATTTGGGTATGTTGTGTTCTTCTGTAAACAAACACTATCTTTTTACTGGTTTTCGTTTTTATAAAACGTATGATCAATCCTTTATTCATCCTTGATGTAGGTTTATTTCCACGTTACTTGTAATACATTTTGGAGTTTTTTGCTCAACATGAATGTTGAGATGACTCGAATGAGTAATGAAGTTGTACAACATGCAAAATCTCCCATTGAATGTTCCATTTTGTAATGCCCTGCTAATTTTGGGTTGAGGGGCCTAAAATAATGATCACAGTTTGCTTTTTTAATGCCTGAATCAGATGTTTTTTATCCAGCAACATGAATGTTAGGAGTGATCCCTTATATGCATGATTGCGAGAATCTCTCTCGATATAATTTTGAATCAACGTTGTCATTTCTTTCGTATTATATCTGCTACTCCTGTTTCTCAGGTTTCTTGAACCATGGCTTCCGAGAGTGTGAAAGATAACTGTGTTGCATATGCAGCGAGAGATACATCTGGAGTCCTGTCTCCTTACGCGTTCACCCGCAGGTTTGTCTACCTCTTTTCCTTCTATGAAGAAATGATCCCGAGTTCTGCCTTTATAAACTGTGTCAGCCAAAATGCAGATTTTTTAAATCCTCACCATTTTTGCTCATTGAGGTAACAGGGAAGTGTAGAGCATTTGGCAAAATTTAGCTTCTCTTTCATATCATCTCATTCAGAGATTAACCTAACAAAGTTTTAAAATGAAAAGTAAAGAGCATTTGGAAAGGTATCTAAATAGAACGGTGCAAATTATTGGATTTCTGTGTCAATTATATCAGTGAGTTAAGATGTCAAAGAGACCACTAAGAGGATCCCTACAGTTTAAGAATAATACTGTCACCTATATGCATGGTCCACCTAGTATAAGGAGCAGGAAAAAACAACATCTCTATTTTGTATGATTTTTGCATCCTCCTAATATACTTAGTTGTCAGGGCTTTCAATATTTCTTGATTTTATTTCTAGACAATTTGAAGTTCTGAGAACTCTAAACACTCAAAACTCAACAGGTCAGCTAGAGAAGACGATGTTGTTTTAGATATTAAGTACTGTGGAGTTTGCCATGCTGATGTGGTGTGGACAAAGAACTACCATGGACGTACAAAGTATCCAGTAGTCCCCGGGTACGTTTTTCATAAGATAACAAGATGTTTTAGTAAAGCTTCTACTTCATTCTTTCATGGGAAGCTAATAAAACGTACTAATCATCAGACACGAGATCGCTGGGGTTGTAAGAGAAGTTGGCTCCAAGGTGACAAAATTTAAAGCTGGAGATCACGTAGGAGTTGGAGTATATGTAAATTCTTGCAGGGAATGTGAGTATTGTAACGAGGGGCTAGAAGTTCACTGCGTCAAGGGAACAGTTTACACTTATGATGGTATAGATACCGATGGCACAGTGACTAAAGGAGGATATTCTAGTTTCTATGTTGTTAATGAAAGGTGAGTGTAATCAGCGAAAGCTCTACCTAAAGTTGACTGTATGATCTGAAATTAAACTAACTTATCCGTGTTAACTTGCAGGTACTGCTATTCGATACCTGATGGATACCCGCTAGAGTTGGCAGCGCCCTTGTTGTGTGCCGGGATTTCTGTTTACACGCCAATGATGAGACACAACATGAACCAACCTGGTAAATCATTGGGTGTGGTTGGTTTAGGAGGACTAGGACACATGGCAGTGAAATTTGGAAAGGCTTTTGGTTTGAAAGTCACAGTTTTCAGTACTACTGAATCCAAAAGAGACGAGGCAATAACTCATCTCGGAGCAGATGATTTTGTGGTCTCATCTGATGAACAGAAGATGAATGTTAGTAGCGCTTCCATTAATTTATGCAGCACACTTTCTAATTTACTTATGTCGTAGTCAGCGTCAACTTGCTCAACTGTCTTCTGTTGCAGGCACTTACCAAGAACTTGGACTTCATTCTCAATACTGCATCTGGCGACATTCCCTTTGATCCATACTTGAAAACCTTGAAAACCGGAGGTGTTCTCGTGATAGTCGGCTTTCCAAACGAAATCAAAATGATGCCAGTGAGCCTAATCCCGGGTACACTCTCAACTGATAACATCCCTATTCTTTTGACCTATTTCAAAAATGTTGTCTAATAACTTTTTTAACTAATGTGGCTCCTTTCAGAGGCGAGAAGCATAGTGGGGACTCTCACTGGAGGAACAAAACAGACTCAAGAAATGTTGGATTTCTGCGCCAAGAACAAGGTGTACCCAGAAGTCGAGATAGTTCCGATAGATTATTGCAATGAGGCTCTCGCCAGGTTGACGAAGAAGGATGTGAAGTATCGTTTTGTGCTTGATGTTGCAAACACTCTCAAGAAACAATAAGTCACTCTCTTGGCAATGCAGTGATCTCAGCTGAAACTTCTGCAGTTTTCAGACTACAGAGTTCCAATTATTAACTTGGTTTCCTTTGTAATCTACTTATAATAGTAGGTTGTATGGTGTGTATCAAAACGCTACTTTTTCTTGTATTAATCCTGTTGAATTGATTACATTTACCATTTGTCTATCTTAGGTGTTAAAATTTAGCTGGCACGAGCAAAAGTAATGTATCATTTACCTTCACATTCTGCCAATTCATAACAAGTTATGTACCATACAGTAATAATTTGGAGATTAATAGAGTTTCTTGATTTCATTGTTCAGAAAAAGAAAAGAAAGTTGATTAACAAAAAGTTTCCGATGATTCTCGTGAACAAGTTTTTACGGCTTGTTTATCATCAAGAAGCCTCTCATGGACATTGCCTTTTCCCTGGGTCAATGGGCAGTTCATCTATTAACATAGTACAAACTGCCAAAGATGCGATTTTTACATCAAAATTAGGCCAACAGAAAGCAGCTACGGTGCTGGTCCTCCATCCAATCTGAGAAAAGCTCGTTACCCTTCTTTCACGCTTTGGTATAGCGCATCAAATTCATCCTTGAACTCAGAATCATTCTTGAACAAACTGCCTTTTCATTCACATGAAAGTCGACGACTTGAAAAGCTTTTTGTACTGATGATGAGTTGACAAGTTTCTAATTTTCCTAGTCAAAGCATTTAGAAGAACTTGCCATTTTTAATAATTAATTTTTTGATTCTTTCATTGCTTTCAGGCCATTAACTTCAATCAGGCTTTGATTATTTTTAAGTTTCATAATCAGGCTTACAAGATAAGGATCTAGTCCTATTTAAGGTATCATGATTTGCCGGTCTTCCAGGATAACCCGTGATGTCTGCTGTATAATCACTCACACGTAATATCCGACATCAGCGTTTCTTTCACTGTTTTGTAAGTATGTTCTATTATTAGAAAACCCCTGTTTCCACTTCCATTTCTACTACAATATCAGTATTATATAGCCTAGCCAGGTGAAAAGAACAATCATCTTATTCTAAATTCTCATCTTTCAGGTTCTCCGGGCTGTGGGTATGTCTTAGATTTGTGTTATTAGTACTTTGAAATCGAATGAATCAAGAATCCTGTTTCTTTCACCTATATTTTGAGATGGCATGTTCATGTTTTTCTCTTGGGCATTTCTGTTTATGATTCATGATCTGCATCTTCTCACGTTTGAATCTGTCGTGTTTTGTTCATCTGTATGATTCCATTCTGTATTCATGTTTATGATCTGCAGCTCCAGTTCTATACGAGTTGTGATCATTTCACTGGTTACTGATTCAGGATTTTTTTTCTTTTTTTTTTTCATAGAACTATGGCTTCACAAACCGCCAAAGAAGATTGCAAAGGCTATGCTGCAAGAGATCCATCCGGAGTCCTGTCTCCTTATACATTCAGCCGCAGGTTTGACATATATCTGGTTATTTCTGAAGTTTTTTTCATAATCCATCCATCCCATAAATAGTCCGCTTTGTTTAACTAAAACAATATTAGTGGACTATTTCTCTGAGACGTAGGGAGTATATTTTATTCTGCTACTATATGAGTATGGTACGTTGAACAATAAAGCGATGAGGGTAGGTTCTTGTTGATTTTTCCGCGCAACACTCTGATTGAAAGCTGTTGGCACTTAACAGGGATGTCAGGGAAGATGATGTCTTGTTAGATATCGCGTACTGTGGGGTTTGTTACGCTGATGTTATATGGTCGAGGAATTTTATGGGACATTCCAAGTACCCCTTAGTACCCGGGTACGTATAATATGGCTGATTATGTAGCCTTTTTTACTAGAATGGGGTTCTTGGCTGATTCATTATTGATAAAGGCATGGAATTTTCTGTGAACAGACATGAGATTACTGGTTATGTGAAAAAGGTTGGCTCCAAAGTTACGAAATTCAAACCTGGAGATCGAGTTGGAGTTGGAACATATGTTAACTCTTGCAAAGAGTGCGAGTACTGTAATGACAAGCAAGAGAATTACTGCGTCAAGGGACAAATCTTCACTTATGATGGTATAGATTCTGATGGTACAGTTACTAAAGGAGGATATTCCAGTTACATAGTTGTTGGTGAAAGGTGAGTGTTCTTTACTGCAATAGTGCAAAAGTTTTACCATAAGTTTGGGGAAAGCCTGAATAGTTGTTGGTGAAAGGTGAGTGTTCTTTACTGCAATAGTGCAAAAGTTTTACCATAAGTTTGGGGAAAGCCTGAATTTAAGCGAAATTTGCTTACTTTGATGCTCTATGAATTTTGCAGATTCTGCTACACAATTCCTGAAAGTTATCCAATGGAGTTGGCAGCACCATTGTTGTGTGCTGGAATTACTGTTTATTCACCGATGATGCGACACAACATGAAACGACCTGGGAAATCTTTGGGTGTCATCGGATTAGGTGGTCTGGGACATTTGGCTGTGAAATTTGGGAAAGCTTTTGGTTTGAAAGTCACTGTGTTCAGCACTAGCGAATCGAAAAAAGAAGAGGCAATGACTCATCTAGGTGCTGATAATTTTGTGATCTCATCTGATGAACAGCAGATGAATGTGAGTAGGCTCTGAAGTATAAACTTTTCCAGTTTCGTTTGGAATATTTAAGTAAACCAACTGTTCATTGTTGAAATCATTGCTGAATCCTCTGCTTTCTGTCTTGGCAGGCACTTACAAAGTCACTGGACTTTGTTCTTAACACTGCTTCTGGTAATATTCCATGTGATCCATACCTGAAAACTTTGAAGACTGGTGGTGTTCTTGCGATGGTTGGCTTCCCGCGCGAAATAAACATCAGCCCTGTAGCCCTAATTCCAGGTACCGCCTTTTCCACAATCATATCATCATGAAAATTTTGTGCCATTATTTTTCCTGTAAGGGCTCCTTTGTAATGTGGATTATCCCTGTACTACTTACAGAAGCGAGAACAATCACGGGGAGTGTAACTGGCGGCACAAAGCAGACACAAGAAATGTTGGAGTTCTGTGCAGAGCACAAAGTCTACCCGGAAATAGAAATTGTCCCAATCGATTACTGTAATGAAGCACTTGAAAGGATGATTAAGAAGGATGTGAAATACCGCTTTGTGATCGATGTTGCTAACTCCCTTAAGTGAGCCTTGCAAATCAAGCGTCGTTGCCCGCCCCAGAAAAGCTTAGCAAGACGAAAAGTTTTCATCTTTACTTTTAGTTTGGAGTTGCTAAAAATTACAGAGTTCCAAGTCCTTCCTCAGATCTTGGGTATGAAACACTTGGAGAATTCTGCTTTTAGTAACTGTTATGGACAACGATGGTGCTAGGAGAAATGTGTTAGAGATGCAGTCTCTGCATACTTTTGTCTTGGAATAATGTTTCACGTATTTCAGTTCAACAAGAGCATTTCTGCTTCATCTTCCAGAAATTTTTCCTTCCCCCGATCCCTGATAATAATGGATGCATTTCTGACCAAAAACAATACAATGCAGAGTGTTTTTCCATTCAAGAACACCAGGAAATCAAGCAACCTTATTTTTCAATACATTCCACGATAAGCCGGAGGAAGTTAAGGATGACATCAAAAGTCATCATGATGCCCCTTTACGCCCAATGCGAACACACAATATACAGGACCAAAGGGTTGCAATCTCGCGAGGGACCATCTCGATTTTCTTTTTCCCACCCAAAAGTTGCCTTCAAAGGAATGCATAATACACTCTGGAGAAGCAGGTTAAACCAATGGACTAAAAATGGGTTCACCCGCCTATCGACTTATCCTTCTACAGAGCACATGTACAAACAGGAGTCGCAGAACCAACATTAACAAAACCACAAGCACACAGTATGTAGAAAACTTCAAGAACATTAATTTGATAAAAGCCATTGTTGCTTCCATGTTATCTTCTAAGAAAAACCAATGATGCTACCGGCATAGAAGTGTATGACAACAACAAAATGAAGTACTATTAGAGCAGCTTTCATAAATGGAGGCTAATGTCATTTCAGGCAGCTTGTTTACAACCATATAGCAACGTGCCTAAGCTCCATCTCCCAAACATAAGTATTTATTCCACTGAGACTGCGGAGGATTGAGGACTAAAATTTCAAGGAGTCTTGGCCTTCGGACGCGAAGGAAGCAACTGCAATGATAAAAATAGAGTATCTCAATAATGTATAACACATGAAAGTGCCCAGAAAGGGCAAAAATCTTGAAAGCTATGCTTCTGTGCTAGATATCATATCCATGAATTATTTCCTGAAGAGATAAGATGAGAAATCCAAAGAAACACAAAACCAAACTGAATCCAAAGAGTTTTTCTGATACTAAAAATAGCAGAACCAATGCTCAGTGATTAACAAAAAAAAAAAGAAGAAAATACTTCCTCAAACGAATACGTCAATAATAATGTCATCTTTGAGAGATATTGATAAGAAACATGCATTTAGTTTTTTCATATCAGCTTCTTTAATTTTATATGAAGCAAAAACAATGCATCCAGTTTCATAATTAACTGATGTGAATAGTGCTAAGAGTGGTTGAAAACCTGATAACAAGATATGAGCGAGCTGGCAAATCCAAAGGCCCCTGTTACACGAGGAGTAACTTTCTTCGGCGCCAATTGAAGCAATCCAACTGCAACAACTATGTCAATCCCTGCTTTAATGAGTGCCAGGGATCTGTCATTGGACTTCTGAAGTTTAGTACGATATTGCTCATTCTGCAAGACCAAGTAACCAACAACCAACCAAAGGAAAAGGATTGTCAACCAAAGGTAAAGGCAGAAAAAGAGAAAAAAGAGACAAGGAATGACACTACTCATCATGCACTTGTTGTCGGAAAAATTGAACCTTATATTTATCAGTATTCTTGAGTTCCTTCTCCAACTTCTTCATTGATGCTGAAAGCCTCCCGAGCTCCCCTAGCTGACAACAGAGTACCACAAGACAACGGCAACCATTTTAATGTTAGTAAGATAGAAGAACATCTTGAACAGAGTAGACCATAAACAGAAAGAGTAAGCTACAGACCTCAACCAAAGTGGTGCAAACTGAAGAGCTCAACCAACAATAGAGAGAGATCCTGCCAATCAGCTCTGTACGTTCTTTGTTCTGAAATAGAGGGAAATTCAGGCCATTTTACAATAAATTCCTCAAAGGAACTTAACATATCTAACAATAAAATTTCAACCAGCAAGAGTTAAGATACCTTATAAATGCCTGTCCTGCCAAGCCATACAATTTGGTCGAGGAACAAGAAAGTTGACAGAAGTGCATTTTTAGACTGCAACATCATCAACAATATTAGAAAAGCAACACGCATTTCATTGGGAAGTTAGACTGTGAAGCAACCATCATACCTTTCCTAACAAAACGATTGGAAGTGGAGTGCCTGGGGCAGGTGGGCTAATAAGTGCATGCAAATCATTGATAAACTGTAAAAATCAAACAAAAAGAAAAAAGTCAAGCCAACTAATTAGAACAAACCATAGAGATGAAAAGTTTGCAAAGACACAAAATAATAATATCAAGCCTAGACAACATAGAGCGCAAACAAGGATGTTTTTTCTACAATCACAAAGGGCTATACGACAGATATTGACCTTAAATAGACGGAAAACTTTTCGAGCCAAGCTGGTTGATTTGTCAACATTTTGTGCTGTTCCAGGCTCTCCGTTACTCAAGAATTTCGAACCATATTGGATTGCCCTGCATATTTTGTCCCTGGCTTCTGCTTTGTTCAAATACAGCACTGCAAGAGCAAGTTCTGCTCTGGCTACGTCTAGAGTGCTCGTGCTCATATTTCTAGAATTTTAGGGGAAATCAAGATTCAAAAATTCCATTCAGATAAATCAATCAAGGATAAGCAGAAAAGAAATCATATAAGCAATAAGAGGAAATCAAATTGCAGTGAATACAGAGACAGGAAACTTTAAACTACATTTGCATCACATGACTTGGTACTTGATGGTAACTTTTCCGCAAATGTTTATATCTTGAAGCTCAATTCATTATTTTCCAGCTAGAGAACATCAGATACTGAACTCCATTAACTATGGAAAAGTTTGCACACTTGAACTACCAAGCTTCATTTTATACACAGCTTCCCCAAAGAAACTAAAGAGCAGAGCTTCAAATTTGTAGATTAACTTCCATAAGAAAGATTTCAAAAGCAAAATTACTAGTCAAATACTCCCAAGTTTAAGGTCAACGTCAGTCTCTCCATTCCCCTACTACTGTATATAGGCAAGAATGCAAATTTAAATCAAGGCTCTGGCTACTGATGTTCATAAAAACATATTTGGCAACAAAATTTATGAACCACCACCACCACCACCACCAAGTATTTAGAAACACCATAGATGCATCAAAAGTAAATTCTCGCAAACCAAAATGAAAGCACAAAAGAGAAGCTGTGATTAGTAATATTCTTAATTTGCTCAGTTCCAATCATCAACTTCTGTCAGTTGACTGCAAAGGTCGAATGAGCTATATTTCCTAGTCTAAAAAAAGCCTTAAATTCTTCCCCTTTCAGTAACTCTTACAAATCACCTTCCCCACCTCCCCTGACCATGAAATCAAAACGTAATCTTTTTACAGAATAAAAGGGCATAAAAATCACATAAAACCCATCAACGATTCCGCATGACAAGCTCAAAAAAAAAAAAAAGTATAAAAGAAAGCAGCTAAATTCACATAAAACCCATCAACGATCCCGCATGACTAGCTCAAAATCGCAATCACAGCCAAAGGTTAGCTCGACCCTCTTCCCAGAAACAAAAAAACAGCTACTTTTTCAACACAAAAGAATCAAATTTGTGATTTACCTGAATAAGAACCCACAACAGCACCAAAGAAAACACAAACAAGAAACGCCCTTTAGACCACTATCACATACAAAAACAAAGGTGCCAAGACGAGTGTGAAGAATTGATTGCGCGAAGAAGAAAAGAAAAAGAAACGAACGATGAAAGCTGGATATATTGAATAATACCAGTAAAATGATGGTTCCGGGAAGTGTGCCGGAGTCTTTTTGCCTCGAACCTCCCAATTCGGGTTTCTATAAATATCGTATGTGATTGATTCAACACGAGTTCGATAATAGATAGGGGAGAAGATGTGTGCGTGACAAGGGCTTGTTCGGTCCTCCCATTTTGACTCAGTGCCAAAACAATTATTTTCACAGAATATTTGATGAATTATCCCTTCTACGATATTTTTTTTTCTTCTCTGCCTTTTCTTTTTTAGCCAAATAAGCAAAACTTCTTCACTTTTAATAAAAAACTTTTAAGAAAAGAAGCAAAGATATTTTGCTCTATTCATTGCAATTATAGGAGTTTTTTGGGGGTTATATGTTATGTATATTCTTACGTCTCAAAATGAATAATTTAATCGTTATATGCACTATATGATAATCTTTAAAAATTATAAATAAAATTATTACACACTCTCTTTGTTCTAACATAGTTGTCCAATTCATATTCTCATTTTTAATATAATCTGTATTAAAAATAAAGTCTCAAAAAATCATTTTGGACATCGCGAATACTTATTTTTACAAATTACAACAAGATGATGAATGGAGAAGCTTTATAGTATTACAAAAAATCTTTTTTGCATTGTTCCTTGCAAGTGCTTGAGATTTTATTTACTTGTTACTTTTTTTTTTTTATGAATTGTTGGATCTTATAGTTGGGTTTATAGTTATCGTCGTCCTTACTGATAAATTTACTCCCTTCGTCCCGTAATTATTGTTTAATTTAAATTTTTATTTTTAATTCAGTTTATAATAAAAATGAAAATTTAAACTGGGGAATAATTTCGGAACGAAAGGAACATTAATTTTCATTCTTAGTTACGTTTCAAATGCACTTACTCCTCGCCACGTATTATTATTTTGTTTTATTAAAAAAATACTTCTTGCATTTTAAAAAATAATTCATATTTGTATTTCGTAAATTATATTTAAAATAGCATAGTTGATATTTTATAATATAGATTATTTTTGCAGAATTCGGTAATTGCTTTAAAAGTGAACAATTCACGTTGACCTGTGAAATTTATTCAAAACAGAAACAAATATAGGACTTGTGAGTTAAGAAAACTATTTGGGAACTTGTTTATGGTACTTTAAGTCATTCGAATAATTACCTAAAAATGCTGACCAAAAAGAACATGGTAGAAAATAATTATGCTGTATAGAACATAAGATATACCCGTTAAGTGGGAGGGTTGGGTGGAATGGTTATTATCGGAAGATCGAGATTCGATTATCGCTAGGGTCATCTAATTTTTATTTTTATTTTTTTTTTAAAAAAACATAAGATGTACCGGTCGTATACCATCTTAGATTCCTCGTTCTAATAAAGAACATTATGAGTGCTGGAGGTGATAAATTGATAACAGTTTTTTTAGATTGAGAGTAAAATATTAGTAACTACCTAAATTATTCCTAGAATTATAAAAGTCTCATCCTATTTATTTTCTCTAAATTTTCTCTTTTCTTTGATCTGGTCGTCATTTGCAACAATGTTGATCTTTATTTGGCTAATATGATTTCACTACCAAATCAGAAAATCCAACGCATCTTCAAAAAATAGTTTCACAAAACTTCTTGAAAATTACTTCATTAAGCAAAACTTCCAAGAAAAGAATCAGAATGGAAAACTACTTCATCAAGTTCAATTCAGCCACAATCTTCACAAAACAAACCTTCAAGCTACTCCTTTGACCCGAGCCCAGATCAAAATCTTTTCCAGTCGCCGGTTTCATTCAAAGTTACCACCTCTTCCACCCCTCGCAATTATCCTTACAATTAATTCTAATTTTACATGGTTAAAACAAATCATTGTATCAATCTAATACTTATTATACGAGAGAATTGCCCATTAAACTCACTTCAATGCTTCGGTGCGAGGCACCATGAACTGAACCCAAAAATAGAAATTGATTTTGATGAAAAACATTGATACGAAGGAATTCAAAACATATTTGATTTTAGACCAAATGAGCAATTGAGGGGCCGCAGATGAATTATGATGCCAAGCGGAAGAACCGCGCGCCCCCATCTTCGTTTGTGAAGAAGAACAGTTAAGAAACAAAACGAAAAAAATTTGGCAAAAAAATTAATAATTCCAATAAAATTTTAGACGAGAGTAATATAAAAAATTAATAAAATTTTACTCTTAATATAACAAATCTGTTCTCAATTTATCAATTCCCTATGAATACCTATTTGGTTGGTGTCATAGTTTCGTCAAATGAGTCGTCTGCCAGCCATATAACGAAAATCTTGATTGGGTTTTACATTAAAAAGAGCTATTAGTCAATAGAGTCGTCCGAGTCACCTTCTTTTATTCATGTGTTTACCAAACATTTCTTTATGATTACTTGGAGTAATTGATAAACTTGTTTATCACTATTTATAACCTAATCACTCGCTTATTTTGATATTGTTAATGTACCAAACGTTAGTAATCAATCAAACAGCTACTAAAAATTTTTTAGAATGAAATTGGAGAGACTAATAAAAAAGACCATAAAAAAATCAAATCAAATCAACATTCTTCATAAGAGTAATAATATTATAGTCACCTATTTTATATCACTATTGCATCTCACACTGCATGATATTTAATATTAGATAAAATTTAAGAAGACAACTAATTATTGAGTAAGTTTTAATAAATAAATTAATTGCTTTTTTATTGGATTTATAGTTTTAAATATTTGTATATCCAAAACTTTAAAACAAGTAAACTAACTTAAAAATATTAAACTTTTAAGGCTAAAGTTATAGTAATGATGAAAATGACTATCAACAGGACAAATATTAGTGAGAAATATATTACTCCTATTTACATTATATTATTCTGATGAAAGGGTAGTGGTTCACCAAGTGATATAAGAAATTTATTGTCCAATAAAACAATGTCATGTGAAACGAATATTATTATTCCTTTCATAAATCTTAATTACTTTTCAACGTGAATAATAATTGTGCATATTTACAATTTTTACATTAATCACTATTTAATTTTGTTGGACATACCAATTTTCATTCCATAAATACTTTATTTTATTTTATTTTCCTGTCATTTTTGTCGACACTAATAACTAATTTCTCTAACAGACAGCAACCGTAAATACAAATAATTGATTGGAAGGTGTTTTTTCTTTTTCTTTTCTTTTTTCAATTCTCCACTTCAAAAGCTCATAGGCCAACCTGGATTCACCAGCATTTCAAGAGCCCAACCCAATTTCCCAACCCGATCCACTTTAAGAAAATTTGCTGGGTACCATTAGGAAAAAATTTAACCTGGTCGAGTAGAAGGGACTCCTCCACCCTTAACCGTAGGTAAAGAGTTCGAATCTTGCCATGGACATCGAGCAACCTTAAATACTTTGGCCAGCTGACAGCTGTCCTACAATCGAGATGCCTACGATTCAGTAAGGGGGATTAGTCACTGTTGCCGACAGTGGATACCCTGCAAATATGAAAAAAAATAATAAATAAATAAATAATAATTTCGAACGGATCACTATTGCCGACGGTGGACACCCTGCAAATATGAAAAAAAAAATAATAATCTCGAATGGAGGGAGTACTTCGAGTGACAATTTATGATACGAATGACGACTCATTCGTTTGTTTTGGTGTGAAACATGAACCGCGGACAAGCAAACTGGAACCTGGAATAGATAACCTGTTATATTAACATTATAGTAATTGATATATCGTCACATTAATTTTCACGTTCAATCTGTAAACACAAAAACACAACAAAGTCGCTACCCTCAGAGATCAAACACTAGTCTCTTGCTTGTGTTTCTTCTATTTTCTAACCATACAGAACTTGATGAACAGTACATAACCTTTTGATAATAAATGGAATCATCATTGCTAAAAATGACTTTTATTTGCTTGGCATTGATAGTAAAATTAAAAGGAAGATGAGGGCAGTGGGGGCTAACTTCAGAAAGCCCATATGTGCATGTTGCTCAGTGCTGGCTGACATTTTAATCATCATAACAAACCATATCTTCAAGTGATGTCAGGTGAAATGGAGCTCTCTCCAATCATTAAAAGCTTGAAAAGTACTCATAACCTCAGCTAAAAAATTTGAATGTGACATTCTGACAAAACCCACTAACCAATTGAATTTCAAAATGAATTCCTCCAATTTGACTGCAAAGATCATTCCTTGATCCTAGCTATACTGTGTTTGAAAAACTTGGAAGATTTATAGTTCATAGAGTTGAATACTTGATGAACAAAATGAAATCATTCAGTAAGGGAGATAATTATTATTGAATTAATTGAAGGGTATAAAAGGGCTCCTTCATAACATTCCAAAAGGCATTTATGGGGCAATGATGCTGTACAGAATGATGGAATTATTACTCATACCATAACCCAAACAACTACTTATTACATTTGAGTTACACAAGCTGGTTAATTTTACCCCATCCCCATCTAAGACCATTTTGTTTCATACAGATTATGAAACAAGAACAAGATAATTAAATTAGTTCATGTTACATTGATGTTCTTCAACTGCCTTCTACTTCCTGATAAATAAGCTCTTCAACTTCCCTCTTTCCAAACGCTCGAGCAGCTTTTTCGCCCCGGGGATGTCCATTTCACTCAGCTTTTTTAGATAGCCAATTGCCCCATATGAGATCATCAGCTTCTTGCATTTCTTGCTCGAGGAGAGCAATGCAAGACAAGAAACTGCATACTTCTTGGCTGAGTTTTGAGGGCTTGGATCTAGCAGTTGCACCAGATTTGGCACGCTTTTGTCGTCTTTCTTCACTTCTCTGCAATTATGGGACAGCGTCATTAAGTTAGAAATCGCTTGTGCCGCGACTTCCCTGGCACCATTTGCTTTAGCTTCCAGCATCTTCACCAGCAGAGGAATGCAACCAGCTTCGCCGAACAGTTTTTTCATTTCTGTAGAACTACAGAGTTTGCAGATTGCAGATGCCGCAGCTTGCTGAGCGCCAACTGATCCGAATTTAAGTACATGAACCAACCTGGGAATGACTCCAAGTGAGATCACATCATCCATGGAGACTAAGCCAACCAAATTTCGAACTGCTCCAACGGCAGATTCCTGAGGAAGTGGACCATCCAAATAAGCTAGCAAGCTTTGTATTCCCTTCTCTGAAATTATAGACTTTCTTAAACTGTCATTGGTAGAGCTGAGATTCTGTAAGCATTCAGCTGCATACTCTTTTGATCCCAACAAAATTCCACAATCCAAAAGACTAATCATTAGCTTTACAATCCCTTCTTCAGCCAGTGTCTGCCGCACCTCTGGAACAGAAGATATGTTCTTTAAGGTACAGGCAGAAGCTGCTTGAGAAACGGAATCACCAGTTCGACAGATCTCAACAAGAGGTCTAACCCCGCCATGCCCAACAATAGAACGGGCAATTTCTGCCGACATTGACAACCTTTGGAGCGAAATCGTAGCCTTTTCTTTACCCACTGGACTACCAGACTCAACAAGCCTTATCAGAGGTGGAAGAACACCTTCAGAAACAAGCCAATTTTCACAACTGCCAGATTCTGCAAGCGAGCATATCACTGTTACCGTCTTTTCTCTAATTCGAGGAGACGTAGCAGTCAACAATTGAACAAGAGCTGCAATATTGCTACGTCCTAAAACAGCCAAAACATTCTTTTCATCTTCTTTCATGACTTCCACAAGGGTATCAAGAGCTCTATGTTTTGCTTCCAGATGACCAATCTGTAGCCTGGCCAGCAATTCTCTGATACTGCCATGTGACAAAGCCTCGGGTTCAGCTGAAATGTTGCTGGGAGCAGTGGATGGTAAGGTCACCTCACCTAGAACACCAGTTTTTATTAAAAGACCGCAATCACGCAAGTTTAAGTCCAGCTTTCCTGATAATGCATCAAGATCGCTTTGCATACGGAGTTTCCCCTCATATTTCTCCTTTATGCACAACTCTGCCAATTCAATTGCGTCATGTAATGTCTTTGAAACCGCCTGTAACTGCTCCTTGCAAAGTGCATTCTTTGAGAAGAAGGGATGGCTAGACAAGTCAGATAACCGTGTCGGGATCTGCTCCAACTTTGAAACTATCATCTTCCATCTACCAGGGAAAACCTTAACCAACCTTGCTTTCTCCAGTGCCACAGGAACAAGCAGTTGTGCAGAAGATAACCACTCCTCTGCCGACCTATTGTCGACCCCAATATCATTTCCTGCATCCTCAATCATGATTCCAGTAGAGCAAAGCAGCAGATCAAGATTCCGCCAAAGCTAGAGAAAGCTGTAACAGAATAAAAAGAAACCCTTTATGACATTGGACGAAGAAGCCTTGAAATCAACAGAGACTGGAACAAATTTAACTCATTTCCTCCATATACCCAGATAAGAAAACGTGGAAAAGATTGGATTTTTACAATGAGAACAAAATGGGTATAATTGGCTTGAGAGAAAAAGCTATGGACTCAAAACCCAGACCATCAAATTTGAGGCTTGGGTGAGGAAGAAATTTGATAAATCCTTTTAAATTTTAAAGCTGTGGAGCAGTTGCAATCATGAGTCCTCAAATTGTAGGCCTAAAATTAAAATAGTACAATAAAATAAAGAGGAAAGAGAAGGGAAGAAGATTAGCAGCTTCGAGAATCTTACATGATCACATAAAACTCGTTTATACAGAGAACAAGAACCGACAGGCAATTTCCAAGTACCTAATGAAGTCCCCACGAGATTACTTCTTTTGCCTTGTCAAATAATGATTGAATTTTCAATAACACAAAGGTGCAAAAGGCATTTAATATCAGCCAACTAAATGCACACAAAATTAATGATGAACGTATAATGTACACTTGATGAAAGTGAAAGAAGTAAACTTAACAACGGCTATGGTCTATATGAGTACACAGGACCATCCATTAATGGCCGTCGGTAGATTAATCTTGAGATGACCAAGAAGCCCTCACCAAATATCAAGTTGAATACAGTGATAAACACACCAAAAATGCAAAAAAATAAAGCTCACGTACTCAATTGTTGGGGGGCATTTTGTAAAGAGGAAAGCAAAGGTTGGTGACTTTACTTTTCAACTGTGCAATTAGTTGTAGGAAATGGTTGAAGATAAGAATTGATATCTTTAAAGCTTAAAACTCATGGATTAACTGGAGTAGATCTAATCTTTTAGGCAGGGTAGTATAAGTATCCTTCCTTTTTCTAAAAAAAATTTACATAAAACAAAAGGCCCACAATTTCCCACCACCATCCTTTCCCATAGTTTATCTCCCACTGTAAGCGATAAAGGGGATACATACACATAACTTGTATGTTCTAATGGAAGTCTGAAAGAGACTTTGCTTTGAAGAGAAGACAGTGGTCTCTATCTCCAGTTGTACAGTACATGGTGTATTTAAATTTGTAAAAAATGGGACCAAAATGGAAGCAAATGGTTCACAAAATCATTAATGAAATTGAAACAATACCTCAGAAAATATTTGAGCTTTATCTTTTGCCCACCATTCAAGTCACTCTAAAAAAGTTTTTCAGCCACCACCACCTTCCCCTTCTTACTCAAAACTGTTCTGCAAGGAAACATTTAGTCATTAAACCATTAAAGTCACAAAGAAAATGACAATAGCATAATCTTCCACCTTAATTCTGTAAAAGAAGAAAGAGAAAAAAATAAAGCACAAATCTTTGGGATACTTCTCTCTTCTCTGAGCCCCAAAAAAGAGTAAAGCTTGGAGAGATCAAGAAAAGACAAAAGAACCAACCTTTAAGGCACAAAAATGAGATTCCAGGCCTTTTTTCTCCAGAAAGCAACCTTACATAGCTTGATCCTCAAATTTACTAGCTTTTTTATCCACAACCCACAAAGTCTTTTAAGGGGGAAAAAAAAAAAAGAAACAATGGCCACCAAATCCTTCGGTTACCCTTGAAGCAGCAGGCAAGAAATGGACTAAACCAAGTGCCACTGTGATATGGAAGACCAGGAAAGCTCAGAAAACAGAGTCTTTCTTTTTACCCACAGAATACATAAATTTGACCGTGACCAAAAAAGAATGACGCCGGGCAAAATAAGCTACCCAACAAAAGTCTCTGTGATTCACTAATACGACAAGAAAGACATCAAACGGTCGAAAAAACTTCAGTCATCACAGATAAAAGAAAGAGAGAAAGAAAAATCAGAAGAATCTGAGAAGAAAGAATAACTTTTTTTTCTTAAAAAGAAAAAAGAAAAATAAAGACATATTACCTTATCAATGTAAAAAAACTACAGATGGGCTGTTAAGAACGAAACAGGACACAACCCACATTCAAAAATCAAAATTCCAAGCACCCCTTCTTCTCTCTCTCTTTCTGTCTAAATCTATATTCTTATAGAAACAATTGTCAGAGCTGTCTCTCCTTAAAATAATGCAGCCCTTCTCCAACAAACATTTAAACAATGTAGGAGATTTAGTACTAGTAATCACAAAGTCCACAACTAATTCATGTTACTTCAGGCAATTTTTAAATGCATGCAAATGAGCCAAATTCCCATATATGTTTAAGTGTGTGTGTGTGTGTGTGTGTTGTGGGGTGAGGTGCCAGTGGGATTTTTGATATCTTGGATTGTTGGCCTATTAAGGAAAAAAGACAACTGGGATTAAGCATTAAGGGGAATGGAGGGATGTTACAGTGGAAATCTTACCGTTGGATTAGTTGAATTTTGAAAAAGTTGATTTGGGATGTTCAAAATTTGGGAGGGTTTTTTTTTTCTTCACGAAAATCAATGTTGTAGCTTGATTCGATTAGATTCAAATTGCCATGTGGAATTAGTTGGGGTGGGATTTTTTTTTCTTTATTTTTTTGGGTGAAATTGTGGAGGGGTGGGACACAATTCTTTTTTTGAAAAAAAGGTTTCGAGTTAAAGTGTGTTTGGAGATGGACTTTTGATGCACGTGTTGCAGGTTAAAGTCGGGCTATGACTGCTAGCTTGTCGTGAGTCTGTAAATGAATGAATGGTGTGTATGTTCTTCACTTCAATTATTTTTGTAGCAAAACTGTAAAATAAAAGGTTAAACCCAATCAGCTAGCTAGGTATGTATTGGAAAACCCAAGTCTTCAATTAATTCAATGTTAGATCGCATAATCTATTACCATTCACCATGTAAACACACACTTAATAACGTTATGAAGTGTGACATATTATGGTATCAAAAATTATGGTGGTGAGAATTAATAAAAGTTTTATTGATGTCATTATTGCCATTATGCATGAGACATGAGAGGATACTTTTGTAATGATGTAGGCAATATTCATTCCTTCTTATTTTTGTTGCCATTTTTGGAATGAATGTGAAATAATGGAGAAATGATTCAGAGTCGCAGAATGTATACGATTGGAAATGTATAATAAAAGCCTGCTGCTGCTTCAGTCCGTTCTTTTGATTCCCTAATCAAAAGTCATCCCAAAAAGCTGTCCTTAAACATTCAGCATCATCAGCAGTTGAGCGCTATTCTTACAATAAATTATTGAGAGTTCGAATCTCGCTATGGACATGGAGCAATTTTTAATCCTTTGACCAGTTTTCTTATCCATCGAGGTACTTATTATTGAATGAGGGAAATTAGTCACTGTTACTGACGGTAGACACTCTGCAATATGAGTAAAAAAAAATTTATTGAAAGAAAAGTTTTGGATCTGAAATTTGTTTTAAGCCTAAAAAAATGAGAGATCTAGATTACTACGCGATAATAATAAAATGCCAAATCACATCATGACAAAACATTTCACCCTTCAATATAATGATGAGAAAGAAAAGAAGATGAACTTCAAGGGGTGAAGGATGATCCACTCAAATAGTCAAATGTGTACAGTACACTTGCGGCTTCATCTTCTTCTTCTTCTTCTTTCCCAAATCAATAGAGAACATCATATCTTCCACAAAAGTTCTCTGAGTATAAAGCTTGACACTACGTACAAAGTATAGGGCACATATGACACGCTAATTGGTTGACCGCAGATTATAAATTCAAATATGAGATGGATCGTAGCATGTTCGAGTCGGTTGTCAAACCCCTTGTCGAAACTTCACTTGCTCCTGCTCCAAATTAGTGCCCCCCAAACACCCCCAAAAAAAAGGGGGAAAGCTAAACCTAATTTGTCTGTTTACTTTTAGTAAAATTTGTTATACGGTATTTGTTTAACATAGTAATCTGAAAATAAAAGTGAAAAACTGATTTCTAGGCCTAATTTGTCTGTGTACGTTTAAAATTTGTTACATTGTAGTTTAACACAATAATTTTAACTATGACCTGGAATTAAATTGAACATAGATATGCATCAGTGAAGGAAATATTTGTTGGAAGAATTTTACTTTTCGAAAACGACATTTCTTGTTTGAACCTAAATTAGTTGGAGGAATGACAAAATATTAATTGGGAGAGTTTTGCCTTCCAAAAATAAAATAGCTGGTTCGAACTCAAATTAATTGGAGCAACGACTTCGCACATAAATCGCGTGACATAAAATATATATATATATATATATATTAATGTGTTTCACTTTGAAACTTACTTTTAACACAAAAACTCAATACAGGAGACAACTGAAATAATGTACGAGTATTGAGTAGTAGTGAAAAATGAGCCCTATCATCTTCTTAAAAAGTCCCAAACATATTTTGGAAGTGGAAGGATTAAAGAAAATCTCCTTTCTCCCCTTTAATGGGGGCAGCTTGCATCTAGCAACGAAGAAACCCGATAGAATTGCACGAGTGAATGATTGATTTTGGATAACTTTTTTGCATTTTGCCGCTGCCTTTCAATAAAGAAGATTAAAGGGGCATTATCATTGATCTAAGTGCATTATGATTAATAAATATTCAGGCTTCCTTTGAGTTCCTTCTCCTTCCTTCCGGATCCATTGAAGAAGTAAATGAGAAAGATCTTTTCATTCAGGCGGCCAGGCCTGATTTTTACTCTTTTTTTTTTTTCCCTTTAACGGAGAGGGAACCGATGAAGCCTGGGGAAAGATGAACCACTGCCTCCTCTGCGGTCGCCACCACTGCCCAATCCCCCATGACATGTTTGCTGCCATCTCTCCTCTTGCTGCCCAATACCTTTTCAGATTTCGAATTTATTCAAATTTTACCATTCTTTTCAATGCATCGAGAAGAGGTATCCGATATTTGCCGGAGCCCGGAAGTAGACTTTCCTGAGCTATAATTAGCTTCATTCCAAAAGGCCGACCATAATCTCCGATTTCCCATGTTATGTAAGGTCCAAAGAAGATCAATTTCCTAGCAGAGTATTACTTGCAACAATCCCTTTTGTTCTATTAAAAAAAAAAAAAGAAGTTTTGAACCCTTGCCAAATTACCTCGTTAATTGCAGCATTATCATTTGAGGTTTAGACAAAATGCAAAATGCCTATCTGACAACACAATCATATAACTCTGCTTTACAATAGAATAATAATACTAATAAAACACTCATCCATTTATATGGTGTCAGAAGAAGATGCAAAAGTTTGCTGCAGATCCTGCTAATTAAAAGAAATACAAGAAAGCTACTACTGTCTGTCCACGCCACAATTCAACGTCAAATTAAGGTCGGAAAAATGCCAGGCTAACTAAAAACACAACTACGTTCGTGCCGGAAGCAGAAGCATCACCACAACTTCCTTGAAATGAATAAGGAAAGTCATACGCAGCCGCCAGACGGGCTACCTACCTAGTTTCATGCCGAATGCCAAACATTACAACGTTGCTTGAAACAATGAATATCATGCAAATCCAAACACCACTTTCTCAGGATCGAGATCTATCCCTTGGTGGTGGTGAACGGCTGCAAAAGCAAAGGTAAAATAAACTAATCAAGCACTGATACTAACTGTGAGTACAGTTTTCATGGATAAAACATCAGCAGCCAACAAGAGTATAAGAGGCAACCTATCTATACTCACCTGTGGTATCTTTCATTGACTGGGCTCTCAGCTCTTCCATAGTCAGGGCTTCCACGAGCGTCTCCTCGCGAATTAGGGACAGCTCCGTGACCATAATCAGGGCTACCCCTATCCCTACGGTATGGACTGGGTGACCTTCCGCGACCATGGCCTCTCCTATCAGGAGATGCATCTCGGCCTCTTCTGTCAGGGCTGAATCCATTCCTTCTTTCATCATCATCCCGAATTGCATACTCAACCGAAATGACTCTATCCATGAACTTGCTGCAAATTAAAATCATATTACCAAAAGGAAGCACCTAATAAGTGAGCCACAAAACATAGGACCAGGAAAATAATGAACATCAGAACAGAAAAGCCCAACAAAGTAGGATAACTGTCTGAGATGGAAAAATGAGGTAGCATCATTATCCAATTGTAATTTCCTAACCTTATCGATAACAAATTTCAGGGTGCCACCTACAGAGTAATTCAATTCAAAACTTCCTCTACAAACAGTCTTAACCCAATTTTCAAGGAACTATGAAATCAACACCATCATATCTCAGCTTATATTCACAAGAAAAAATACCTCATATGTTGTGCTTCCAAAGCCCTCGTAGCGTCTTCCTGTGACTCAAACTGCACAAAGGCGAAATTCCTTCTAATTCTGACATTTGATATTCTTCCATACGATTCAAAGTGCCTTTCCAGGTCCCTCGTCCTAGTATGAATCGGATCAAAGTTGATAACAAACAGTGTCTTCGAAGGCCTTGAGTTAGCAGATGATCTTTTAGGGCTGCCACCAGGCCTTCTAATACCGCGTTCTTGCTGCACAAAAAACAATTGAGTTGACTGTAAGATAAGTAACAATCTTCTTCGGACATCATTACGTCCAATTTCTTTTTCCAATGAGCACTATTTAATCAGACACAACATAACATAACAGATGCATACCTTAGTCCACTCAACACGAAGTCGTCGCCCCTTTCTACCAAATTCCATTCTGTCAAGTTTCCTAATTGCATCATCGGCATCTCTCTCATCTTCCATATAGACAAAAGCAAAACCTGGGGAACAAAGATGATAAGAAACCATTGCAACAGTATCTCGAATTCGATGATATGCATAGAAAATATTCGTGAAAACAAATAAAACAGAAAATACAATCAATGAGTCTCCAATCAGGAAACTTGAGAATCCTAAATCACAATAACAAGATGCAAACTACCACAAAACCAACCGGTCATGGGGGAATGAGAACGCTAACAAAGTAAAAACACAAAACCTGCCATTGGATCCGGGATGATCATGATTCATGATATCTATGGTGGAACATGTTGGGAAGTAAATACTGTGCAAAGTCATGAGAAATGCAAAAGGCAATGGTCTGAGGTAAGTGTGGAATGGTAGAACCATGGCAGATCATATTGTTCCTTTTGGAAAAAGAATAACATGAATCTTGGGAACAAGCCAGAAAAGAGACGCAGAGAACCATCCACCAGGAAGATCATGGAAATTCCAAGTAATCCTGCGCCAAAGAAACTATTGAGCTTGGCGGATCAACTGCAACAAAAACTTGTTTTTCTGAAATTAAACCTACGGACAACAAAATTGGAAAAAGAAAAAAAAAAAGAAAAAGGAATTTTGAAGACACATTTGCATTTTGAAACCGGAGTCTGTTCGCCAATGATACAAGAAGAACCTTCCATCACTTATAATGATACAGAATAGTATGAAATCATTTCACAGAAGAATTCACACTATCATGGAGTGTCTTAAAGCATCTTCTCAAAGCGTTCACCGTTTTAACTCTCGGGCGATCCCCCACCAAATGGTTCACAAGGACAACTCGGAGATGAATTATTATGTAGCCTTGGGGGTAACAAAAAACAAAAATAGAGACACCAACATGAAAGAGCAGAAAAATTTGAACCTGATTTCATATCGACCCTCTCGACCTTCCCATATCTCCTAAAAAGTCGCTCAACATCAGATTGGCGAGCGTCAAACTCCAAATTACCACAAAAGACGGGCCTCATATTCTTCGAAGCTTTATAGTATCTGATTTGACAATGTAAAAATCAAAAAGTCAAACTCATTTCAAAACCATATCGACACAGAACAAGAGAGACATAATTCCTCAATACCATTGCAGAGCGGAAACTATCTGAAAAATTATGACAACACAAACCAGCATTGAAGAAATTGGCTTAAATGAAGCAATTTCTTTTCCTAGTAATACATTATTGTAAAATGTAAGAGCGGCACATTCATATACATGGCACAGTCAGCAACTCAGCCATGCATCAAAACTAGTAATTACTGTTATTCACACAAAAAACTTGATTCTGAGTGTCTTTTTGTAAACTTGCAGGCTCGGCAATAAAACGTAGTACCATATACACTAAATTTTATGGTAAAAGAACATTTACATTCTGATTTTAAATTGTTCCTTAACCTTCACAGAAACTTATTCCGCAGCCAAACCTTAATTTATACACGCCACCGAACACTTTCAACTCTTTTCTCTTCTTTCTTTTTTTTTTTTCAAAAAGAACTCCTCCATGCTAAACAATGGCAGTGGCACATTCCTCAATAACATCTAAAAAACGAACATATTGAAGCCAAAAACTCAAATCAAAATGGCCTAAAGATGCTACCTTTCCGGGAAAATTTTCAACATTTTGTCGAAATTCTAAGCTCAAATTTAAAAAAAAAAAAAAAAAAAACCCATCAAGATAACAAGAAATATTACCCAAAGATCAACACTTTCGGCACGCAATCGCACGATCCAGGAAATCAGTCACTACGAACCCTCAACACAGTGTCTAAAACAAGAAAGAAAAGGTCAAGAAAACATCAGATCTACACAAATGAATTGAGGGTTTTTCGAAATCAATGTTATGAAAAAAGAAAGGAAGAAAGGCGCACCTGAGGTGAGGTAAGAAACTGGAGGCGGCTGGGAATTTTGAGTGAGATCCCCAGAGATGCACAACAAAGTTACAGAAATTAGAAAAGAGACTTTCAAAACTGTGTGAGTTAGTGAGTTTGAAAAGATATTTTAGCGTTTTAGGTCACAAGGACCAAAGGGTTACCTTATTTAGCTACTACCACCCCTACTATCTTAGAAATTTTCTTCCCAACCCTTCCTTCAAGTTCCTTTATTAAAGCGTCTTCTGATATGGTAACGTTTTGCTTCTTCTTCTTCTTTTTTTTTCTTTTATTAATAAAAAAGACGCCGAAAATGTTGATATTTCTAAGCATAACATGTAAGGAGTATGTCAATATTTTAAGATTGATTTGTAAGATGATATGAACTGAACTTGATATAGTGCATTCAAATTTCCACTTGGTCATCGACATTTATTATTTGACTAAAAAATTAAAAAAAAAACACTAAATACTATTTGAAAATCTATTAAGAATATTGTCATTCACTTTTCTAACATTTATAGAAATTGTTTTTTATGAAATATTTGTTGATTTTCTGTTTTTTTTAATGTAACAGCCATAATTTTATTTTATTTTTTTCGTCTTTTGATTTGTGAAGTCAGGAGAAAATTGACAAAAATCAAAATTCAATTTTTAAAATTATTTTCACAATTCTTTTTGATGAAATTAAGATTTAATTAATAATTTTTCATTTTTCGACTTAAAATCCCCAAATGTTATAAATTATTTACATAAATTTGTAAAATTCATCAACTTTTATTTCTTCTAAAATTTTTGGTATCGACTTGTTCATCTTTATAGCCACTCCCAGATTACTCTTTTAGAAATTTTCTTGCCAACCCATCAAGTTTACAAAGTGTCGTCTCATCTATTTATTTTCGGAATATTTAAGCGCAATATTACACGATAAAGATTGAAAATACTGACATTGTATGTCTGAAAACAAATAAAAGTGGTTTTTATTGATTGATCTGTATAATGATGCATCTAGAGATGTATATTTGTCATACTCAACCTGATAATTCACTAGGATGTCATTAGAAAAACTCATTTATATTTGTAATTTCTTAAATCACATTTGTTACTGGACTTTCATTCAATGAGATTAGGAGGTGTTTCCATCACAGCATTTCAATTTTTAGTTCAGAAAGGATGAACTACAAATAAGGTCATCATGCTGGTTTGTGCTGACCCAGATGATGAAGCAATTTTAAAATTTCATTTCCGGCAACTTTACCTTTTCAAAAATTGCAGGAATTTTATGGGATGGATATTCCAACATCTGCACACGAGTGATGCATTTATCGCTTATTGTTTTCTGCATTGAGGACAGAGCAATTCTCCAATTCTATAATATCGAGATCTTATCACTATCAATGATAATTCAATTGTTTAATCAATGCCTTACGAGGGAATGAAAAGGACCCAATATATATATTCATCATGTCGATCGATCTTGAGCTGAAAAAAACATGTATGGCATAAATGATTAAATAACCCCATGATATTAATATTTGTATACAATATTAAAAAAAGAAAGAAAAAAAATCTCAATAGAATACAAGTTACAATTTGCCTGTGGATCTATTTAATTCTTTGAGTGCTTGGCCTGCCAAGACATTTATTTTTTATTTTCCAATTTTCTGGGACCTCTCATGAGATCATAACTTTATACTAGTGTTCTTTCACTGCTAATATACTTAAGCCCCATTCAGAGAAAAGACAAACAGGCAAAGCAAAGAAAAGAAAAGAAAAATAATTATAAAAGGAGAAAAAACCAAGCAAACACAACGTTTTTGTAACTCAGTTGATGGAATTTTTCACAGATATGGAGAGAAATTTCTCCAGCAAAGAACCATAACAAGTACGATGAACTTTCAAATCGTTGTTTATACTACGTACAACTCAATTATTCAATAATTTTGGGACGGATGAAGTATTTTTTAGTACGATAAGTGTATTAGATAGTAAGGGCGAAAAAACAACAGTCCACTTAAATTTAACATAAGAAACTCAACACCATGACAATGAGCATCAATTATTCAAACACTTGTGTGGTTTAGAAGAAAAAAAAAATGACAAAATATGAGTCTCAAAGAATATCCATCAACATCATTTACCCAATATGGAACTTCCTCTGTAAGAAACATTTTGCTCTGGAAAATGAGTAAGGACATTGGATCCAGCTCAAAAATTCTTTTAACATCTTCTTCTTACCATGGTAATCAGATTTAGAAGGATGATGATATATTTCCTCAGATTTAGTGGCATTTCTTTAGGGGCTCAAAGAAGACGAGAGATATTGCCCAAAAAAAAGAAAAAAAAAATTTCTTTCTTTTTTTAGATTCACGAAGGCTTTTTGACATTGTTTTATTGCTTCAAGAGCTGAAATGCTCTCTCGTCTCGTGTGACACATATGCTTCAGATCACTGTACAATTTTTATTTATTTTTTATTTTTTTTTTTAGCAAATTAACTCTTGACCCAAACTAGTAGTAGCACAAAACATGAAAACAACTATTAACCTCTTGAATGTTGGGAAAACAACACAAGTCTAAAAGGGAAGGGAATGGAACTCCTAAATTTCTCCGTTGTAGGGAGAATTACAAAAACTAGGCGTGCTATTGTTGTATGGAGAATCACAAAATGTTGGAGAACCAATTGATAGAGATTCATCATAAAATCTTGAAGTACTGCTCAGTGGGGAATCAGCAAAGGTTGAAGGTAGGACCACAGAAGATGAAACCTTGAATCGCTTACTCCTTGAGCCTTCTTCACTCACATCGGGACTACTCATCCACCCCATCATTTGATCACCAAATCCGTGTTCTCCCGTAGTAAATTCGCTGACATCTGATGCATCGGAATCCAAGCAATGCTGCCTGAGACTAACCCAATCATTGCTGGAATCTGAAAAACTTGAGTTCTCCAAAGAGGAAGGCTCATCAGAAACATGAGGGACAATCACACTCGGTTGAACCAGTTTCTCGATGTTCTTCACATCAACAGGCCTTTGGTATTGGCTGGCCCTGAAGTGGAAGATGCTGGCAAATGTAAAGTGATCACTTACCCTGCTCTTTGATGACTTAGTTTCTGAATTCCTAGCCATGATACTTTGCAAATTCTTGCTTAGTTTTGCTTTCAAGGAAGAGAAACTTAGTCCGTGCCTTGCATCAGATTCACAAACATTGGTTCCACCGGAAGAAGGAGAAGAGCCATTTTCACTCAAATTTGGATTGGCAGGACCGAAATTAGTCCGAGCATTTTCTCCGCGCAGAGCTCTGGCAGCCTCATCATAGGCTCGAGCTGCTTCTTCAGGCGTATCGTAAGTTCCAAGCCATAGTCTAACTCGCTGAGAAGAGTCCTTGATCTCGGCTACCCACCTTCCTGATGGTCTCTGTCTTACCCCCACGAACCTGCGCATTGTTGGCTGTGCCTTCTTTGTGGTTGTGGTGGCGGCTGCTGAAGCTTTTCCTGATTCTGATCCTGCTGCCATGGTTGCAAATGTTTATTAGGACCTAGTACAATACAATATGATTCTAGGCCCTTCTTTATGTATAGATATTTCTTTCGCTGATTCAGTGAGGACAAAGAAGAAGACAGTGTAGTTTTATGACTGGATTGTTAAGAATGCTGAGAAGAAATGGTACATATCAGCAGCTATATATACAAGGTCGCTTAAGACTGTAGTAAAAGCATATGCTCTAGTGTACACTTACTTTTGTTTCTTTTCTATTACTTAATCCCCAATTTTCTGCATTTTTTATTTACCACTTTCGTAAGCTTGGCTTATTGTAAAACAAAATTGTTTCAGGCTTTCTATTATATTATGGCAAGCATTTCATGTAACAACTGGTACAGATGATTCGAGTTCAAAAACAATCAACTAATCAGTTCACAATTTTACCACTTTTCTGATCCTTTTGTTAAGCATAAATTATATTAGAGGATCAAACAAAAGGAAATCTTCTTAAACCTATAATAATCAGGAAATCATGTCAAAAGGAATTCTTCTTAAACCTATAATAATCAGGAAATCATGTCAAATTTCGAAGATGTGTGCACTTCGGAGGCATAACGAATCCATCCAACTCCCCAAGACTTCAGAATCAAGTGCCATGTAGTCTTACTTAAGAGAACAAATTTCATGTGCGATATAAAGAGAACCTTACCCACTGCTAGTCAATCTTTTTATTACATTCTTCAGTCTTCATTAGCCGATCTTTCCTTTGCAAGTAGCCGAGCCACAACAAAATGCAAATTGATTATCTAAGTGAATAAAATAATAAAGGGCCACCTTTACATAGAAGAAAGGCTAGGCCTAGTCAGGAGCTGACAAAATATAATGCCAAAAAAGTAATCAGTCAGGTTGCAAGAATGAACAACGTTTTAGGAACGTCGGATCGGATCCTAAAGTTTTAAATTTCTACAGTATTAGCCAGTTTCAGTGAGAAATGATCTCTGTATGGCCATTGACTCATTGTGTTTTTGCTTTGGGGCTTGGGAGACAGCAGAATCCTACTACACTTACACAGTCACACTACTGTTGATGTCCTTTGTGCTAATTTCCCTTAAGAAGCTAAACTGTGTAACCATTTGATTGCTCAAGAATACAATTTCCCAAGCATTTCTGGTTCTGGTTTTGTTTTCTTGATTCTAAAGAATGGCCTAAACTATGCAGTGTGTTGCAATGAGGCCAGAGATTCCTACTTGATAACCTGCATTTCATTCTTGCAAAGGTGAAAAAAAAAATGCTCTTTTTTGGCATTTAGCATATGTATCTTGTTTATAAGAGTAGCAAAGGGAATGATAGGTGGTTATCTTAACAGTGACATTTTGGTGGAGCCAAACTAATGTAGAGAACATAAATATGAGTTAGCACCAAAGGAAGTCTAGCATCCAATGATTAGTCAACCACGTGTTACCTTAAAGAAATTATCAAGAACAAAAACAACAGAGAGTATTATCAATAACTACACATCAGATTGCAGAACTTGAGGATGTGTTAACTACTCCTGCAGAAGGCAAGAGTTGGATTTTTGATAAAGTTCTCAGGCAAACATGCAGTTTATGGGCGATTACCTCAACTGTTCTGTTCCAACATTTTTGTAGACTCGTTCATTGGAATTATAACATATTTGTCTCCAATTGATTATTGTAGCGCAGATTGTTTCCTGCTATTTGATGAATTCATTTCACTGCTTAAAAAACAACTTGGTCTTTGTCAGGATCCATTGGTGGAACTAGGTCAAATTTGTATTCTCATGACCTTCACACACTACTCAGTTTTGTGCCTACATTTCCCTTTCAAACGAAATCACTTGGCCCCTCAATTAAGATAATCTATTTCTATCTTTCTCACTAGTCTGTCACGAAGCATTTGATTTTATCCGAAGTCACTGTATCAGAATGCAGTAACATGAAAGAGTTTTGTGTCTAGCTTCTGTAATGCCAGTAAAAAATTATTGATTTTTGTGTGAGGAGTGTTGAGAGTTTACATTCAACCCTATAGCTAGCCATGTGTATAGACATATAATTATTAGGTTCATTCTAAAAGTTATGAATCTCCAGAGAACTAAGCTGATCCTCCTAAACAAGTCTGAACTGAATTATTTCCAGAAGAGATTTTGCCAAGTAAACTCAGCAAAGAAACAGACTAATGCTTGCTTGAGGAATGCTGATCTATCGAACTTTCCAAAAGTGGAAATTACAGCAGACACATGTGATGCTGTACAGTACTGTAACATTCTTTCATATTCATTCTATATTCATGATTGAAGGATGAGATTATATCAGACAAGCAAAAGGCAAGCTCCAGCATAAGTCCAAAAAGGTCTTCTATTTTAGTACTAGTAGTAATTATAGACCGGACTGCTTGAAATTTGAAAGCATCACTAAAAGGGCTAGGCAGTTCAACTATTTTCTTCTGTATCAGACACAAACCTCTCTGATGGACAGGGAAATCAAGTTTAAATTTTCATTAAGAAGAATATTTCTAAGTGCCAGTTGCTCTCATATCACATCAATGAACTTCAGATATTCGTCGACATGTTTACACCCACGCACAACCACACTGAATATGACATGATCAACAGAAGTTTATGGGAAAAGACTGTTGGATGATGCAGACAGCATTGGCCTGCAACAACAGGTGAAGCTTAAGTAAAGCGACAACTAAGAGTTAAATTGTGGTAATGCAGATTGCAATGGAGGGGCTTGTGAAATTTTCTGTTGAATCATTCTTCTTTCAGGAGGAACTCCAAATAATCAGTAAAATATAAACTTTTGTCTATTATGACTGGATGCAATTTGCATTCCAGTGTAATTGACATCCCAACCAAAGTGCATAATCAGACATTCATTATTTGTTTTATATTCATCAATGAAATGTTGATAACATATAATAAGAAGCTAATCATGCACAGTGGACAGGGAATGATAATTGAAAAACCAGTCAAGCAGACTCAAATTTGAAAGCCTTTTTTGACTGACTGATCAGAAACGTTAGACGCACCAAAGCTTGATAAATAAAGCTGCATTAGTTGTTTTTAGAGTCTCTTCATCTTAGTTTCGTCCATTTTGAATTTCGTTTTAAGCATACTTTATCGTGTTGTACTCCTGTCAAGTATAAATCTCCAGTTCTAAAGGACTAACTTCATAAAATTTTCAAGGTTGGTTTCAAAGAAGCTCTCAAATGTGATGAATCAACATGGTCATCAGTCAACAGAAATCAAGTAAAGATGTAATTCTAACTAACAGTTAAATAGGGGAATAAAATATGCTGCAAAAGAATATTGCAGACTGCAAGTGTGAGACTGAAATAGCAACTAATCAATTATTGCAGACTAGAGCCAAAATCCTGATAGATCCCAATAGAAATGAAAACAAACACAACCCATTAAAATAAGGTTAATGTTATTTTCTTCATGACACAAAACTCTTTGTCCAGTCTAAGTTTTCTGATTTGGCATAAACCAACAAGGTTAAACTTTTGGAACCCACTAACAGAAAGCAATCATTCATGAATAAATACAAAAGCAGTGGAATGAAAAGCATAAAAAATAGAAGGCATTTGGCAGTTTCCACGATCAAGATTGTTTAATCAGGAGTAAAAAGTACAACTTCAATATTGATTGTAGATTTGCATTCACCTCTTATATCCAGTGTTCTACCAAATCTAGTTAGGTATGACAAGATCCAATATTTGATCCAACCAGTAACAAATTCAGACCTATACTAAATCAAACCGTTCATAGTTGTAATCACAAATCATCAAGCTAAAGTAATCAACTCCACAACAAAAGCTGGTGAGATTTATGCATTCATCAAAGACATCTACTGAATGGCAGCAAGCCAAGCCAAATCAGAGACAAATTGGATGATTATTATTATTTTTCTCTGGATCATTTCATTGTATGAATAAATACAAAGATATGGAGTAAACATTACATTACACATTATACATTCCTGATGAACAAATTGGAATTAAATACGTCTGCAGTATGAAAGAACAGTATACACAATTGCACTAACCTATGAGAATGGAATGAACATCATCCGGGGCAGAACCCAGATTTGCAGGGAATTGACTCTTATTACAAAACACTTTCACTTTTTATCTTTAATAGCTTTGGCTTGTTCAATTGATCCAATAGCTTCTTCAAATGATTTCCCACTGTTCTTCATCTTCCACAGAGCACCTCCTCCCGTATCAATGACATAAACTGCAGCTAACAAACCGCCGGCGAATGCCGCATCGCGAGCAAAGGCTCGAGTCCCCAAGTACCTAAACAGCCGTTCAAACGGAATATCCATACCGGCACTTTTACCCGATGCTCGAGAATACCCATAACCATATCCTCCTCCGCCGGCGTAAGCACGGCGAGTTCCGTTATCGTAATAATTATAATTGCTCCGGCTGCTATTGCGGCCAAAATTATAATCAGCGCGCTTCCGATCATCCATAAGAATCTCGTATGCTTCTGATACTTGCTTGAATTTACTGATAGCATTTTCTCTGACGTGTTTAGGAGATTCGATGTGCTTGTCCGGATGAAATTCCATGGCTAAATCTCTAAACGCTTTCTTAATTTCTTCTTTGCTTGCGCTCCGATTAACTCCTAGCACCTTGTAATAATCCATGATTTTGATTTTATTTACTACTTCTTCAGGCCGCCCAGCCGTTGTCGACGGTTACCGGCGACGAGGAAATGGATGATTTCCCCAATTGAAGGAAGCTACCGGAACAAACTGAAAGTTCCAGTGGGAAAGGTAAGAAAGAGAAACTAACAAAGATCCTCTTCCAGTCCCAGTGTTAATTGTTGGGCTCAAAGGCCCAATTTTATGGGCTTGAGTATAATCTGGCCTGATGTTTTTCAATTTTATTGGGCAAATTCCATTCTTATACACCATCAATCCCAAAATGTCCCTCTTGATTAAATTTAAAAATAGTCTACATTAAATTTTGATATTTATATTAATTTTATTACAAATTTAAAAATTTTATGTGAACTATTTTAAGACGAAGAGTATAATTTAGACTAAAATATAATATCCTGGTGATCTAACACCTCCTCCTCCGTTGCAGCTGATGATGATATGCACTTTGCTTAATTAATAATGCATAGGATATGGTGGATGTTTTGGTTGAGATTATAATCCAAGTGTTACCTTTCTATAACTCCTTCCGTCTCAGTAAATTCAAATCTTAGAGTGGGAGAGAAGGGATCTATATTATCTAAAAAGGATTATCGAATTGATATAATAAATAAATGTAGCACTCTATTCAATTTAGCATTTTAATTTTTCAACTTAAAAGATTAAGTCATTCGTCAATAAATGAACTTTCATACTTCAAATTAGATTATTTCTTAGAGAGATTAGTATAGATATGGTTTCAAAACAATGGCCTTGGTTAAGATTGGGTTTTGCTAGTTATACATATATTCTCGTTCTGTTGTTAATTATTCCTAACAAGTACCAACTAATCACCGCATAGTTAACAAAGCCACAAAGGAAAGGTATTTGAAAAATCAGTCAAAGTGATTCTTACATTTGGAAGTCCGACGAGATTGACTGACTCTGTTTGTTTCCTTTTTTATAATGTATATTTTTAGGTATTTCTTTTTAATTGAAAACATAAAAAGGTGTATTGAGAATGTAAAAAGATATATTGGAATGTGACAGTTATTAATATTTAATTCTGAAAAAGCGTAGTAAAAATGAAAACAAACGGAATGTATTTTACATACTATAATTATCCTCACAGTCTCATAAAAATAACCGACATTGAATTTTGAAATTTCCATTCAATCATATTTTGTCATGCTAGTTATCGGCAAGTGTAAAAAAAATAAAAATAATTATATAATCCTAATAGAATGAAACAACAAGAAATCAATAACAGCGTACTAGTGCTAAAAAAAAAACATAATAGAAACCAATGCAAGGAACTAAAATAAGACTAATGTTATTTTCCATCAAGAGCAAAATAATAGTCAAGTTTGTTGTAGTATTTTAGTTAATATATATATATATATATATATATATATATATAGAGAGAGAGAGAGAGAGAGGAAGTACTGTTTTTACTGAGGCAAAACGGTCTTTAGCATAAAAAGATTTTTTTTTTTTTAATCCTACAACCAGAAACCAATAAACACCACGAGAATAAATACAAAACAAAATTGAAGTGAAAAGGAAAAAAAGAAAAAAGAAACGCCATATTTGGCCATACATATTGTCATCATCAAGATTAGTACTATAATTCATAGTTATCAAATCGTAATACGTATCGTGTATCGAAAATCTAAATTTATGATACGTATATTATATCGTAAGATACGTTTTAATATAATAATATATATAATAAATAATAAAAATCATAAACTCTATATGTAATTGATATATTTATATTTTTTTATTGTTCAGTTATAAACAACTAAATTGATTAAGTTAGATTCAAAATTATTTGAAAGTTACAGAAATTACTTATTCATACATGAATAATGATCGTAAAACTTATGTAATAAATACTATTCATCATAGTAATTGTTATTATTTTCATAAATTTAATAGCGAGAAGATTTATATAAACATGTATTACATTGATTAAACATGAATAAAATAATATTTTTAATTATTTTATTTTTTAAACTATAATAATTTATTAAGCAATTTTATCGTCAATTAAAAAAGATTATATTTGTGAAAGAAATAAATAAAAAAATCTATTTTAAAAAATATTAAATGAAATCCGCTCTTAATTTGAAATTTAAAGGTTATTATGAAGTAACAATTTGAATTCTTTTAAGAAAAAAAATATCTAGTTTTTGCCTATGTTTTTGTATCATACGATACACAATCGTATCGTATATCGTACGTATCGGTAAATGATCGATACACAAACGTTTACTATACATAATATGATACGTATCGAAATCATTGATTTTGATATCATGCGATACGTATCGCTTATCGTACAATATTTACTACTATGCTATAATTAGTCAGGTATTGAAACAATGAATCCAACGATCAATTAATTACAAACATGTAGATATATGGATCATAATAACTAATAAGATGCGAGTAAACACTTTTTTTTTTTTTTTTGTGTGTGTGGGTACAACAAATTAAGAATGCAAAAAAGCCTAAGAATGAAATGTCGAACATCAAAACGAGTCTGTATTCAGTGTACCTGGGGGCACCGTGCCCCCCTCCTATTTTTTGCATTTTTAGCCCTTATTGTACTTTTTATCAATCTTTCTATATTTTACAAGTATAATCCCTGTCATTTTTTCTCTCTCTTCTAAAAAAAACATCTCTAATCTTTCAACGACCATATCTCCCAATCCGTGAAGAATTTGTAAACGAACTATATATGAAATTTATAGTACTCGTCGAGATCTATCCAACAAAATCCATAGTGAATATTTTTTCGGGCTTAAAAATGACTTAATTCTGATGGACAGAATAAGGGTGGATATCCAGTTTTACAAGATGGATAACCAACTTGTTCTAAATTGGTTATCCATTGTGTTCATGCTGATTATCCAATCAGTTTAAACTGGTTATCCATTTTGTTTCTACTGCTTATACATTTGGTTATCCAACTTCTTAATTCAAAATAAGTTGGTTATCCATCTTCTTAAACTGGATATTATTGATTATCCAATGCGCTAATACTGGTTATCCAATGGATTTACATGCTTATCCAAATTATTTGTACTGGTTATCTACTGTGTTCATGCTGATTATCCAACTTGTTTGTACTGGATATCCATCCATTTGGTTTGTATGCATATCCAACTCTAATCTTTCAACGAGTATATCTCCCAATCCGTGAAAAATTTATGAACGAATTATATATGAAATTTATAGTACTCGTCGAGATCTATCCAACGAAATCCACAGTGAATATTTTTTCGGGCTTAAAAATGACTTAATTCTGACGGGCAGAATAGAGGTGGTTATCCATCTTTTTTTTTTTGAAGAGTGAATGTCAAACATATGATTGGATAACAAGTACGAACCGAATGGATAATCACTCCAAACCGGTTGGATAATCAGCATGAACACAACGGATAACCATTTTTCAAAGAAAAACAAAAAATACGTTTCTTCATTTCTGCCCGTAAAATTTAAATGCATTTAAAGTTCAAAAAAATATTCAACATGGATCTTATCGGATAGATCTCATCGAGCACTATAAATTTCATATGTAATTCGTGTTATAATTCTTTACGGATCAAAAGATACAAGGAACACAACAATATAAATGTGAAATTAGTTGGTTATCCATCTTCTCAAACTGGATATCCACTGTGTTCATGTTGATTATCGAATGCGCTAATACTGGTTATCCAATGGATTTACATGGTTATCCAATTGTTTGAACTGGTTATCCAATGTGTTCATATTGATTATCCAATGCGCTAATACTGGTTATCCACTGTGTTCATGCTGATTATCCAACTTGTTTGTACTGGATATCCACTGTGTTCATGCATATCCAACTCTAATCTTTCAACGAGCATATCTCCCAATCCGTGAAGAATTTGTGAACGAATTATATATGAAATTTATAGTACTCGTCGAGATCTATCCAACGAAATCCACAGTGAACTTTTTTTCGGGCTTAAAAATGACTTAATTCTGACGGGCAGAATAGAGGTGGTTATCCATCTTTTTTTTTTTTTTAAGAGTGAATGTCAAACATATGATTGGATAACAAGTACGAATAGAATGGATAATCAGTCCAAACCGGTTGGATAATCAGTAGGAACATAACGGATAACCATTTTACAAAGAAAAACAAAAAACGCATTTCTTCATTTCTGCTCGTAAAATTTAAATGCATTTAAAGTTCAAAAAAAATATTCAACATGGATCTTATCGGATAGATCTCGTCGAGTACTATAAATTTCATATATAATTGATGTTATAATTCTTTACGAATCATTAGATACAAGGAAAAGAATAATATGAATGTAAAATAAGTTGGTTATTCATCTTTTTAAACTGGATATCCATTCTGTTCATACTGGTTATCCAACTTATTTGTACTGAATATCCATCCATTTGGTTTGTATGCATATCCAACTCTAATCTTTCAACGAGCACATCTCCTAATTCGTGAAGAATTTGTGAACGAATTATATATGAAATTTATAGTACTCGTCGAGATCTATCCAACGAAATCCACAGTGAACATTTTTTCGGGCTTAAAAATGACTTAATTCTGATGGACAGATTATCCAACTAATTAGTATTATTTATCCAACCTGGTTTTTGTTTTTATTATTTTTTAAAAAAATAATAAACTAAGTTAGTTATCCAACTCGTTTGTATTGCTTATCCAATCATTGGTTTGTATTGGATTATCCAATGCACTAATGCTGGTTATCCAATGGATTTACATGGTTATCCAAATTGTTTGAACTAGTTATCCACTTTGTTCATACTGGTTATCCAACTCGTGCATACTGGTTATCCAACTTATTCTGCCCATCAAAATTTAGTCATTTTTAAACTCAAAAAAAATATTCGAAATGGATCTTGTTGAATAGATCTCGACGAGTACTATAATTTTCATGCATAACACGTTCTCTAATTCTTTACGGATTATGAGATATACTCGTTGAAAGATTAGAGATGTTTTTTTTTGGAAGAGAGAGAAAAAATGACAGGGACTATACTTGTAAAATATAGAAAGATTGATGAAAAATACAATAACAACTACTCGTGCAAAAAATAGGAGGGGGGCACGGTGCCCCGGGTATACTAGATAATTTGCCGTCAAAACTGCCTTGAGAACGTTGTTGCCGAAATAACTTTATACTAAGCACTTTGGTGTTTGTCTTCTCCTCTTTCACTATATTTAGAGATTCTGTCGAGGAGTTCCTGCGTTTTCTTCTGCTGTGAACTTGCTGCCCGATCCACGCAATACTGGAAGCAATAAGCAGCTATCACAAGGCCGGCACAGACCAATTGGCGGCGACCGTAAGTTACTGAAAACCTGTAATTACCACCTCCGCCGCCGCCGCCGTCGCTGCGTCTTCTTCCGTAATTATGATGATGATAATTATTATTATTATCATAAGTGCTGCTGATCCGATTGCGGCCAATATTGTCATAATCAGCGCGCTTCCCGATCGTCGGTTAGAATCTCGTAGGATTCCGCGACTTGCTTGAATCTGCCGGCGGCGTTGTCTCGGACGTGGTTGGGAGAGTCGGTGTGCCGGTCCGGATGAAGTTCCATGGCTAATCCTCTGAACGCTTCCTTTATTTCTTCTTTGCTTGCGCTCCCATCCACTCCCAGCACCTTGTAGTGATCCATTGTTTTTCTTTCTTTTTTTTTTTTTTTTTATATTTTTATAACTTAACTTATTTTTCTGGTCGATTAATTTTCCGGCGCCGGTAAATTGGAATGATTTTTCCGAGTTGAGGGTTTTAGAGAAATAAAAGGAAAGAAAGATATGTGAGGATAAGAGGATACGTACGTCCCAAGTTTTCTCACGTTTCAATCTAAAATGCATCATTTATAGATGGAATTTGTTTAATACGGACGGGTTTGTAGGAACAGCTGTGTCTCAAATCAATAAAAACGATTATAAATAAATTTAACTTAATAATTAGTAAATATAAAAATACGTATTATTTATAAGTATTGAAACTATTAAACTAAATAATTATGAAATTAATATAGAAAATAAAATTACCAACACAGATAATAAATATATACAAAAATATACAAAACAATCACTTAAAAAAAACCGTAAAAATAAGGGTCATCCAATTCCAACTCCCACAAATCATCGATCCGGTTTTTCCCACCACTTAAGAATCGCAGAACATTGTTAGAAGCTCAAAATTCGCCTTTAATCGGAATTTCTCCGACGATGATGAGCAATCAACCACCACCGGAGATGATGGTGGACGATATTTTAGCCGAGATTCTACTCAAAGAAGTACATCCTTTGTATATCTGTAAGTATTTCTCGGTCTCAAAACAATGGCTTCGCACAATCACAAGCCCCGTCTTTCGACAAAACTACATGAAGCATTGGAATCGATTGGGTTTTGGTTTCCTCGGATTCTCAACTCTGAAGGATCCAACGTAACCGTTCGTCGCCGTACGGATAAGATCCCTGATCTGGTCCGGCTATGGCCGACATGTATCCTCGGCCGCGACATAAATATCACCAAATTCATGACTGGGATCGGTAAATTCATCGCCGCATCCAAAAACGGTCTCATACTTTCCGGTAATCATCGGGATAGCAAGTATGACGTCTGCAATCCTCCCACCAAACAGATTCTACCATTGCCAAAACCTCCTCCACCTTTTCCCCGGCACGACCCAGAATGGAGGAGGAAAGATTCAATAGTTGTCGTTCCACTATGGATTTTAAGGTTATAATTGCATTGCCCCACACGCAGCTACACATCTCTGAACACCGATTGTTTATTTATGCAAACTTTCTCTTCAAACACGGGAGAGTGGAATACATTGGAGATGTTTTACACCTTGAGTTTTTGGTTGCGACCTTTGGTTCCTGTAGTAGTTAAGAATATCGTGTATTGGAATACCTCTAGATACAATGTTGGACATTTTGTGGCTGCCTATGATGATACTAAAACCGCCGACATCAACAATGTTGGAAAGACTCGAGTATTCATGGTGTGGGAAAGGCTTTAGAAAGAATATGCCTGGCCTTCTTGTCCATCTTCTCGGCAGTGCTGAACTTGTCACTAATGGTACTATATTAGGTTTAAATCACAAGATATGTGTGGCTCTCTTGTCTCTCTTTTTAATGCCTTGTCTATTAGGTTCGTTTATAGTGCTATTGTTGATTGAATTGATTAATGAACTCGGTTGAATTTCGTTATCTTTTTACTAAAAACAAATGTTTGCGACTTCTATTACTACTAGAAGCCTGGCAACTCCGATGGTAAACTTATCAAATGGTCTCGCCAGTTAAAGAGAATGTTGAAGTTCAACATATGGACTCCATCATTTCGTCTCTACTTTTCGTATATGATTGTTAACTTAATTTTGCCATAACGAAGTATAATGATCCGATTTCATAAACTATGGTTGCAATGCAAGTTAATAAACGGACTATGTGGAATTGTTCTATAATAACAACCATAGTCCATAGACAAGAGACTACATGAAAGTTGGAAGTCGAGAGTATTACCGAAAGGACTAGGCAGTGGAACTATATATATATATTTTTTTTCTTCAGAGGAGATTAAGCTTAAATTAGTTGCACGCGGGACGAATTTATAAATAAGTACTAATTGATCTGAGCACAAATCATTTATCCAATCTCTAAATTTCAGATGTTCTAATGACCGCGCTGACTGATGCATGATGTATAGGTTGTAGACAGCTCCAGGACGGCAACTAAGTGTGAAATTGAGATATTTCAACTTGTAAACAGGATTTGCAAAATTAATCATGCTATATTGATAATATAATCTTCTCAAATTAATACTGCGCTGTAAGAATTTCATGTGATGTTCAGGGTTGGTTTCAAAGGCTAAAACTACTCAATGATACTCCCTCATGTCCTTAATATAAGGTATTTTGATTTCTCCTATGTTTAACCTAATACGCATTTTTAATTGACAAAAAGAACCTTAAAAATATTTCATAACAATCAAGAGAATATAATGAATGTGAAAATATATTTTTAAAGTTTTTCTGCCAATTAAAAATGCGTATTAAATTAAACTTATGAAAAAACTAAAATACCTTAAATTAAGGACAGGAGGGAGTAAAGTACTAGTGCCAAAATTCCTAAAAAAAAGCACCAGTATGCAAGTGGTAACAAAAAGCAATGAGTTAGTATATGCCAACTCTTCGAAAAAATATTAAAGTTACAATAAGGAGAAAGTCCTTATCAGATTGTAAATACTCAATCATTATTACATAAGCCAGCTTGACTCGATTATAAATCATCATGTTCCTCACGACTTGTTGTTACATTTCTATTTTAGTTAATTGTCTGTTTGGATAAAATTATAAAATTCTCTGTTGCGTGTATATGTTGCCTTATTCCTAATTTTGATGGAGAATTGATACACCATTTAAGAGATTTTCTTCTTTTCAGAAACTTTTTTTTCGGGTGTATTTACATGAAAAATATATGTTACTTAAAAAAAATAATAAATCTTTGTCATTAATACATTTAGCATTTACCTAGAAATTGATAGACATATGTTACTTAAAAAAATAATAAATCTTTATTTATCTCTTTTGGTACAGAAACCTAACAAGTAAAACTATAAAACCTATCACATCATGTTATAATCACGACTTAACATCTAAAGAGGTTTAATAAAATACTCAACACCACTCAGTCTAGAAGGAACCACTGATAGTACGCCTTAAAACAACTAGGTTTGTTTTTCACTTTGCAAATATATATAACTCCTCATAATTATATTGGAGAAACCTTTTTGCATGATGATTGATGAATGTTGGTTGATGTAGAAGTTTATATTGATATTACAATTCGCATTACATAATTCAATTTTGGCAACCTCCAAAAGCATCACACTGTCACATGGGAGGGACCCTCCAACAGCCCAACACCAGGGAAACTTGCTCCAAATTGTAAGGCACCAAATCATTAGGACAATTTTGGGGGACCTAATCGATCCTATAACTAGAAATCATTCACTTCAGGAAATTGCCTAAAAGGAAAAAAAAAAAAAAAATCAGCAGCAAAAACAACAGACAACAGCCCTTAGCCCTAGGCCCCCTATATCTACGGTAGTAGTAGTAGTAATAAACCAACCCTCAATCCAAATCTAGATTCTCTCACCTCAGCTCAATCATTCTTTTCACTGACTCCCACACACACTTGAAATCATTATTACACAATCCTTAGAACTTTTTAGATTTTACACTTAGTTCAACTGTCTTGAGTGGAAGCTAACTAGCTATGTCAATTTCAATTGATAAGTTCCAAAAAATATGTGAGTAACAAAAGACATAATATCAAAATTAGAATATAAATACAATCGCGTGAAGTTGAAAGAGTTATTTTCTCTTTATTAACTTAGTATCTTCTTATTTGTAATATGATACAAATATATCAATATATCAATATACGTAGTCATTTAAAAAAAAATGGCAGTCAAAGTTTGAATTATTATTTTATGTTGCAAGTAACACAAAGGGCAACTTAAAAATCTAACAACTTGACGGCCAAATGGGTGTGACTCATAAGCCGCAAATTACAGGCAGGTAAACCATTGACCGACTCCAGTTTTACAGCGTCACAGCCGTCTTTATTATCATGAAGGAGGAGATAAAAAGGAAAATTCCATAGACGTAATACTAATATTTTGATGGGCCCACAAGGAGGAATGCCAGTCCAAGGAAGCAAAGCCGAAATTTACAAAAGAGAGGAAAAATGTAGAGTCTTTTCTTTTAGGCTGTCTATTTCGTATCGACACAATCCATTTATGGCCCTCTACTTCCTGTTCTTGACTTTTAGACCACCTAAAGGGATGAGGATTCCATTTGGGTAGCAAGTTCTTCCCCTTTTTTTTTTTCTCTTTTTCCTCTCAGATTCTGAGGGAACTTACCTTCTTTTGGTGAATCTTAATTTGGGTTTTTCTTTTTTTTTTTTTTTCATTGTCATCTCTTCTCATGTTGGTAGATAGGAATCCAGATTTTTGTTTTGGTTGTTTGAACTTGTTTCTTTTGAGGAAGTAATTTTTAAAGATTGCTTCTTTTTTCTTTTTTCCCCCAACATAGTTGCCCACCACTTCAAAAAAATATCTTGACCATTTTTTTTTTTTTTTGCCCTTTTTTTTCCTTCTTTTCTCCAGAACACTTTTTTTTTTTGGTAACTGATATTCAGTTGATGTCCTTTCCGGTTGTTGGGATTCATTTGGGTTCTCATTCGTAGAATGGTATACGAGTTTGGAATGACTGATCCGGACTCTGAGTATAGTACAAACCTTAAAATGCAAGTTCAAATGTTGTAATGAATTATTATTTGTTGTCTTTTTCTTTTTGGCCCCTTTGGCATCTTAATCTAGTGTTAGGCCGTCCATTCTGATCTCTCTTATTGCTTTTAAGCAACTGGGGGGTCAAAGAAGTAAGGAATTTGGAGAATGTTTGGTTCAGGCATGAATCTGATTACTACCATCATTGGGTTTGGAATGAGTGCCACTTTCATCGTTTTTGTGTGCACACGATTGATATGTGGGAGGATACGCAGGATGGAATCCCGGCAAATGTTTGAGATTGGTACCAGAATGGACTTTGAATTGGTATGTTTTGACCTTCTCTGGAGTCTTTGACTTGTCATCAATCTTGATGATTTTGCATTGGTTTGTTGTTGAGGGCTTTTTGAGTATTGAATTGATCTGATGAGGTCCTAAGAGGGATTTTTTTTTTTTTGAAAACAAAATTTCTTTTTGTTGATTGATTTGATAAGCTTTAGCAGTTTAGTTGTGGCGAAGATACCAAGTTTGGTCAATGTCTTTATTTTGTTAATGCCATGAGCATACTTTGAGCTCAATACGAACCACAATTTGTCTCATTTTGTTTAGGGCTCCGCTATGCAGTTCTCCAGCTGGTGGTTGAATATCTTTGATATTGGTAGTATTGTTCATTTGATGATATTTGGCTTCAATTTAGATGTGCCACTTTACCTAGTAGATGTAAGAAGACTGATCAGAATTTTGCAGTGCGTTCTGTGAAACTATGAGAAGTGCAGGAGTTATTTGAAAAAACTTTCTCTGTTGGTTGGATCTTTCTTGCTCTATCAAAGTTCAAACCATGGCCAAAAGAAAATCTTTTCTGTTTTTCATTATTTAGTAGAGGTCAGGGCTGAATCTGAAAGAACCAAAGGGATTAACTTTGTTACGATTGATCTTCTGGTTCCAAATTTGTATAACCAACCATACATGCATCTGTATTCTTGGTTGCAGGGTACTCGATGTAAAATGTGAAATTTCTTGTTTATTTAGCCTTTCAGATCATGCAACTGTTTTTTTTTTTTTTTTTGTGAATATTTCTATCAAACTGTATTCTCAATCAGTATATAATTTAGAACTTCTACGATGGCAGCCAGAGCATCGAATTACTGGCCTTGAACCCACTGTCGTTGCTGCAATTCCCACAATGAAGTTTAGCCAAGAGGCTTTCAGTTCTGCAGAAGACACACAGTGAGTTTAACCTCCTACATTATGATGGTCAAAGATGAATTCTCTGATATCTGATTTTGGTTCTTCTCTCAAGTGGTAGAACATTTCCTTCCACACGAATACAAGAATCTGCCTATCTCCCTAGATTAGTTGAAAATAGAAGTTCATCATATGGACCCTGATGTGTTAATTTACTGTATTTATATAATTGTTTGGAACAATGACTGCATTCGATTGTGTGATATCACAACAGTCACTAGAAAGGAACCAAGTGCTAAAAATTCTTGAATTCACTGCTTGCTAAGCATTGGACTTCGCAGTTCAATTAGCTCTCTGGGATTGACTAGAAAACACACTTATATGGGGTGTAAACATTCGTATGCTGAAACAAAATAACTTAATCTTGTCTGAAGATGCTGTCGTGACGGGTAAAAAATGAATTCTTCCATTTCGAATATCAGTTGTGCAGCAGTGCAGGCACCGAACGTTTCAAGTTAGGGATTTTACTTTGTTTGCCATTCCTTATGCTGGCTTTTCTTGCCTTGTATCCCAAATGTTGTAGTAGTCAGTTAAATAAATAAATTGTTTTCTTGGTATTCTGACCTTGATGACTGGGATTGGATAGATTAAATTTATCTTATTGTTCTGGCCTTTCATGACTTTAGTATTTTCGTTGCAGGTGTACAATATGCTTAGGCGACTACGAGGACAAAGAAGTATTGAGAATAATGCCCAAATGTGGTCACAGTTTTCATTTGACTTGCATTGATGTATGGCTACGGAAACAATCAACCTGCCCTGTCTGCCGTCTGTCAGTTGAAGAATCTTTGGAAACAAAGTATGTTCAACCAGTGATGCGGAGAACACAATCTTTTGACACTCCAGAGGTTTCAGTTGATCAATCTCAGCATTCCCAAGTATTTCTCCTACCTACAAATCAGCGGTCTGAGGAACATGGGATTACTGAATCCCGTCCTGATGCTATTACAATAGATATAGAACCAACTCAACCAAGTGTTTCTGTAGGAGCAGCATCATCCGAAGCAAGGTCATGACAGAAGGGAAGCAATACTGCTCTCTTTACACTATCCTTTACTTCATGCAGGTCAATCATACATTCTTTGTAGTCAAACACCACGAAAAAAGGGAATCTGAGTTCGAGCCGTATTGAATTATGGAGGAAATCGAATATACATCATGTCTGTACATATTTTTTTTAGTGTAGAAGCAATTAGGTTGCGAGTTTTCGATCTTTTTAAGAGTACCAGAGGGGTTCTAGCCTCGGAAGATAATCTTATACAACTACTATCATATCATCACATTTTTGTATCAAGCGATACCAGATAGTATTACATTTTGTTCTCCACCAGTAGACAGATATATCATGAGAAGTAGTTCTAAGATGCTCCTCATTTTCTTTATTGGATGGAGCTCCGGGCCTCAGGCCACTCTTCAATTCTCTCTCTACTCCTGCCCCTTTTACCTAACAGGAACAGGGTTAATTTATGGTCTTATTTGAAATTGGATGTACAAATCCACAATACACATTGAGAGTACACGTTCAAGGTACATTATACCTAATTTAACACCAGATGAGTATGAAACAAATGCCATAGAAGGGGAAAATTTGTCTTTTGAGATTCAAACCCGACCTCTAACCTAAAATTTGCGCTTCTTTTTTTTTTTTTTTTTGTTTTTGTTTTGAAAAGGGTATTAGTACTTTGTAATCACATGAAAATTACACTCTTTTTTACTCTCTTCGTCTCAAAATTATTTATCTAAGTTCGAATTTTCAGTTTTTAGTCAATAATTTCAAAACAGTATCAACCTTCTAGTAAAATTCTTATATACTTCATCCGATCCTTATTATAAGACATTTTGATTTCGTAATAAAAATCTTAAAAATATTTCGTAATAATTAAGAGAACACAAAAAATTTGAAAATATAGTTTTAAAATTTTGTTCCAATTAAAAAACATCTTACGTTAAATCCAAGACGAAATCAAAATGATTTATAAATTATAATAAGGACAGGAGTGAGTATCATGTAAAAAGTAAAAGGAGAATCTGTGCCCCTGGATTAAAATCTGCTCCGGTTAAAGTGGAAAACGGGTCAAGGAACAAGAGGAAAGAAAACAAACACAAACAAAAACCGATACTGCAACAAATAGTAGCACAAAAAAAAAAAAAAAAAACTGGAGTCAGCAGCAGGTCTTGGTTTCTTTCTTTCTTGCCTAGATAAATAGGAAGAGAGGGAATGGCGGTTGCCGGGTTACACGTGGGCTTCATGTCCTCGTCGTGCATTTCTTTTGCTGACACTGGTATTCTTCCTAGAAAATCTTCTCCATTCACCAGATTCCAGAGACCTCTTGTGAGTAAGTAATGAATTTCTGAATTAAGCATGGATAATCCCAATTGTTTCTACTTCATTTTCTAGCTGAATTTCGCTTTGTTCTAAGTTCTAAACTGCTAATTGTTTACTTTAGAGCCTGTGGGGTTTCCCCTTTTCTTCCTCTGCTTTGGCTAGAGAATCAATTTTACAATTTTTAGTGAGCTAATAAGTATCACAATCCAATGAAGTTCTCATTTTTCTTGTCGATATCCTCCCAATCAAATTGGGTGGTCATGCTCTGCGTTCTGTTTTCTCAATTTTACCTGTTTGTTGTTTCCTCTTGAATGCTATATGATGTGTGCTCTAGTGCTAGCAGGCACGATAAATGTATAAAAGTTCTGATCTTTGGTCTCAATCCTTTTTTCGAATGCTTTTTGCAAAGTGATAAAGTTGGTGGAAACTTTTGTTTTGTGTTTTTGCTTTTAATTTGGACATAGTTTACCAAAATGTGGGGTTATTTGGCAGTGGCGTGCTTGGGGAATGATCCTATAACTGAGTGGATTTTATCAGAAGGAAAGGCAACCCAAATTACACGAATTAGTCCTGTTGGTGGTGGTTGCATTAATAATGCTAATCGTTATGACACAGATGCAGGTCCCTTTTTTGTCAAAAGTAACAGGTTAGCTTCTGCAATTTTTTGGGTGATCCCAAAGGGATGATAATTAATCTCCCAGGTTGTTGATTTATTTTTTTTTCAACCTTATATATTCTTCTGCTAAGTTTTCTTTGTGAATCTTGCGTGTTGTTAATTAAGAAAAATCTTGCTCATGGTGAGTAATTGATCAGTGCTAAATCGTTTTGGAAAAACTTCTTGTTTCAGGAGCATTGGACCATCCATGTTCGAGGGAGAGGTTCTGGGCTTGAATGCTATGTATGAAACTCACACAATTCGTGTACCTAAGCCATACAAGGTATGGAAGATGTGAACATCTAGCCTTTCCTTTGTTTCTACCTGTTATGTCCTTTATTTTAGTGCTGGGTAATAGCTTTGACATGCCAAAGCTGGTATCTTTATGCTACCCAGTTTGGAGCATTACCAACCGGAGGCTCATATATCATCATGGAATTTATTGAATTTGGGGCTTCAAGAAGCAATCAAGTGAGTTAATATTTCTTGTTCTTTTATTGCGCTTTGATTTCTGCCAGTGTGCTTTTTGCCGGTGTTATAATATTCAACCAACAGATGTGAGTTACCACTTTACAGTCTGAATTAGGAAGGAAGCTTGCTGAAATGCATAAAGCAGCCAAGTCCGAGAAGGGGTTTGGTTTTCATGTTGATAATACCATAGGCAGGTATCCAATTTGTTGTGTTCTTGTACTGGTGCTAATGCCATTTGCACATGTCTTGATTTGTATTTGTCAGCATATACATGTGACTTGGACATATGCTCACATTTTTGCCTCCACATTTTGTAAAGATTCCACAAAGCACTTTCTGCTACTAGCTTGGACAAATACTCTACAGTTTAACAACTCTATACATTTTCATGCAGTACTCCACAGATAAATACTTGGACTTCTGATTGGGTAGAGTTCTATGCTGAGCATAGACTTGGTTACCAACTGAAGTTGATAAGACAGCAGTATGGTGATTCAACAATTCATGAAAGAGGTATTAGATCGTCATACTTTTCTTCTCTGTGATCCCCTTGATGTACTTAGAGTGATACCGTTTACTTCAGATATATCATCATGGTAATAAGATGGTTCTTTGTACGGTGCGACGAGGCTAAAGTTCTTAGTGGATTAGATATGAGCAGCTATCTATCTATCATGTATGTAGCATCTGAACTAGGATTGGTTGGATTTCATATTTCATGTGAAGAAATACTGTTAATATAACCTAATGAAGTTGTGTATATATACTGGGACAGTTCCATCCTTTGGTCGGACGATCATTCTGCGCTACACTATTTACGAGCAATATAACTGATATTGACACCCATTTCTTTGTTTACCTCTGTTTATTTTATTTTTTCCGTCTCTTAAGTTCCCCCCCCAAGTGTGAACTTGCATTACGTTGTCCGTTCTGTAACCTTCTTAGGGCAAAAGAGTAATTGAGTTTGTTTGACCTTTCTTCATTCCCGTCTTTAAACAAATCATCAGGTCACTACTCTTTTATGCAGCGAGATTGCCCTTAACATGAGAGCTATTATTAACCTGAATGTACTCTTTCTTGAAGGTCAAAGGCTTGCAAAAAATATCGGTCCTCTGTTTGAGGGTGTTGCAATAGAGCCTTGCTTGTTGCACGGTGACTTATGGAGTGGGAATATCACATCAGACAAAAATGGTGAACCGGTCATTCTTGACCCTGCTTGTTATTGTAAGTCAGTTCTTGCTTCGTAGGATTTGGATTCCCTTTAAGTAAAAATCAGATCCTTTGGTAGAGCTCTACACCAAGCCTTTTCAGATTTTCATAGAATCTTAAAATCCATTTGGAGGATATGAATAATGATTTGTTGGGTTGGAGTTTCTGCAATGATTTATTGTTGAGCCAAACTGATTTAGAAGCATTACTTGGAGAAAGTTATGAACTCTTTCTGTGACTTGTAGATGGACATAATGAAGCCGAATTCGGAATGTCATGGTGTGCTGGATTTGGAGGATCGTTCTATAATGCTTATTTTGAGGTAAAATCAACATCAAACTCCCTCTTTCAGCAAAATTCACATTCTTGGAAGAACTAGCAGTGAGTTAAATGTTGACGGTGTGGGATCTGGTTTTTGTTGCTTTATTCCAGGTGATGCCAAAACAACCAGGTTTTGAAAAAAGGAGAGACCTGTACCTGCTGTATCATTACCTGAACCACTACAACTTGTTCGGCTCAAGTTATCGATCATCTGCTCTGTCCATTATAGATGACTATCTGCGGATGTTAAAAGTTTAAAACTGAACTCTTGTCAGTCTCTACATTGTATTTCCCATATCATGCTTACTACTTCTGTAAATTCTCCGGATGTAAGTCAGTCTGTAAATCACCATTTACTCTCGACACAAACAAACCAGAATTGCATCAATGCAAAGTTCTAATCTTGTTTATGCAATCCATTTCATTAGTGAAGTACAACATTTGGTATATGAGTTTTCGATGAATCTATAGAGCAAAGAAAACTAGCCCTACAAAAATAAGAGTTTCACTATCTAGAAAAATAGTCGACGTTATTGAACCAACGGAAGAAGTGAAATCAGATTCTCCAAATATACTTTTATAAAATATTAATTGCTTTTCAACCTCATATATATGAAAATTTGGTTTTATGTTAACCAAATCCATAATTAGGGAAGTGAGTGACAAACAGAGTATAAAGCCAAAGTAAAAGTAGTAGTACTAATGTAGAGAAGAAGAATCCGAATTTCCGTTCTGAACCACTCTGTAACTGTTTCTCTGAGGAATCTGAAAATTGTATTTCCGGCGCCGGTGAAGAGAGGAAGGGAATTAGGAATGGCCGGAGCAGAAGCTGCAGCTCTAATGGCAACACTTGAGCAAGCAACCCTAATGGCTAAACAGCTCTCCAATCCACCAGCATCAATCAACACCAATTTAGAACAATCCCAAATCCTTCAAATTTATTCTTCTCTTCACGCCGCCCATCACCACCTATCTCAGTTCCTAACCAATCATCCGTCACCTCTGCCTCTCCAGCTGCAACCCTCTTTTCTGCACACCCCGCTAATAGCTCCGCTGGCGCGGGAGAACTCCGTTTCCTCCGCCGTGGGTGGCGGTGGAGATGGGAATTACGCGGAACCAATGCAGATGGGTGATGAAGACGATGATGATGATGTTGAGTATAACTCAAAGGACGCTAGTTCGGCTGTTGCGGCGGCGGCCGGAATTGATGGAGTTGAGGAGAGGATGAGGGATTGCTATATCCAGAATAAGAGACCCAAAAGGTCATTGTCTCCGTCTGTGGTGGCGGAGCAGCGGCGGAGCTACGCCAATGAGGTGGCTGCTAGAGTCGGCGGTTATTCGACGGAAGAGTTTGATCCTGAAGGGAATAAATTAAGGTCCCTGGATCTAATCTATCAGTTTCATGGCTGAAGAAATTTTGCAATGAATAACAGATTCCTTTGCAAATGTATCTCTGTAAATTGGCTTCCAAATTAACTGATTTTTTATCAGTTTGTTGTAGTAGTTTCTCATTGTTCTTCCCCCTTTACCTATTTGAACCCAGGGGAGTTGTAAAAGTCACAATTTTGGACTGAAAGATGAGAAATTCACATTGCAAATTTACTCTGGACAATCAGCATCCAAGCTAACATATATCAATATCAATTTGGTGCTGGAAGAAAATGTATTACAATTGACTGTATACTAGATTGCATTATGTACAACAACTATGCATAAAAAATGGTTGCTGACCACCAAGCATGATTTATCAAAGTGGATTTCTTCCTTCATTAGTCTTGGCTCCTCAGGAAGGTTAACTTCGGGGCTGATTTTCTTGTTCGACCTTAGAAAATGATGTCAAAATCAACTCAAGTCAATGGTTATTTGCAGATGTATACACCAGCAGGCTGTTCTCGATACCACCATTTTGGCCACGCTGAAGTTTGTCCCAACTTTTCCTATTTAGAACTCGTAATATGCCATGTACGAGCATGTTGGAACATCAGGGAAGATTTTTTCTGTTGGGAGTAGCTCTGACAAGCTAAACTTCGAATATCAGGTTGTGCAACCTTACAAAATCTTCCAAAGCAAGCTCTTCTGGTCTCGACTGCATGTGAGAACAGAATGTGAGGTTTATAGTATTGAATAAAAGCTGAAGGTGTGGAGATTTTTATCAAATAAGAACTCAAAACCTACAGTAGCAGGAAAACCAACTTCGCTGAGAGCTGCTTCTATCTCAGTGGAGGGACAAAAATGCTGCAGTGATTTCCGTAGCATTTTCCGCTTTTCATTGAATGCGCAATTTACCTAAATCATTATGATATAGATACATTAGCCAGAAGACAATCACTTCCGAAACACAAGGTCAGAAATCGGGACTTCATGAACGGATGAAAAGAGTGTCTTGAAACCAGAAGTTAAAAAGAAACTGCTTCCACTAAGGTCAAAATATCATGGAAACAAATTCTTGAATCTAGGGAGGATTAATGTGAGAGCAGGATCTGAACAAACAAAGGAAACAGAAATCGAGGAGAAGAAAAAGGAGCCTAGGTTTGCTCAAAAATTTGCAGCTAGATATACAAAGTAATGCTCGTTTAATATTTCACTATAAGAAAAGGAAGGTATAGCGGGAGACAAAGAAGACAAATATATCAAGGAAACTCAGAACAAGTAATGAGAAAACCATGGAAAAGAAGCTTTTTGTGGATGAAACTTGTGGGTAGTCTACAGCTTGCTTCAGCCGAAAGGCAACAACTGCTGCATCCACCTGAAGAGAGAAGCATTACCATTGTAGTATCAGCAACAGTCACAAGTGAAAAACAATTGAATTATATTTATCTAACAAAAAAGCCGTGTCTTAAAATATCAATCAGCATACACCAAAATGGAAAATCTTAGACACGATTGAGATCTATATGACTATACATGTGAAATTGTAAGCTTTAGACGGAAGAAGCAATCACTTGCCTTTGGTTGTGGAAAGAAATTTTCCCTTGGAACCTTCAATTTATACATGGGATCTGGTAAATGCAAAGAAAAAAAAAAGGAAATATATAATTATAATAGACAGCCAAAAGGCGAAAAGAAAGCCCATCAGAGCACAGGAATGGCTCTTTCAAACGCGGAAAAGGGGGGGGGGGGGAGGAGGTGATATGCACATGGGACCGTAGTCTAAGCAATGGCTAATGAAGTTTGAAACTCCAGGACTGTATCAGTCACATTTAAAAGAAACCACAGATCTTTCTTGGCTTTGCCTATTTTGCTTATGCATTACCTGAATAAAATCTGACAAAAATATTTATAGGCCGATATTCTGATGACCTCAACGCAGGATCCGCCAAGCGCTGTGCTGTTTCATCCTGGTGAGTATGGAATAGATTTAGTCCCCAAATTATGAAAGAATTTACAGTACTATGTTCAGCAGCTCTGTTCACGGAGATACCATGCAGTCCTTAACTATACCACTTAATATCTACTTTGTTATGAACATCTATCCATTCTAAACTGACAGAAAATATAGCAGCTGAGAACAAGCGCAAATGTTCATCAGAAAAATATGATGAGTTTTTTTTTTTTTTTTTTTTTTTGAAGAAGGTACCTGTAATATAATGAGATATTTGGATATTGTTGACTCAGCATCACAGTTTTAGATAATGAAGGCTTTAGAATCTAGAAAAATTTTTCAGACAAAGAACATTAAGATGCACATGCTCAATGATGTTATGCTGAATTGTAAAAGGTTCTATTGCAATTGCAATCCCAGTTTTGACTAAAAGCAATATTATTTTTACCAAGATGGTCGTTTGTGAATGATTAAACACTGGAATTCGCATAGTGAAGATGAAGGATCAAAGTCATAAAAAGAACCTGGAGTAGGAGAACAACTTCCGAGAAAATGTCACCCATTGGAAGGAGTTGTTTTACCACATCTGTACTTATATTGAAGGGTATGTTGGCAACTACCTGTTATTAAGTGATGAAGGTATGTCAAAGCAAACTCTTCAACCAAAGAATAATTCCACAACCACAAGAATATGCCACTTAAGTTGTATAAAGAGAAAACAGTGGCAAGTATCTTTCAGCTATACTAGGGGGAGCAATTCCTAGAAATGAAACTGTGGAATCTTGAACAAACCATCGATTAAGAAAGACGTCCACAGAATTAGGATAACAATGACATCTGAGATAAGCAGAAACGGGATCCAGCATCGATCCTGCTTGTCGAGCCAAAACACCAGTTCAAAATATGCAATTTATTATGCATTTGGGAACCTTGCTTTCTTGTAAACAGAAGTTAGCAACCTAAGATCAGATGAGCAATCCGCGTTGCTTAAAGATATTAAGGATAGGTTATATGAAAACAAAATTTTTCCATTACTTAGCAAAGTGCTAAATGGAACTGTAGTCCATTGTCTAGAAGCTCTTAAATCTCACATCTGATAGACAACTGCTTTAGATGAATATCTAGGCTGTTGAGGCGATTGTTGGTTCATAATTGTACTCAAATGTTCAAACTGAACCCCAAACTTAATTCAAAAATTCAAGCACTTTGTAAACCGTTAAATCAATCAGGTAAAGATCCTCATAAAAAAAAATGGAATAACAGACCCTAGCACAGTCAATGTATCCAGACAAAACACTTATCGCCCCAAATCTAGAACTCTGACTTTTATGTCTTATTAGATATGAACCAGAGCAGCATTGGAGAAAAAGCTCACCAATCAAGATACAAATGAGAAAAATGGCGATGATATATATTCTAACCTTTGCATGTCGAAATTTTGTCTCCTCATTACTTCTATCTTGCAAAATTGATGACATGTGGGCATGTATATGACATCTCGTGAAATCTTCCTGCAGAACCTGCAGGTTTCAACAAGAAGCATCATGCTTTCAGTTGCTGGACAACTTATTACATGATTTGAAGGTTTATGGATTTAACATTAAAGAATCCATTTACATAAGGGGTAGTGTATAACTGGATGGAAGGTTTATGGATTTAACATTAAAGAATCCATTTACATAAGGGGTAGTGTATGACTGGATGGAATCAAGTTTATATTAAGAAAAGACCGAGAAAAAGAGAAAGCTGCTGCCTTTCTCCCTCATAGAGAATGTACATGTTTACGGCAGGCACCTTTATGATGCCACTGTCTTTGAAAGAGTAACTACAGTTCTTGACAAATAAGTGGGAAGATTATCACCTTCACCAGATTGGTCCCAGCAAAGCGCTCCTCAACAATGGCTGCCATATAAGGGTCCTAAGGAAAAGAAAGAATGCAAGCAAAGTATCAAGCTCAAATATACAGTGAAGGAATAAACTATCCCCACTGGAAACTCCGATTCTGTTTATACATGTCTCTTGATTACCTTTTCTGCTTATGTTTGAAATGCATCAATACAGACTATTTTGCCATTTGGAAATCGGTTGGATAATTGACAAATCTCCTCGATTTCACTTTTACAGACTTCACTACAACTTAACATACCACATAACACTCTAATATTAAACCACAGTTTCACAGTCAACCTCTGTCTAGCTGTATGCCTTCTTATTGACTCTTCAGAAAAAAAAAAAAAAAAAAAAGCTCAAAAGCATTACACTGAACATTTCATCCCCTTCTTGAACTATCAGATTGATTTAGCCTAATCCACAAGTCCTGATTTTAAGACATTGAATGGACGGATTCAAGTATCAAAACCAACTAGAGGAAGCTCAATATGAGACGTTACAATAAATAATATTTGGCAAACACATGCACTAATATTTCTTTAGAGAAAAAAAGAATGATAATTAAAAGCACAAAGGACCTTCTCAATGGCAAGAACAGTTGCTCCAGCATTGACAAGAACATTGGTAAGAGAACCGGTCCCAGGACCGATTTCAAGCACCACATCTCCCTCTTCCACGCCAGCCGCAGCCACTAATTCCTCATTTATAGTCTCATTCAACATATAGTGCTGCAATTTACACAGAATTCCCAACCATAAAACTCACCCTCATACTATTTGATAAAATGCCTCAACCAATCTCAGATTAAAATAGAAAGTCTTGCAGCTTACTTGACCAAGGGATTTGCGGGGGAATCGGCCTTTGGAGTTGAGGGCTTTAAGGGTCGCATGGTAATCATCATCTTGCTTCTTCTTCTTCTTCTGGGTTTTGATTGTTGGGTTAGTAGGTGATGCTGAAGCTACTGCATTTCGTAATGGGATTGCCAATTTAGCTCTTGGAGTTGGTAAAAATGGCTGGAGAGAGTGAAGGGATAGAGAAGGCATTGATTCAATTTATGATTACAATATCAGTTCTGGGTTTTGGTTGGTTATTTGAACAGGGGAATTTTTGCAGGAATTACCAGCCAAAATTCCAAGGAAACTTTCAAAGACTAGATTTTTATCTGGATTAAAGAAGAAAATGATAAATTGCATTTGAAGTCCAAGAGATAAGATTTGTACAAAGCTATCAATTGAAATGCCCCTCCCCACCCCCCTTTTTAATCCCAAATATGAAGAAGCCAAAAAAATTAGATAGTTTTTCTTAATTCATAAACCATAAGACAAAAGTATCTCCACAAAACATCAAGACAAAAAACAGCAAGATCACAACACAATATTTAAGTTCGGGAGTATTTCTCCTAGACCAAAAGAGAAAAGATATCACATAACAAGATCTCTGTGGAGTTGAAATAATTTGTTTGAATAAGAATGATTATCTATTCTGATTGAAGAATGCATCATCCAAGCGAGGTGGGCTTCCTGTCTCAGTCAGAAATGGATAGTTTTCATCCATCCAGGAGCTATGAAGTTCTTCTGGAGCTGATGGTACTTCTTGAAGCAGAATTCTTTGAGGCGACGGTGAAGTTGCCTGAATTGAACCACTCTCTCCTGAATTTCCTGAAAGCGGCACCATAATCTATTAACTTGAAGAAAGCAATGCTGCACAATCAATCACTAGCCAATGTATTCACTAAAGTCAAGATTGATTCTTGATGCATATTGTTCTAACCTGATTCAAGTGTTTCCTGAATTGAGGCCCCACTGCTTGGATTTCCAGCTGAATTCACCAAGGTTTCTTGTTCAGCATTAGGCAACGCTGAATGAAAGCAATGCAGAATAAAGATCAGGCACATTAATAATCGAAGTAGTTTAGATTAGTTCCTGATTTAAATTCTTCTAACCTGAAGCAAGTAATCCTTGGAATGAAGCACCCTGTCCTAAATTTTCGGCAAAGTTTGTCATGCTTTGCTGTTCAGCAGAAGGCAATGCTGAAGAAACTAATACAAGACAAATGAATAATGATCGGCCACATTCAATTACTAAATGTACTAAAGATTAGTGTTTGGTGCTGATTATTCTAACCTGAAACAAGCAGTTCTTGGAATGAAGCACCTTGCACTGAACTCCCAGCAGAAGTTACCATGGTTTCTTGTTGTTCAGAAGCCAATGCTGAAAACAGCAATCCAGAATGATACCCTACCATACTGTTATCCCCTGAGGAAGGTGGCATTGTGATCTGTGCCTGGCCATCAAGAATGTTATTCATAGGCATAGTGTGAACTTCTGTAGAATCACCATATATTGGAGGATTGAATCCAAATGAAGCTGGTTGTTGCATTCCAGGGATTGGCAACTGTGTATTCTGAACAGACATTATCAATGAGAATGGAATCCCCATTTCGTATTGGGATGCAAATGGTTGTTGCAGAGGAGGTAAGATGTAATTCCCTAATCTGGAGAGTAGTCCATGATGAAGTTCTTCCTCATTTCCAACAGGGTTTGGATTCTGTTGCTGCATTGTTGCAAAATGACCCACATGCATTGTATTCTGTTGGGATATTGCGAATGGAAGCATGGTCAAGAAAATATTGCTGTTCACATTGTGATCCTGGTAATAACTATCCGGCTGCAGGGGAATGGAACTTGGTGGCGCTTGAATGGTAGATATTAACCGATCGAGTAGCATTGTGTCTTGAAAGGATGTCGCATATGCGGACATGGGCTGATTGAACACCAAGTTATTGTTGTCTGCAATGGGATTATGAGATGCATTATTAGACAGCTGAGAAATAGCTCTTCGTGGCTCTCGAAATGGGGATGTTGAATGATCCACTAGCATCATATCCTGGAGAGATCTTGAGATGAATGAGTTCTGGCTATCTGGATTGTGATCCTGAGATGAATTCAATGGCCGCCCTGGAGGAATCATACTTGGTGGCACATGAATGGTAGATACTGAATGATCCAGCGGTTGATTAGAAATGTGGTCAGCATCATCTGCATTGTGACTCTGAGATGAATGATCATCTGGCTGAACTGTAGCAGATGTCGAAGGATGAATGTGATGATTAGGACTTTGATTCTCCTCACTTTCAAACTTCTGGTTGGGTGATGATGGTAATCCATTTCCTATTCCAATCCTATGTGGAGCATCTGGAAATCCAAATTCTAAGCTTCTTCCATCATCTGTCAATCTGAGCCCCAAACAAGCGCCAACTGACCTCCTCATCATCGGATTAAAGGTACTGAGGCTACTATGCCCATGTCTCAGTGAAGCTGAAAACGGCGAACAGCTACTGCTCTGAAACCAGCTCGGCTGTCTGTCCGATAGTCTCGAATTCCAGTAACCCCGGCGGCTGCTGCTGCTGCTGCTACTGCTCAAGCCGGTTGCAGAATTGAGGCCTAAAGGGCGATGCAGAAGTTGTGACATTCCAAATGTATATGGTAAATTTGCCAGTTGTAATTGTTGTCCAACTTGTTGTTGGTTTTCTGGATTTGAGCCTTCATTGTTGGCAGCAGCTACAGCTGCTTCTCTTGCCCTTTGATTTTTTTTCATGAAAAGACGGTACTTCTGAAAATGAACAATTGAAATAACAGTTCAGAAACACAAACACCTGAATTAAGATAATTTAAAGCAAGGGGGGTAGTTATACATTGCTACAAAATTGAAGAAATTTCATGCATATGAAATTGGTATTATCTTGCTTCGGTTATTATTTATCTTTTCTCTTTTGTGATTCATCCTGATTAGGAAGTATCGTGCTTAATGCTTCCATCTCTAATTTATTACCATTATCTTCAAACTCTTGATTATCTAAATTTTTTGCTTATGGTTGATGAAAACAGTCTCTTCATTCTTTATCCATACGTAGTAAAATAGCTAGCTAGCTATGTGCAAATCATAAACACATCATACATTAAATGTTCATATATTCTCAGAATGTGTACGTATTTATGTCCTAAACCATATACATTATCAAAAGTTTTTGCATTCATATTGTGTGACACATAAACTTATACTCTATAGAAAATAATGGTACTTACAGAAAGAAAACATAGCATCTTTTTCTTGGGGTCATTTCTGTTTGAATAAATGTCACATTTAGTCCCTTGTAGTTTAAAATCGATACTTATGGGTCCTTATATTTGTATGCACTGCTACATGACAAAACAAGTACTTCAACAGACAACGAGAGGACAAAAAGTAGCTTTTTTTCAAGATTTCGTTTGACCTGATTACCCAAAAAAAAAAAAAAAAGATTTCGTACTTGAACCGAAAACTGAAAAATAAAGGATGAAGTATCGTCACTTATTTCTAAATAAGAAATACTTTGAATTGACATTTTTTGATAAAAGAATAATAATGGTCGTTTGATAAAATCCCATAAAGGGAATTGGATAAACATTTGAAACTTTTTATTGAACACTTTGTTTACTCTTTAATCAGAAAACATAAAAATTTTTATAAATAACTTTATTCGCACTTTCACAATGTGTTTCATCAAAAGTATGAAAAGTACTCTTTTTTAGATGAGTAACTATATCATTCACATTCATTCTCATGACGCGTTTTTATAGAATATATAGAAACTCTGATGAGTAAATGATTTCTGCTTACTCTTGCGACGTTTTAGTCAGAAATGCAAAAATTCTTTATTTAAAGAAACTAAATTATTATTTATTACTTATTCTCACGACTCATAATCAATCTTTGTGCATGCATGGGGCTTTTTTTTTCCAAAAAAATAATGATTAAAAAAAAAGTTTCTTATAACGAAAAGAAAGATCAAACAAAATTTAAGAACTTATCATACATAAACATAATTAATGCAAACTAAGAGGACTCGCCTGTAAGTGGCTGGCAACATTTTCCCTTGTCAATCCCGGAACGTTCATATATTCACATATTTTCTTTGGTACCGCTTCTGAAGTCACAAAGACAAAAAAGCAAACAATAGTAATCAAGTTAGTAAAAAGAAAAGAGAATGATAAATATTCACCAATGATTATAACTTAGAAATTATCTCAGTAAAAAAAGTGAAATTTGTCTTACTATAGGTAGGGAGTATGCTATCCATAGCAGTCAAAAATTTCTCATGCAGTTCATCAGTCCAAATGACCCTAGGTTTCTTCTCCACATGCTTTCCATCACCATCGCCACTATTCCTCTTCCGAGCTTTCTCTTTTCTTCGCTTTGTTGTCGCCTTCGGTTTTCCTTCATCATTTTCAGGGATCTGGTGAGAGGATGATGGCGCGGTAATTTCCCTACTAGTAGTTTGGCTAGTAGGTGGTGGTGGTGCAATAATTTCTGTTTGGTCATTACTTGACGGAGCGGTGATTTTCTGACTACTAGTACTTGGATTAGTTGGCGGCCGACCGCGAGGTTTCCGATTAGTAGTTTTCTTGCTAGGTTGTGTAGTAGTCTCCTTAGCTTGCGACGATGAATCGGTAATTTCCCTACCATCCACTTGGTTGGTTGTTGGTGGTGCAGTAGTTTCCTTGTTTGGAGGCAATGGAGCAGTAATTGCCTCACTAGTGGTTTGGTTCCCCGATGTTGAAGCAGTAATTTCCATACTAGTGATAGTATGGTCGCCTGCCGGCAGTGATGGAGCAGTAATTGTGCAATTAAAAATTTCGTTACCGCTATTTAGTGGAGCGGTAATTCCTTCAGCAGAAACAAGTTGTCGTGGTGGGGATGAAGGCGGTTGGGAAAGACACCCGACGACCTTCATTACTTCTGGCTCGTTTTCGAGTACAGCTGAACTCAAAACATTAGTAATGTCATTGTTGATTGACTTTAGAAGATATGCTCCAAAGGTGTAATCTTTCAACTCAAGCTTGTTGTCATCTGGTGATATAACTGCAAAATGAAGATTAAAAACACATGTCAAACCATTAACCACAAAAAAAAAACCTTAAATTTCTTGGTACGGTTAAATAATCAACCTTTCACTTCACTTCAATCCACCCCCACAGAGTAACAATTAACAGCAAATCAAATATATTTTAGATACATGCAAAATCATACTAGAATCAATAAGTGTATAAATTTGATATGAATGAAGTAACAAATGCTTCATTCACTATAACCAAAACTTAACCATAATAAAATAAATTAAAAGGCCAAACTTACAAGAAATGGGGACATTGAGTGTGTCCTTGATACAATGGAGCACGTCACTCGCCCAAATACTCTGTACTCTGTGAACGTTTGATATCACCACCTTGATTGAATCCTTCTTTCCACAGATGAGGCTTAAAGCTTCCAGTGGTCGCCCAGCAGTCATCAACACTGGGGGAGAAAAAACAATGAGAATATATAGTAAATAAAATTGGTGGTCTTTTCTAATGAATTTTGGGCACGTACATGACCTCTAGACCCGAACAACACCAACAAATAATGACTTACAAAAACAAAAGGAATAAATAAATTCGCACCAATCAGAATGAAATGAATAAATAATCGATTTATGAACATAATTTATGTGTGATTGATTTTGATAAACAATATTTGATGGAGGAATTAAGATTTTGTGAATGAATATATAGGGTACGTTACCTTCATAAGTGCAACTTTGTAGCATTTGTGCCACCAAAGTCGAGCACAAGATATCCTCATTGACTACTAGGATGCAAATTCCTTCAGGTGTAGCCATTTGGATTTTCCAACCCCGAAATCTAACTCTTCCTCTCAGGCTCTCAGCTTGAGCTATATATTCTTAAATCTTTCTCTCAAACTTTTTAATCCTGTGTTTTTGTGTCTCAATTTGGAGAAATTGAGGTTGTCGGATTAATTGAAATACCAGGGGGGACGTACGTTGGGTAAGTAGCCAAGTAAAGACTTTTTTTTTATTCACGTACCAAATGTGAATTACAATTTAATTTATTAGTCCTTCTTGTTCTTACGTAAAATTATTGTTTGCATGGAAATTGCACGAAAAATAAACTTATGCCCCTAAATTTTGGTTGTGGTTACAAAATAATCCAATACACAAGATGTGGAGAGTGATTTACTGAATGATTAACCAATAATATTCAGTTGACATGTTAATCGTTTCGGCCGTCAACAAAAGAATTTATCAACAATTCGAATCAAATGTAATCATTAGAAGTGAAATGTATCGTTTATTCATTTAGTTCAACTCAGATTCGGAACAGACCTTTTTGTGTACTCAATGTAAGCATCGGTTCAATATAATCATATACTTTATATATGCTATGTATCTGAGAGACATAACTAAATTTCTAGTTAAATCGGTTCTTTGAATTGAAAAAACGGGAATGCAAATTGCGCGAACTCGGGGCCGAATTAAAGTTAGGTCGACCAAAAAAAGTAATTCGCGTTTATTTAACATAAAACATCCCCTAGAAAGAGAAATAGATAGTATCATTTGGTGGTAAAATTTCCTTCTTTAAATTGGTGTTTTTTGTCCTCTCGACAAAAATTGAGCAACCAAATTGATAGAAAAGTTTTGAAAAGCTTGGAAAGGGCCAGGCTTATCTAACCAGACTATTCAAATTTTTAGTCACTTGTCACAAAATGCACAATGATGGAAGAAAATAATTAACAATTAAATAAGTTCCATTTCTGTCTTGAAAATTTAAAAGGATAATTAAAAAAGAAAACCGGGAATGAAATACATAAAGAAAATAAATATTTGGTTGTTCAAATAGCATTGTTTATTCATAGGTGGCCAAGCATTATCATTAAAATTTTTGTTTCAAAAAATATATAATTAGTATTATTGTGCATTATATATAATTAGTATTATTGTGCATTTCTTTTATCGGTTGTTAATATGATGACACTGGATGTTATATAAATTAAAAGGTAAATTTAAAAATAGAAATGATCTCCCATTTTTTTTTGTCACTTTCCCGTTGAAATTTTATTTTTCTCATAAAATTATATTTTTTACTCTTAGTTAATAAATACACATATTCAGTGGGGATAGTGTATTGTCTTTTCATAACTCATTATCTCATTCTACTATAAATTGTAACTATCCCTATCATTACTCAATTAAAAATAAAAGAATACCACTCGAGTAGCTATGACTTTGTGAACCTTCATTTTTTTTATATACCCAAATCGATTTGAATTTAACCTGATGACTAGATTTTACCTTTTATATGATTTATAAAAAGAATATTGCAAGGAAATTAAAAAATAAAAAGTGAACTACATTTAACCCTTCAAGTTATCATAAATTTCTCCGATTTTTTGTAATACTACTATATACTCCATAATATGCTAACATCATCATCAATTTTGTGAAAACAATAAAAAAATAACTTCAATCTATATTTAAAAAATTTTTAATTTAAATTTTTTTAAAAATGTTTCATAAATTAAATTAAAAATACTCAATAATATTTTTTTTATATTAATGCACTCAAAAAGTTTATGATACATTGAGCCAAAACTCGGGAAGGTAAAATGTACTTCGCCTAAAAATAAGCATGACTATCTATAAAAAAAAAATTAAAAAAAAAAAACCTTATTACCGAAAAAAAAAATTGAGAGAAAGATATTTTTCATAGAATTTCACGGCTAAATGTGATCAGATGTCATTATATGCGCCTTCTTTGCACAATAAGAAAATAATAAAAATTTTAAACCTTATATATTTAGTCGGGAGGGGTACACCTACTCGGCATCTTCAGTGCCATTTTCGCGCAATAAATTTCAAGCTATTCATGTTTGGTTAGTATAATTACGTGTCCTTCTGTGGATAACTTTTGCATTACTAAAGAGAATCATATTTTATATGTGTCTATTATGCCCCTCAATTTTCAAATTAGACTCTTGGCCCCCTTCGGACTAATTCTCGAAAATTAAAACAACGAATAATAATCGTTGGTGGAAAATTTTCAGTAAGGTAACATAATATAATTTTTATTTTTAAAAAAATACTAACAAATTTTTCACTTGATAACTTGAACTCCTCTCAATTGTGCAATATTTATCCAATCAAGAGAATCTACTAACAAGAACACATAAAATGTCGTGATTTTCCACGGTGATTCTTCGAATAATTAACCAAATTTGTGAGGTAAAATTCAATTCGTGAGGACACTATTCATATTCTATACCAAATTAAGAGACTGTGCAAATTTTTCATGTTATCTTTGAGTTGTAAGTTTCAGTATCACCAGCACTTATACATTCTTACATAATACTGTAATTTGTAACACTCTCCTGTATAACATGTATCATTAACCTCGTAACTATCTTACATGCAAATATGTGTGAACATATCCTCTTAAAGCATCACAAATGGTTTTTTATTACAAAAAGAATTATATTATTATTATTATCGTTTCACTTTCATGTAAGAGTAATATTCCCTCTAGTCCTTATGATAAAATATTTTGATTTATCCTAATTTCACCTAGTATGTGTTTTTTATTGAAGAAAAAACTCTTAGAACTACATATTCACATTTATTATGTTCTACTACTAATTATTGTTCTTTAATAATATTTCTTGACTGAAGAAAAAAAACTTTTAAAAATATTTTTTAATAATTAAATGATCACAATGAATATAAAAATGTAGTTAGGGTTTTAAATAAGGACCGGAAGAAATATAATACAAACACGTAAACGCCATCTAACAAATATATATGCACAAGTCATAACTGTGTGATTAAAAGGATATCTAATATATAAAACAACAATGTTAACACTTTACAAGAAAAGTTAATCTTTCTTAAAAGCAACAATACAAACTACAATATCAAAACCTTCATGAATGAAGTTCATATTGGTCACAATTGGATATATGTGGAGACTGCAAACCCATAATCTAGCAAAGCAAACCCAAACAATAACTGTTTCTTGATATATAATTTTATGGAGGAAAAAAACAAAGAAAGCCCGACTCTTTCTTCTTTTTCCTTTTTTTAAAGAAAAGAGGTATCGAGAATTTTAGACCATAATAATAAGATAGAACCTACTAAGAAAAGTAATACTCAGTGTCCTAGTAGGTTTCACTTCCGTTTTAATAGTTTAGATACTTCTAGGGCACTGATAGCGGTCTTAAAAAAACAATAACTTAATTATACTTTTATTTATGCCCACGTCTCGCAAAAACAGTGTAGGACATGAACAAGCATCATCTTCCGTTATCAGATGGCTCTCAATGCTGAGAATAAAACAAATAGTCTGACTCATTAATCAGCCTTTCTTCTGCATCAGGATTTTTCCATCATATATCACGAACATCATCATTTGCAAAGATAAAAACCAATACAACCCAGTAATCAATACTCCTTTTTGTCCATAATATAAGGCATTTTGATTTGTCCCAGGTTTAATCTAGTACGCATTCTTAATCAACAAAAAAAATCTTAAAAACATTTCATAACAATCAAGAGAATACAACGAATGTAAAAATATATCTTTAAGGTTTTTCATCAATTAAAAATGCGTACTCGGTAAAACTTAAAACAAATCAAAATGTCTTATATTAGGGACCGGAGGGAGTAAAATAGTTCAAATAATTGCTAATTAGAATCAAACTACGCAAAGCAAGAGGCATTTCTACCAAGCTGCGGGTGATACAGTTGCATTTGAACCATTGTGCCTAAATATGGAGTAGCAAAAAAAGTAATAATTAACCTTTACTCACTTCACCCCCACCCCACAGAGAAATTAACGAACAGCAAATCAAATCCTTTTTAATTTAGATATGCAAAATCAAAATAAAATGTAACAATTAAATTAGTGTATATGCTTGATATACGAGTCAATAATTTACCAATGTACCTCATTCACTACATCCAAAAACCCACAAATCATAAACCAATATAGACATAGTGCATGAAAACAAAAGCTACAACGAAAAATAACCACGTCAATTAAATGAAGGAGAAAGGCCAAACTTACAAGAAATGGGCAAATTGAGCGTGTTTTGAATACAATGAAGCACGTCACGTGCCCAAATTCCCTCAACTCTTTTGAGCATTCGTTATGACCGCTTTGATAGAATCTTTGTTCGCACAGATAATGCTTAGAGCTTCCAGTTGCCTCCCAGCATTCATCAACACTAAAAAAGAATAAATAAAAATGCAGTAAGTAAAAGGGAGGTCATTTTTCATGAATTTGGGTATGTACATGACTTCTTGACCCCCACAACAACAACAAATATTAATAATTAATACACACACATACACACACAAAAATACGAAAGAAATAAATTGGTATATATCTAAACGAACGATAAATAATGGATTTACGAACAGAATCTATGTATGATTTATTTTGATAAGAAGAGATTTTGCGAATGGATACACGCAAAGTACCTTCATAAGTACAACTTTGTAGCATTTGTGTCACCAAGGTGGAGCACGGGATGTCCTCATTCACTACTAAGATGCAAATTTTCTCAGCTGTGGCCATTTGGATTTTGCAAAACCCGAAACCTAGCTAACTCGATTTCTCTCAGGTTGAGCTTTTGTTGATTCTAACTTTTTTCTCTATCTCAAACGTTTTTTATCGTATGATGTTTTATTGTCTTAATTTGGAAAAATTAAGGTGGTTGGAATTATTGAAATATGCCAGCCAAGGGGAACTTACGTAGTAATTGGTAAGAAGAACCCGGATAAAGGATACTTATGCACTAACCAAAGTTTAATAAGAAAAAAAATTAATCCATCGGTTCTTCATATATTTTTCAAGTTTTTTTTTTAAATTTTTCGTCCTGAAATTGCACGGAGAGTAATAGTTTGCCCCAAAGACTTAATTCTTGTTTCAATTTAATCCAATATAAGTGGAATGAACTGATGAAAAAAGCGATTACCGAAATGGTTAATCACTCATTCAACTGAAAAGTTAATCATTTAGGCCGAAAACCAAGAAGTTACCGAAAGTTCGAGTTAAATTTTAATATAAATTAAACATCCTTTTACCAAGAAAAATAGAAAATTTGGTGAAATTCGTTCTTTACATGTGTCATTTTGTGTTCTCAGCATAAATTGAATTGGCTGTGAAAATTAATATTAAAAAAATAAAATGAAAAGGTTCGGAATGAGCAAAGAAGCCTGAACCTTATAGTTTCAAATTTTTTGGGCTCCTTAATCACAATATTAATTCTCAATGATGCAAAAATGTAATTATCAATTACTGTAGATACTAACAAATTATTTAGTTCTATTTCTGACTTGAAATTTGAAATTTGAACACTGAAATTTGATAATTAAAAATATAGAACCGGGAATAAAATTAAAAATATAATATTTCTTCACAGTTTATTTTTCAAGTAATATTGTTATAACCCTGTTTTAATAAGATGTAAATATTATCGTGTATTTCTTTATCGATGGTTAATATGAAAATAATGTATGTTATAAAAGTAATAACAAAAAAATAAATCGAAAGAGGAGCACTTAAGTCGCTTATAACTGTGGAACAATGACCAAATACTCAATCTTATTGCGCATATCTGGCAGACTACTCATCATGTTTCCAGCTCTCGAAATCAATACTCAGAGCCACCGGAAAGAGATGGATGAAGCATTGTTCGATACCTGCCATTCTTGTCGTAAAGAAGAAATAAATGGTTCTTCTCTAAACTAAGCTGCTCTTCTTTCAAGATTGTAATCAAATTAAAGAAGTAGCTTATAAGTGTGTGAATGTAAACTTTTTGCTGTTATTAAGAAAAAATGACCACATCGTGTGTCTTGCCACAACTCTTTAAATTTTCAATTTTGGTCCATCAAACAAACGCATACAACGTTTTGTAAACCTTCTTTAATATATATATATATATATATATATATCCTTTTTATTTCTGTTTAAATTGATGCTGATTTCACCTTTTATGTCATTTGTAAAACTCTTTAGTGAAAGGTAAATAAAGGGACAATTTTTTTATGAAATTAAATATTTATGACGGTGTGTAATCGTATGATATTACACGTGCCACCTTTGCGCACAATATAACAAAATTTGTCCAAACTTGATATGTTAAGTCGGTATAGTATTAGATGTGCGGCTTTTGCGCATAAGATAATAAAATAAGTTTAAACTATACATGTTAAGCCGGTTCAATATTAGACGTGCCACTTTTGCGCAAAAGGTGATAAAATGAGTTTTAAACTTTATATGTTAAGTTGGTGCACTTACTTGATATTTATGGTACTAGCTTCGCATAATGCAGTAATACAAATAAATTTCAAGTTATTTACGTTTGGCCAGTGTAATTATGTGTCAGGTAACTTTTGCGTTAAAAATGAATGGAATCATATTTTTAGTTGTGTCTCTATTACGCCCCTCAAGTTTCAAAATAGACATTCTCGGCTGACTTGTTGACTTATTCTGAAAAGTTTTTTTAAAGAAAATTGTGGTTTTAAATGATAGTAATTGTGTCGGTAGAAAATTTGAAAACGAAGCCAATAATACATCACACGCGGCGTGGCACGTGATATAATCAAATAATTAACCAATTTATTGAGTTAAAATTCAATAATTTTTTCCAGTATTACTTTTTTAGGACCTTATTGTATATTGATTCTTATCCATTAATTGCTTCCAACACAATAAACCAAGAATTTTTTTTTTTTTAAGGATAGAAAATAATGTAATATGGAATTCGTCGACTTTCTCGTTGACTTTGTTAAGTCGACGACAATATCGACACGACTGATTTCTCTTCGAACACAATAATTTTTTTAGTCTTATATTAATATCGATTCCTTAATTAATACTAATTGTAATACCATAAAAAAACAATTGAAAAACATAAGAGATAGTCGATTTTATCTTTCGTTGGCTTTAATGAAGAATTGTCTTGTCACAGTTCTTCAATATAAGAACAAGACAATGCAAATAATTTCTAAAGAATGAGTATTTTCTGACTTTTATATTGATTCCCTAGCATTGATTACTTTTCCCACAATAAAAATATAAAAAATATTTAAAACGATAAAAAAACAATATGATGGAATTGGTGAACTGGTTCGTCGACTTATCAAAGTAAACAATAATACCGTTGCGTTTAATTTTTCTTAACAAACAAGAGTTTTATGAGTTTTATATTAATATTGATATCTTAATTAGTTATCAATTAGAATGCCAAAAATACTAAAAATTGTAGGAGATGGATTTTTGCTTTCGTTGATTTTCTTTCCTTTTCCCCCCTTAAAACATCCACCCCGAGTGACCTTATTTAAACGTAGGTAAAATGTCCCCTACAAACCCTTGGTGGGAATTGAACCCTGATCTATTACCAAGAAACGCAACAGCTTAACCACCAAATTGTTATTTAATTCCCGGCTTTTGCTGATTTTCTTTCTAAGCCGTCTCATCATAATAATTAAGTACACAAACAACCCAATGCAAATAATATATACAAAAAAATGAGTATTGTGTGACTTTTTACATAGTTATTTACAGGTGTTATAATTTGAGACAACCTAAACTATTTACGCAGGATGTATACACTACTACTACACCATAACTAGGTTTCAAATGAGTAGGTTTTGCTAAACTGATAAACCATAAGACAAAAAGTATCTCTCTACAACACTAAGTTAAGTCCAAAAGTGTTTCCCCCGAACCAAAAGAGAAATATATATATACATCAAAACAATCTCCATGGAGCTAGGTGAACCAGTTTGTCTGAATAAGAATGATCATCTGTTTCGATTGAAAAATTCATCATCCAAGCGAGGCGGGCTTCCGGTGTCATTCAGAAACGGAAAGTTTTCTTCCATCCAGTTGCTATCAACATCTTCTGGAGCTGGTGGAACAGCAGATTCTTCTTGATGTACATTACTTTGGCCTGATGGCAAAGTGGCCTGGATTGCACTTCCCTCCCCTGAATTCCCTGCAAAATCGGCACCATAACTTATTGATGTGAAGAAAGCAATTAATCCTGAATAATTTATCACTAAAAGTACTAAAGATTGATTCTTGATGCAGAATGTTTCTAACCCGATCTAAGTGTTTCTTGGGTTGAAGCACCATTCCTTGGATATCTTCCAAAATTTTCCATGGTTTCTTGTTCAGCATAGAGAAACATTGAAGGCGAAAAATCAGAGGGGACATAAATTACTGAAGGTGCTAAAAGTAATTAGATTGTTGACACTAATTTTTCTAACCTGATGCAAGTGTTTGTTGGAATGAAGCAGCACCATGCCCCGAGTTTTCTGAAAAAGTCGCTTTGGTTTCCTGTTCTGCAAAAGGCAATTCTGAAGAAAGCAATGGAGAATATTGATTAGCCACATTAGTGTACTATAAATGTATCATTAAGGAATTCTTGATGCAGATTCTTCTCACCTGAAGCAAGTAATCCCTGGAATGAAGTACCAATCCCTGAATTTCCAGCAAAGTTCACCATGTTTTGTTGTTCTGAAGAAGGCAATGTTGAAGAAAGCAATGCAAAAACAAATGAACAATGATCAGCCACATTAAAATATTTCAAGGTACTAAAGACTAGTTTTTGAGACTGTTTATTCTAACCTGAACCTGAAGCAAGTAATTCTCGAAATGAACCACCATGGCCTGAACTCTCAGCAAACGAAGGCGCCATGTTTTCCTGTTGTCCAGGAGGGAATGGTGCAGAAAGCAGTGCAGAATGATACCCAACCATATGATTATGCCCTGATAGTAATGACATTGTGGTTTGTGCTTGGACATCAAGAATGTTAGTCATAGGCATAGTGTGAACTTGTATAGAATCACCATATATAGGAGGATTGAATTGAAATGAAGCTGGTTGTTGCATTCCAGGGATTGGGCTCTGTGTATTCGGAACTGACATTCCCCATGAGAATGCAATCCCGGTTTCGTATTGAGGTGCAAAAGATTGCTGCTGCAGAGGAGGCAAGATGATGGAATTCCCTTGTCCTGAAGCTTGTCCAATATGAATTTCTTCCTCATTTCCAACCAGGCTTGGATTCTGCAGTGAAGGATCCACAGGCATCGTGTTATTCGGGTGGGACATCAGCAGTGGGAACCCGGCCTGATAAGAAATGTGGTCAGTATTAATGTCTGCATTCTGATTCTGGAATGAATGATCATCTGGCGGCTGCACAATAGTAGTAGTACTTGATAATCTTTGATTCTCCTGATTTTCAGACTTGTTCTTGGGGGGTGATGATGATCCATTTCCGATTCCAATCCTATTCGGAGCATCTGGATGCCCTGACTCAATGCTTCTTCCAACAACATCTGACAATCTGAGCCCAACATAAGTTCTTCTCATCATCGGATTAAAGGTACTGAGGCTATTATGGCCTTGTCTCAGTGGAACTGAAAGCGGCGAAAAGCTGCTTCTCTGAAACCCTTGTGACGGATTCAGTGATGTTGCATTTTGATTATACAAAGGCACTGATGATCCCACATTGTATCCTGGTGGAAAACTTGAGCTTCTCCAGCTTGGCTGTCTGTCTATCGAGCCGGCAGCAGAATTGAGGCCTAAAGGGCGATGCAGAAGTTGTGACATTCCAAATGTATATGCCAAATTTGTCAATTGAGAGCTTCCAGCAGCTCCCTGTAACTGTTGTCCAACTTGTTGTTGGTTTTCTGGATTTGAGCCTTCATTGTTGGCAGCAGCTGCTTCTCTTGCCCTTTGTTGTTCATATTTTTTCTTGAAAAGACGGTATTTCTGACAAATGGTCAATATGAACAACAGTTAAAAAACACAAACACATCAATTCAGATCATGTTTAACCAATAGAAGTAGTTCAACTTAATTAGCTGATTATATTTATAAGGCAGTAAGGCACTTAGAAATTTAAATTTAGTTCAAAATAACGTTTCCAAATGAGATCAGAACATCTTTTGTGCTACACATCTTGCTTCCAACTATCGTATACTTAAAACACACTTTCATATTTATTACACTAATCTTCAAACACTTTCTTTGTTTGGACAAGCACTCATTTTACACTCATTTTATCTGTTAAACACAAAACCCAATAAAAAAGAAAATATCATTCAAACAACTTTCTGACTTACATTTTAAATTCCAACTTGAAACATTTTTTGTTAGTGTAATGACCATTTTAGAATTACAAATAGTTCAGTGACAAATTGGCAGGATTACATTATTGAGTGATTGTTTTTGGAAAAAAATTTTTTGCAGTGACTATAATTGACAGTATTTAATTGTTTAGTGATGACTCGTACTTGATATTTTTAAAATATAGTTCAAAATATTTTTTTCAAAACCAACATCCAAACAACTTTTTGCTCAAAATATCATTCAAACAACATTTTATTTCCCATTTACTTTTCAACTTGAAACACTTTTCACTTTTAAATGGAAAAATGAAATATAAGATGACATCCAAACAAGCACTTGATTATATAAATTTTTTGTTCATATTTGATGAAAACAATCTCTTGATTCTTATCCGTTCGTGTAATAGCTAGAAAGCCTTCTAGCTAAGTAAATCATAAAGACCTACATTAAATGTTCATCTATTCTCAGGATGCGCACCTATCTATGTCTTAAACTATATGCATTCATCAAAAGTTTTTGCATTCTTGTTGTGTGATACGTAAACTTGTATTCTATGGAAAATAATGGCACTCACACACACAAAAAAAAAAAACTGATTATTCTTGGGATCACTTCTATTTTAAGTAAATGTCACATTTAGTCCCTTTTAGTTTAAAAGGGATACTTATTGATCTGTTCTACCATACATGAAAAAAAAAAAGACTGCTATTTTAAGAAGAGGACAAAAATTAACTTTTTTCAAGATTTCGTTTGACCTCTCCTAGCTTAACAGAAAAAAAAAAAAAAAAAAAAAGGAAAAGACGGGCCATTTTTCATAAAACAAAAATTGCTTAACATTGTCATTCTTTCATAAAAAAAAAAAAAAAGAAAAAAAAAGAACATGTTGGTCATTTCACAAAAGCTCAGTTTTGAACAAGTTATCTTTTAAATTTAGCACTTAATTTGCACTTTTACCGCACGCCTTCAAACAAGAACAGAAAAGAAGAGAAAACACCAAATAAATTCAAGAAATTACAATACATGAACTTAATTGAAACAAACTAATTAGAGGACTCGCCTGTAGGTGGCTAGCAACATGTTCCCTAGTCAATCCCGGAACGTTCATAAATTCGCATATCTTTTTTGGCACAGCTTCTGAATCACCAAAAAAAAAAAGAGTAAAAATTAATAATCAAGTTAGTAAAAAGAAAAGAGAGTGACACTAATCAAATTCACCCAAATAGTTTAGAAATTATCTCGGTTAAAAAAAAAAAAGAAGTTAAATTTGTCTTACTAGAACTAGGAAATATGCCATCCAAAGCCATCAAAAACTTCTCGTGCAGCTCTGGAGTCCATATCACCCTAGGCTTCTTTTCTCGATTATCACCATTCTTTTTCCAAGCTTTCTCTTTCTTTCGATTTGTGGCCGCCTTTGGTTGTCCTTCATCATTAGTCCGGTCGCCTGTGGCCAATGGTGGAGCGACGTTTGTGCCGTTCCTAATTTGATTACCGCCATCTAATGGAACGGTAGTTCCCTCGCTCGTAGAAACAAGTTGTTGTGACGAAGAAGGCTGCTGTGGGAAAATACATCCCATGACCTTTGTCACTTCCGCTTCGTCTTTGAGCGAGGCTGATCTCAAAAGATCAGCAATGTCACCATTGTTGAACGACTTGAGAAGATACACACCAAAGGTGTAATCTTCCAACTCCACTTTATTATCATCAGTTGACATAACTGCAAAATGAAACGTGAAAATACAGTCAATCATCAAGATTTCAAAAAAAAAAAAAAAAATCCTTGAAATTCTTTGTACGATTTGAATAAAAAACAAGAAATATTTCCAGAAAACATAAATCAATTAACCTTCACTCACTTCACCCCCCCCCCCCACAGAGAAATTAACGAACAGCTAATCAAATCGTTTTTAATTTAGATATGCAGAATCAAAAAAAAAAAAATGTAACAATTAAATTAGTGTATATGCTTGATATACGAGTCAATAATTTACCAATGTACCTCATTCACTACATCCAAAAACCCACAAATCATAAATCAATATAGACATAGTGCATGAAAACAAAAGCTAGCTACAATGGAAAATAACCACGTCAATTAAATGAAGGAGTAAGGCCAAACTTACAAGAAATGGGCAAATTGAGCGTATTTTGAATACAATGAAGCACGTCACGTGCCCAAATTCCCTCAACTCTCTGAGCATTCGTTATGACCACTTTGATAGAATCTTTGTTCGCACAGATAATGCTTAGAGCTTCCAGTTGCCTCCCAGCATTCATCAACACTGAAAAGAATAAATAAAAATGCAGTAAGTAAAAGGGAGGTCATTTTTCATGAATTTGGGTATGTACATGACTTCTTGACCCCCACAACAACAAATATTAATAATTAAGACACACACACACACAAATACGAAAGAAATAAATTCGTATGTATCTAAATGAAACGATAAATAATGAATTTATGAACATGATCTATGTATGATTTATTTTGATAAATGTTTGATAAGAAGAGATTTCGCGAATGGATACACGTAAAGTACCTTCATAAGTACAACTTTGTAGCATTTGTACCACCAAGGTGGAGCACGGGATGTCCTCATTCACTACTAAGATGCAAATTCCCTCAGCTGCGGCCATTTGGATTTCGCAAACCCCGAAACATAGTTAATTCGATTTCTCTCAGGTTGAGTTTTTGTTGATTCTAACTTTTTTCTCTCTCAAAACGTTTTTTATCGTGTGATTTTTTGTTGTCTTAATTTGGAAAAATTAAGGTGGTCGGAATTTTTAAAATGTGCCATCCAGGGGGAACGTACGTAGTAATAGTAAGAAGAACCCGGATAAAGGATACTTATGCACTAACCAAAGTTTAATTTATAAAACAAATTAATCCATCGGTCCCTCATATTTTCAAGCCAATTTTTTTTTTTTTTTTGGTTTTCGGTCCTAATATTGCACGGAGAGTAATAATATGACCCCAAGCCTTAGTTTTTGTTTCAATTTAATCAAATACAAGTGGTACGAACTGATGCAAAAAAAAAAAAAAACGATAACGAAATGATTAATCAATCATTCAATTGAAAAGTTAATTTTAGGCCGAAAACAAAGAAGTTACTCAGAGTTCGAGTTAAGTTTTAGTAAAAAGCATCCTTTTACAAAGAAAAATAGAATATTTGGTGAAATTCCTTCTTTACATTTGTCATTTTGTGTCATCGGCATAAGTTGGCCAACCAATTGGATTTAAAAAAAATTAAAAAAGGCCTGAACCTTATAGGCAACTATTCAATGTTTTTGGGCTCCTTAACCACAATATTCGCAATGATGCAACTTGCAAGAACGTAATTATCAATTATTGTAAATACTAACAAATTATTTTGTTCCATTTCTGACTTGAAATTTGAAATTTGAAAGTTGAAATTGATAATTAAAAACAGAAAACCGGGAACGAAATTAAAAATGTAATATTTATTCATATTTTAATCTTCAAATAATATTATTACTTTTGTTTCTAGGAACATGTAAATGTTATCGTGCATTTCTTCATCGGTTGTTTATATGATGATAATATATGTTATAAAAGTAATTAAAAGGGAAAAAAAAAAAACTGAAAGAGATTCAAGTAGCTTATAACTTTGTGAATGTAAACTTTTTTTCTCTTAAGAGAAAATGATTCAAATCTATATGCAATATCAATTTTGGTCCACCAAACAAAAGTAGAACGTTTTGTAAACCTTCAATTTTTTATGTCTATCCTTTTTATTCGTGTTTAACTTGACCACTGATTTCACATTTTATGTAATTTGTAAAACTCTTAGCGAAAGTTAATTATGACCATTTAAGATAATAAAACACTAGTTATCATGGGCAAATACTAGTTTTATGAAAAAGAAAATTTTTTTATGAAATTAAATATCTACGATGGTGCATAATCGCCAAATATTTTATGTGCCGCCTTTGCGCATAAGATAATAAAATAAGTCTAAACTTTATATGTTAAGCGGATAGAGTATTAGATGTGCCACTTTTGCGCATAAGATAATCAAATAAGTTTTTAACTTTATATGTTAATTAAGCTGGTATAGGATTAGATGTGTCACTTTCGCGCATAAGGTGATATAATGAGTTTTAAACTTTATATGTTAAGCGGGTGCATTTACTCGATATTCATGGTACTAGCTTCGCATAATTTAATAATAACAAAAAATTCAAATTATATACATTTGGCCGTTGTAATTATGTGCGAGGTGAGTTTTGCGTTAAAAAGGAATAGAACCATATTTTTAGTTATTACGCCCCTCAAGTTTCAAAATAGACACTCTTGGCCCTTGTTGAATTATTCTCAAAAGTTTTTTTTTTTAAGAAAATAATACTGTAGTAAATTATAATTTTGTCTATAGAAAATTTGAAACTCAAGCCAAAATACGTAACACGCAGCCACGTGACGTGATTCAATGAAATAATCAACCAATTTAATAATTATGGAGTTAAAATTCAATCATTTTTGTCCAGTATTAATTTTCCTACATATATACATATGTATATAATATTGAAAACCATAGACAACAATATATTGTAAAATTTGTCTATTTTTTCGTTAGTTTTGTTAAGTCGACGACAATGTCGACTTTCTTTTAGAAAACAAAATTTTTTTTTGAGTATTATCTTAATATTAATACCTTAATTAGTTACTAATTAGAATACCGTCAAAAAATATGAAAATCATAAGAGATAATAGATTTTTGCTTTCGTTGAGTTTCTTCGTGAGCCGTTTCGTCATAATTGGTGTGAAGATGAACAAGGCGACGCAAATAATTTCTACAAAAAGCAAGTATTTTGTGACTTTTGCATTGATTTTCTTTATTTAGATTAATTACTCATCAGACAATAAAAATATTGACGATGATTTTTAAAAATATATATATATATATTTTGAATTCGTCAACTTGCACGTCAACTTTGATAGATCGACGAAAAAGTTGACGCGCCTTATTTCTTTTGAAGAGCAAGTACTTATGTGAATCTTATGTTAATAATGAGACTTTATTTAATTACCAACTATAAACCATCAAAAAATTGTAAAAATAATTAGAAAAAATGAATTTTTACTTTCACTAAGTTTTCTCATGAACCGGACGCAAATAATTTATAAAAAAGAGTCAGTATTTTGTACTAATTTTTTCACATTAACTTACTTACCAGAGGATAAAAACGTTGAAAATAATTTTAAAAATAATATATTTCAGAACAAAGCCCACGAAAAAGTTGCCGCGGCTAATTTCTCTTGAAAATCAAACACTTTCGTGAATCTTATATTAAAATACTGACTTGTCGACTAGACGAACAAGCCAATTCATACAAATTTATAAATAATTATTTGACCAATCTTACTAGTTTCCTCTCAAGACGTCATGAAAAAATTAGTAGCACTCTCCTAAATTCTATTTTTTTGTTAAAAGAACTATACATAGATAACATATTCTTTTAAAAGCGTCACAGCATTTTACTTTTTTAACTTTTCCGAAAGGCAACCCAATTGCTATACAGAATACATTACCAAAAGCTTTTTGAATGGAGTTCGCATAGTACATAACTGGATACATATGTACAGCTAGCTTTATTCTTGCCAAGCAAACCCAAACAAGAACTGGTTCTTGCAATACTTCCCAGTTCCCAGATTCACCTACAAAGGAAAACCTAACTACTGAAATACTTTCGAGCTTGGGCATTTATCACTAATTAGTCTGTTTAACTAGAGGAAGACTCTAGTTAATTTACAACTAGAACAAAATGGCTTGCACAAACAAACAGGGCTATCAGGCCTATTTAATTTACATATCAACTAACGGTTTGCTACTCTACTGAAAACGTACCGATGTTGTGGCTATGCAAACAAGAGACGTCGTCTAACTGACTTGGAAATAGAACTCTTCTCCTTCCTTTTGATTCCAGGAGAACCATAATTATTCTTCGAACTTTCAACTGCTTCAACTTCACTCGGGGGCTTTGCAGCACCAACAGCCTTAGATGAACGGTAAAACTCCGTGATGCTGAGCTGCACGCCTCGTGGTGATTCCAAGTTTGTTTTCTTTCCTTTTGACTTCTTTTCTTTCAACTCCTACATTGTTCACAAAATTGTTCGTAAAACTGGAGGATGAAAATAAGGGGGTATATACGGGGGAGAAGACATTTTCTTACCTTTTCCTTAAGAAATACATTCACCTTTTCAGGATAAGCATTTTGAACAAGTTTCAATTCTTCATCAGTCAACAAGAACCAGCATCCATCTTCAATGTACACCTGAGGTACATCTGGTTCTTCTAGTAAATCAGCAGATTCATCAGCTTCCCCCAGCTCATGATGCAAATCGGGCTCTAGAGGGGTAGTTAGCCCAACGCCAGCCACTGCATTTGCATTTCTCTTCCATTTAACTGCATAAAGTTGATGTCCAAGCCTCTTTTTGATGCGCTGAATGGAATGGAACTCATATTGCCCGCATAACAAAATATCACTTCGATTAGATGCCACATCTCTCAAATACAGTGTAGACATAAACGGAAGCATCATCTTTCGTATATAAGATGGCTCCCAACGCTGAGAATAAGCTAAATAGTCAATCAGCATTTCTGTATCAGGATTTTTCCAAGATATATCACAAACATCATCTGTAGAGACAAAAACCAATAAAAGAACGTAATTACACACATCAAAGAGAAAAGTCAAAGACGAATGATGATTTTGAGTCATATAGCTACATCTATTTTACATGTTCAGACAGGTTCAGCCATTACCTGTTCCATTGTTATCCCTTAAGTACATATCTATGATATCTGAATTTGGAAAATTAGGCTCCAAAGCAATCTTTTCACAGATCTTCAGTTGCCAAATTTCTCTCTTTCGCTTCTCTTTGGCTTCCTGCTCCTGTCAATCAACAAATGCGACAACACAGTTATAATTCTGATGAACTGATCCCGAGCAAAAAATAAAGTACCAGGCAATTAAAAGTGGGATGATAAAATGATCCAAATAAGTGCTAATTAGAATCAAACTACCCAAAGAAAGAGGATTTCTTACCAAACTGCATCTGGCGCAGTTGCATTTGAAGCCTGGAGGTTTTTGCGTACAACCTTCACCGGTAACAGATACACAGATCTCACAAGAAGTCTGGAAATGAGCTTTTTTGCTTCCTGGGTGACCACAGAGCGAACAATGTGGCAATTTTGACTTGGGGCTCTCTACATTGGTTACAAAGTCACTGTTTGAGTTGATATCCCCAGAGAGAAGGATATTCTCTCCTCGACCTACTTGAAGCAACCTGCAAACATTGTGAAGCATAATGAAAAAGAGAAATGTAACAAATTCTAAGAACAGGAACAAGGGGAGGGGGGCAGGGGTGTTCTGAGGGGTGTCATCGGAGCTAACGGGCATAATACGGTTTTCTTCTGTGTTTAATGGTTAAAGAAATAAGGACGATGCGACATATTTAACTTCGATTAATTTTAACTTACCTATTCAAAACCTCCTCTTCACTGAAAGGTTTGAGGAAACGAATGGCTTTATCAACACCAATTCCTTGTATCCCATTTAAATCGTGATCACTTCCAACCAGAAGTGAAATGGCAATTAAATGTTTTCTCTTAAGTCCAAGACCTGCCTCAATGTCAGACATTAGGTAGCATTCAAGTGGATCCTGCCAAAAGAGACATCCCAGTGAAAACAGAATTATATTTATCAAAAGAGTTGCATCAACAATTCAATAATGACAACAACAAGCAGCCCTTATCCCACTTGTTTTATCAAATTAAACAAACAGAAGTGTGTCCACGCAAATTCCCCGCATCCTGACTAACCAGCAGACATGCTATAGTCCCAAAAATGCTAGAGCCCAAAAATTCGACAAACCTCAGACACATGAATGAAATATGAATGCTTTCAAAGAACAACAAGAGAGTTCTCTTCCACACGTGTGTAATTCAAGAGCAAATGCTTCAAAATCAAGCCAAAAGGGACTAAAGAGTGTCGCACAACAACATTAAGTAAGAACCCACAGATCATCGAGTGATTCAAAAGAATGTGGTTCTTCAAAATTACAGAATAATAGTCAACCTACTTATAAATACAAAGATACAATATTCAAATTTTCATTCATCAAACCAAATCCTGTAATTCAGCCCCATGATAATATTCACAATGGCAAGGATAAATAAAATTCTTACTTTGGAATTAGGCCGAATATGTTTGATGACACACTTGGCCCCAAAAAGAAATGCATCACTGTCAGCAGTAATACAAGCATCAACATGCCCCTCTCTATTTAATTGGGCACATAAGGCTTCAGCCTCGCCTTCTGCTCTGAGGACAGGCATGCCAAGAAGTTGAAGAAATTCCTACCAGAAAAGTAACAGACAATCAGAAAACAACATCATGCTTAAGAAAACTAATTAGAAAGCGAAACAATGGAAAGACGAACACTGCAATATAGAAGAGTATAGCTCACTCCTATCATTCACAACACTTCGGCATGTCAGAAATAAAGCTAATTTGAATTACTAAAATCAGTCCTTCACATTGACTTATGCCCAAAGAACCAAGAAATATCCTACTCTTTATCCATATTGCAAATCCTAGTTCACCAACCATTGGATGACTTGGTTCAACTCGAAGCAAAAACCTGCCCACTTAAGGGTTTTACTGATATCTAAAAGTATCCCGTCGGTACTTTCATTTACACCTTGGTGTTTCATCATTATAGCAACTATTCAGTCGGTACAAGAATTATCACCTTTCAGGTAAAAGTGATCACATAAGTCATTTATACCAAGCCCTATTAAGATATGTTTGTATTTGTCCTTTATTGTCATTCTACATTGTACTCTCCTAGATATAAAGCACCTTGTACATATGATTCAGTTATGCGAATATTAATTAAACCAGTTCCAATTTGGTTCAGAGCCCCAGCTTTACCGACCTCAGAGGCAATAGAAAGCTCATTGAAAGAGAAAGCATGGAATCACATTTCAAGTTCCAAAAGGTATGGTATCTTACAATACATTCTTTGACGCTCTTCTGGAATGCCTTGTTCCTTTCAACTGAAATGCCATCTTTAGGCACAGGCAAACTCGACATGTCAACACCAGAGGCTCGAAAATATCGTTTTATTCTTGCTTGAGACTTCAAATGTGAAGGAGTTCCATCCACCACAAATACAGGATACGCCCCAAACTGCACAGTTGTAATAAGCTAAATAAAATCACCAAAACCTTACTCACAAGCATACCAGAATATAATGTTCAAGACTTCAAGAAATTACAATGACACGGAAAAACAAAAATTTTGAAAAAAGTTCAAAAGTGAAGCCAACCATAAATCCCTCCCCATTCTTTCAATAAAGAATCCATCCTTTTTATTTTACTCAACTGAAATTCACTTTGCTTCAACCCAAACAGCGTCCACAATTAATAAAAAACGGAGCAAATCCCAGTTTAGACAAAACCCAAATGCAAAAACATCAAAATGGACAGATAAACCTCCAATCCTGATCAAACCAAACTGGCAAACAGAAAGACACGATCCCCCTCAAAAAAGACGCCAAATTTTCCTTTTTTCCCCTTTCTATAAGCAAATTAAGTTCATAAAAATAATTATATCAAAACAGAAGTAGTAAAAAGAAAAAGCTAGTGTACCAGTGAACAGAGTAAAGCAACAAACAGACCTTAGAGAAGAGGTTAATAGTACGGAAAAAGATGAGTCTAATGTGGGGATTCAGAGCCTGGCCTTTAATGGCGGTCTCATTTTGGACAATCCAATACGAGAGATCCACAGCGACCCGTTTCTCCCTCAAGAAGTCGAACCCTTCGGATCGTGCGTAGGGTTTTAGCAAATCCCAGAAGTTTCCTCCAACTCCCATTGGCGTTTCCGTTGATCACAGAGTGGCCGAAACCCTAATAACAATGGGAGCAAAAGAGAATGGCGATTTCTTTCTATTTTTTTTTCCGGGAAATTCAAAATGTTTGAGGTTGGGGATTCTGCTGTGGGAGTTGAACCTAGACGAGATAGAAAAATGGAGAAAGCCGTTAGGGAAACTAACATGGATTGGGCTACTTTTTCGCTGTCTGAAGTTTTTATTAATGGGCTTTGAGGTCCTAGTTTAAATTTAGAGCAGCAGGCCGGAAATATTTAAGGCCCGGTAATATTTTTACTAATGGGTTTTTTGTTTAGGAATAAAAATTTTATTTAATATCTGGAAAATCGTGGGAACAAATTGAACAAGAAGATACAATGATGAGCACAATCGTCCATATCATCTTACTTAACTTCGCTATTCCATATTAAGTCTTGGTATTTTCTTGAAAAGAATGAAAAATATAAACTCCACTTCGATTTTAAAAAATAATAACAACATTTTTTGTGTTCCAAATAATTATTCAGTTTGAATTTTTATTTTAATATAATTTAAACTAAAAGTAAAATCTAAATTGAATAATCGTTTCAAGACAGAGTAATAATGTATATGTTAGTTGTGTATATTTATAGATATGTAGAAAATTTCTATCACCTTAAGTTGAAACTCGAACAATAAATCAATAGATTGTATTCCGAGCATCTTGTCATTGAAAAACTTGTGGCTGTCAAATACGTAAAGTATTATAATACTCCATACTCTCTTCCTATCGAAATGTTTCCACAGTTTGAAATTTTTTTTTATAATTCAAATTATATTAAAAATAAAATTTCAAAACGGACAATAATTTTAAAACAGAGAGAAGTACTAATAACAGAGATAGCAAATTAGCACTTAGCACGAATGGTAAAAAAGCGACTAGTTAAATAAAATAATGTTTCTAGTATGAGCATCCAATTAATAGTGATTGGGATTAACTTCCATTAGTAGTTGGATAAGTAAGGAGGGTTGGGCGAAAATTATATTGTTAGGCTTAAGTTAGTAGTAGTACTCTTCTATCATTTAGAAGTATGTAAAGGTAAAAAATTGCGGACTTAATGCCAAAGTCAACACTGACTTTTTTTTTGAGAAATAAAATTTATTAATTTAGTGCAAACCGTCCAGCATCGATTGATAAGAAAAAATACAGTCAGAAAAACACAACCTACAATTGGCCATAATTATGGTGCATTTGTTGTGTTTCATATAGATAAACCTATAAAGATCTACCCTATCAAGCATTGATACAGTATCACGTGCCGAAACAAAGATACAACACTAAAAATCAGTTGAAACTCCCAAATCATAGATCTAACAACTAAATCTATAATGACTGAATCTTTTAAAGCCATACGAGCGAACTCCAACGAACCCGCCGTCATACCTACAAACATCACCGACAAAAATGTCGCCATACCAACAAACATCACCATGGAAGTCGCGCGCCACGCCATACCTAACTAGTAGAGGGGATTATAATCTCACATATTGAAAATAAATTAAATGAAAATAAAAAGTGTAAGGATCGAAACAAAATTATCTCCCTCATCCTTCTATGGTGAAAAGATGGGGGAAAAGATGGAGTTTTTTTTTTGTTTTAGGGTTTTAGGGTTGGAGAGAGAGAGAGGGGCAAGTCAACACTGACTTAGTTAGGAATTTTGGAGTAAACGCCGTTGTTAGGCGAACAAATCATTACAAAATCAATTAGATGAGTCATTATGCCAAGTAATTAGGCAACAGGAAGACAAAGAAATTGTTTATTAAGCTCATTAAACGACAAACAAAACTGCTGAACTCACCCTAATTAATCATGTTCCCATCATGTCTTAGTCAAATTAATTATTAGTAGTACAAGATTGAACACCGTAAGATAATTAGATGGAGATGAATCAAATTCTAGTGTTTTACCGAGCAGCTTTCAAAACCCTGCAAAAGCTTATCAAATCAAATATTGTTTTCACAGCTCACACACGTATTCTCGAGTTATAAACCCGGCGGTATTCATTTGAATAATTTCACATCATGACATTTCCATTTCACTACTACCAAAACTAGTGCCGGATCCAATAATTTGACTGCATTTGTGAAATCTTTTCATCCATGATCCAAACGTCGTCTGAAAAGGAGTCCTCGTGGTTGAAATATGATACAGTAAATATTTTTTACTAAAAAAAAATACATTAAGTTAATATTTCAAACTTTATTTACCTTTTGATATCGGAAAAAGAAATTAAACACAAACACATCGATTTAGTTATTTAATAATTAAATCTTATAATATATATTTCAACCATTATTTTATCAACTTTATGATCAATTGAGAGTGGATCACCTCTAGGTTTCGACTCAAACATTTACTGGGATGAGTTAAATTTACTCAAACGAAATTACGATCAAATGGAAAAATTAATACTCCATTCGTCCCCAAGAAATAGTCCACATTGAGTTTTGAGTTTTATAGGGTAGCGTACAAAACTTAAAACTCAATGTGGACTATTTTTTAGAGATAAACGTAGTACCATTACTTCTCTCTACATTTGTTCACTGGATTTGTTGTGACATTTGGATCCAAAAAATAAAATAAATACAATACTCTTGATTCAGTATTATTTGTATTATCTCTTCCATTTTTCAATCTTGATAGCTATGAAACTGAATCTAACTAGCTACCTAGCACTCAACTGCCCAAGCTACTTGAATTGTTTAATTGAAATTGGTTTTAGTAGGGTTTTTTGGGGTTCACCGGCGGGTCAGGTTCGCGCCAAATATATATAGTCTAATTCCTATCAATGTTATAATCAAAACCAACAAACCAAGGACAAGTAATTAATCAAATCAAATTAAACTTGTCCATTTATACTAAAAAAAGAACCAAACAATATTTGAAGGGCCAAATTAAGGGGCCACGATATACCTTAAGCATATAATTAATTCAAAATGTCTCTTGATTTAATCATCTTATTATAATAATAAAATGTTACATTAAGACTTAAAATTATGTGGTTCATGTATGGGGACTTTTATTATCGGAAAAAAAAAATTAAATCCACCGTCAACTATTCCCATATATATTTGCTTGTTGGAGTGCGTACACAGTACACTTACCCAACACCAACAACCACGTTTAATACTATTCATCAACCAAACAAATCTGAATTATTTTCTTGGTACTCAATTTGGCAGTATCCGTTGTTTCTCCGACATCCCTTTAGAACACGAATCTCATACCCGTGGAAAAAATTTACTACTTGTGAGGCTTCATTTTCTAATGTTTCTTTCATCACTAATTAATATATAGTATGGCCTCCATGTCCTACATTTATTTAATTCAGGCAACAAACTCTTGAAGATGTGTCTATGTCCATCCTCATCCCCTTGTGCGTTTGTCTTTTTCCTCACGATCCATTGTTTCTTTAATTTAAGAGTTCAAATTGTAAATTAGTCCTTTAAGATTTTTCCAATGAAGGAGTAATACCCTTAAAAAGGACGAGTAGCAACAATTTGTCGTCATTATCGTAGTCTTAGGTCGCGTCCCTTGTTTAAATTGTCTTAAAAAATAGCTAGATTAATCGAGACAGTGACTTTGGCTTACATATATGAAAAAATTATGGAAGAATAGTTTTCGAAAATTGCATTGTCATGTGAGAAAGCAACCGCCAAATAAGTTGAAAATTAGTCTATATAATGCATTTAAAATGTAGGTGTTTGAGTAAATAAAACTATTATTTCTTAAACATTTCAAGTCTACCTCTGTCTGGTTACTTAGTACTACCTCCGATTTTTTTTTTATCTGTCAATTTAGGGTGAATATAAATTGTTTTTTTATATGTTGTACTTCATTTTCAATGCAACATTAAATACTGTTTTCCCAATTTTACCGTTATCTTTCTCTACTTTTAATAACATATATTAATGACAACTACCTACTATTTAACTTCAATTTCAAATTTTTTAGAGTTCTAATACTTTTAATTAGGGGCAAGGAAGACAATACGCTTATAAATTAAATTCTCAATCATTGTTTTCTTAATAGTTGTGCAAACCATAAGTCTAAAATAGATTTAAAAAAACGGAGGTAGTATGTTTGCTAAATCATGTTGATTTAGAAAAAAAAAAAAAGGAATGTTAAAAGAAAACGACTGAGAAACTTTAAATAATTTTATTGTAGGTAAGATTAAACTCCGTATCTCGAATGTTTGTCTTAATGTGATGGTTCACAAATGCAAAATTGATGATTGAAGGTCATAAGTTACTACCACAAATAATATCATAGGGTTGTTTGAAAATATTAAAACTTCGAAGAAGTTGTTTGCAAATAATCCAATAATGCCCTACAAGAATTTGACGAAGTTGCTTCCCTCCTTCTTAGAGTTTCTTCTACACAAATCGGAACCAATTATATATATATATGAGTCATCTTCATCACCTAATCTCCCAACAACAGATCAAAAACAAATCAATCAAATCATTCAATCATCAAGAAAAAAATGGCTTCTTCATCAACCAGAATTATGAGCTCATATTCATGCGAAATGCGACCTCGATTGCTCAAAGAATTCCTGTCCGATGATTCATCACTTCCCTCATCTTCTTCATTTGATCATCATGGAAGTCTTTTCAAGAAATCTTCATCCCTGAAAAATCCCAGGTCCCTGTTACTCAGGAATCGTTCCAAATCGGCATCTTCCATATCCATCTCCGCCATCCACAAGGCTTCAGAAGCCGTAATCAAAGCCATCAAATTCCTCCCGTTCGCCCGTGGCTCTGCAATTAAGACCCCTTCTCTGCTCCCAAGAAGCCTTTCCCGTAAGAAATCCAAAAGGGATCAAATAATTCAAAGTGAAAAACACAGTGAAATTAGCAATCGGGCTTCTTTCTCGTCATCAAGTGAGGATCAGCAGCAAGTCGAAACGCCGAAAATCAAAGACATTTTGCGGTGGAAGTCATTCAGGGATGTGGTGGAGGATTTGTCTAACAAATGGCTTGAGTCTGATTTTGCCCCTGAAGACTTGAATTCATTGGATAATCTTGATGATGATGATTACGGAAGGTATTATTTCATGGATCACCAGAAGACGAAGAAGAAGAAGAACAGAGTGGATCAGGGGAGATTTTCATTTGAAGAGGACGATGAACAGAGTAGCCCTGTTTCAGTCCTTAATGACTCTGTATTTCTAGATGATGATCATGAAGAAGGAGAGCCCGTTTCGTTCTTCAATCGAACGGTTGAAACCATGGAAAGTAAGTTCTCGCCTCTTGAATTTCTCATTTAAGTTTGTTCATTTTTTCGACCATACTGATGTTGAATGATGGATTTTTTATTTTTTATTTTATAAAAATATTGTTACTTTGTTTGGTTGCATAATCAAGGAATTATCAATCCGAATTTAATTGGTTCCTACACTAGACATGTTGAGTACAAGTTTTTTCATAATTATAATGATGTTATCCCCTATGCTTCATAATAATATTGATAACCAGCTTCAGATACGTATAAACTCAATTTCAGGAGGTAATAAGCCCAAATCTATCACTTTCCAAAATATGGCATCCGACTTGGGCAACACTCCACCACTTTCCTAGTAATGTATAGTATATTAAATTACCAATTACATGTAGGAACTGATTATCCTTTTTATTTAGGACAAGTCGTATACACACATGTAACACCTATATAATACCTAATACCTTCATTATTTTCTCTATTTCGAAATCATTGTGCGAATTTCGACCTCAACAGAATTAAAACTATCTAATGCCACGGCGTCATGATGTCACTAATTTATGCGTTTACATGTTGTTTTACAGGAAGGAAAAACATGCTCATGCAAAGACTAAAAGAGTTTGAAAACCTTGCAAAACTGGAGCAAATTACACATGAAGAAGAAGGAAGACTGACCAAAGAAGAGAATGCAACAACAAAAGTGGAAGAATCAAACTGTGAAGTTGAAGCAAAAGCAAGGGAATTATTAAGCCAAGTCAAGGCAACATCCTCATCCTCCTCCTCAACCCACAATGACATTGTTTTACTTGATTTCTTTAGGCAAGAATTGGCTGCTAGTAACAATGGTGAAATTGAGATGCTTAAAACGGCACAAGATTGGATGAGCAAGGAATATTGCGAGGGCACATTTGATTGTGAGCTGTTGGACTGTAAAGAGGCCTGTCTCAAGGATATGGAAATTGGGCCCATGAAATGGACTAGAAGCAACAATTTTGGTGAGGAGCAACAAGAGTTGGGCCGTGATGTGGAGATCCAAGTCCTCAATGATTTGTTGGATGAGGTTTTGGGCGATCTTCTTCTATGACTTGTATAAAAACCACACACGGTCTTCTTTCTTCATTCTTTTATTTATTCAATTTGTTATTTATTTGGAAAATATTAGAGTCGAAAATAGAATTAATTAGCATGGAGTATGGAGAATAGATAAATACGTACTATTGTACTTTATAAAGATAGGGCAAAGGTGCATGGTTTAGACTAGAGTGACTGCCATGCCTTTGTCTCATAATTTTTCAGTTTAATAGATATCCAACTCATTCTCAAGTAATGATATTATTTAATATGTATAAAAAAAATAGGTATTCTTATTTATTTTGGTTACTAACGCATAAATATCAGCATTTTAAAAATAAGGGTCTATGGTAGATGCCTAAGCATATTGAAGAAGGTTAGGGGGTTCTTTGTCACTTATTCTCGATAATAAAAGATAATATTTTAAAGTGTTTATGGTATGACTGGAACTTATGAGTTCTAGTTCTTTTCCATCCGGACAAGTCAGAACTCCGCAAAGTTCCCTCTTGACACTAAAATTGATAAACACAAGATGACAAAATGATCAAGATTTTAATTAGTGTACATAACTTCGGTTAATGTTAATTATAATTATTTTTTTTTTTCCCCTTCACGTGGATACTGAGGTTTGACATTTGAATAGCGTTGGTTAGCATCAACGAAACACGTCGTTTGATAATCGTCAAAGGAAATTGATAGATGTGATAGACTGATAGTTTTAAGGATATTTAAATCAGATTGGTGGAATACATAGTAAACATGAATATTAAAAAGTACTGTAATTGTGGTTTTGGAAAGTGACTTAAATATACAAAGCTTCTGTAACCTGTCTCATTTAGCAGTTAAAAAAAGACTCAAAACATTTGCTTAAATTAAGATAGAATTCAGCGTTTCTTTGAACTTTGAATTAGAGTCATTAGACAACTAGCATTAGCATACGTATATATTTTGAGTCTAAAGCTAGCAATACTCCCTCTACTTCGATCCATCCCAAAATAATTAGATTTCTTAACCTTAAAATTAAAATAAAAGGACTATTTATGGTTTTTTTAAAAAAGATTTTTTGGTTAATTCTAAAATATTTATGTTTTAGCCAGACGAAAGTGAAAAAACAAACAATAAAAATTGCGCAATGCAATAGACCCGTCGAGCTTAATTAGTTGCTAATTAATCATAGTGAAACGATGAAGTTCAGACTCCAGATCTGATCAACTAATGAACAAAATAAGAAGAATTCGTTAACTAATTCCGAAAGTCGTGCATGTCTAAATCTGCAAATTGTATTAACTAAAACAGCTAAACATCACTTCAAAATTATCTTTAGAAGACGGGTTTTTTTTTTCGGAAAATATCTTCCCTGATAACTTGTAAGTGAAGATTAATCTGAGTGTAATATATGTCCGCTTAGATAATCGTATGTACTTAGAAAATGAGAAATATGACTTGCCATTTTTAATTTGTTAGCAGCTGACTTAGCTCAAGTTAATTAGTCAAGTAGTAATTTTTTTTTTCTTAACACACAACTCAAGATTGTAAAGATTTGAGAAGGTCAAATGCGTGAATTTGGTAAACTCTTTTTCTAAATCCGATGAAACTGCAGAAGAGTCTAATGCTCCGTTGTCCGCGAGGACCGCGACCGTAGCTCAGAAACTAGACTGCCCGCAAAGTATCCTTAAAGTAAAGCAACATTAATTTATTCATGGTTTACATAAATTATAGGTCATTAATTTATTCTCTTAATTTAATTTTATTTTTTTGAAAAAAAAGCTATTCTCTTAATCAATCAAGCCACTTCCCTCTAATTTGTCATCTCCATGTGGCATTCCAGTTACATTCTTATAAGTAATCTAAATCATTGCTAATTCTTTAAAATAAGCTACGCAGAACAAAATATTTTAGCACAAATTCAGATACCAAAGCCAAAAAGAAGAGCAAACGGAAATGTTAAACACACACATCTTTCCAGCGTTTAGAAGATGCACCATACTGTAAAAAGGTTGAATACATAGCATGTGCGCGCATCGATGCCCAATATCCATGCCGAAACAAACTACAAAGAAAGAAGCATGGCCAATTTGTGATCTTTCTAAGATGCAAAGTAGAATGATTTACAGACCACAACCCATCAAAACCAATGTCCTCTTCTGTTTGAACTTCAATTCCTTCACATTTTTCAGCAAGAAAAACTCACTTGGAGAATATGAGAATCGGATGAGACGATTAGAATTTTAGATTATGATAAGATTATTATTTCAAAAATATTTGTGGTACGCCAATCCAAACAAACAAACAAACAAACATAACTCTCACACAATCACGTACAAACTCAGTGACACTTTGCTTGTGCTTCAACATCTTGAAAATGGTACCATTTCACACACACACACACACACACACTCCCATAGAAAAGTTTACCTAAATTGAACAATAGAAACAATAATTTTTGTACATCCATTTGGACTTGTTCCATTTGTATATAATCAACTTGCCCCATAAAACTGTGCTGGCTACAAACGGGCCAAACAAAAATGCATGAAGATAGGATACTTTCTTCCCCTAAACAAAGAGATCACCCCATGATTTAGCCTCAAGAAATGTCCAATATCTTTGAAAAAGGGAAAAAAAAAAGGGGGGTGACTAATAGCTAGCCTTGTAATTAATTAAGTACTTGCCATGTAATATATTCTCCCCGATCTCATTGATACACAGCAAAAAATTAAATTATATTTAGTTCAAAATTATGTCTTGTAAATAAGATAATAATGAATAATATTTATGAGTTTCTAATATCTTTTGTTTTGAAAGTTCGGTGGTTTGAATTATAAAGAGATGTTAACGAAAAAATAATGTATAGAAAATTTGTCATGTCAAATGACTGGATTAACCATTTCAACCGATGTCCGATGCCATTAAGCAATTTCCATACAAGTAAATTTGTTATAAATCTTTGGATCATTAATAGCCTAAGAGTTTGGTACAGAATTTTTCAAAATTTATATCCGAAAAATTCTGAAAACAGATGAATACTTTATCTGTTTTTACAAACTAAAAGAACAATGAGAAATTATAAAATTCTTCCGAGGCAGAGGAGGGGAGTAAAATTTTGTAGAGAAAATAATAACTCAGGTTCATAGCCAAATCACTAAACTATAAACAAGTTTATAATACAAAACAAAACCAAATAAAAAAAAAAAAAAAAAACTCCTTTGAACAACATTTTGTTTCATTTAATGCAGAAGATTCATATTTATGTAAGATGCAACCTAGAACCAAGACAAGAGATCACGGTAGAGGGCCAGTATTTATTTTGGTTTGGTCTACCAAAAGAAAATATATATTTTGCTTAAGTTCGCACCACCTCAGTTCAATCATCCGCGATTAGCTGCCGTACAGCTGTATTTTCAATTGCTTGAGTTTTTGGTTTAAGGTGTTTACTTGGCTTCCAAAACGGCCCTCACAAACTCCAGGAAAAGCATTTTGTTTTTTAGGATTAAATTAAGTGAGGCCTTAGTGACCTGAATCACACTTAGTGTGGATCATTGTTAAAGTGTTGACCCCTCAATAAATCTTACTCCCTCCGGTACTATTTATTATAAGACATTTTGATTTGTTATAAGTTTCAACCAAAATTTTTTTTTTATTAAAATAAAAATCTTAACACATTTCCTAATAATAATTAAGAAAATACAACGAATGCGAAAATCAAAATACCTTATAATAAGGACTGGAATCGAAAAAGTATTGAGCAATATTACTGGAAAATTTGATAGTGTCGTCGAGATCGTATAACATCAATCGTCAGTGGTCTTGAAGATATAATAATAATTTCATTTGAATCAAGATTGTGAGAAAATATTAATTACTACGAACTTAATTAACAGTTTAATCGCTCAGGACTTCTCTTGATTGTGAGAAACGGATGAAAAATATTTGAATGTGTTTGGCATTTCATCGTTCAGATTTTTGTTTTTTGGTTATAAATAAGTCATTTAATTTTTTAATATATGCAACGTTGATATATTTGCTTTTTATTACATGCACTATCTGTCCTAAACTAAGAATAATATTTGTTTTATACATCGATCATTAATTTTGAGTTTACACGACGATTACTAAATTTTTAAGGCGGGCTTCCCTGATTTTAGGTTCACCATTAATTTTCTAGCCAACCTAGCTAAAAGTTTATACTCTGTGCTCTATTTCGACTAATTGGTACTCTCTGTGCCAAAATTATTGTCCAATTTGAGATTTCACTTTTAGTACAATTTGAACTAAAAATGAAAACCCAGATAAGACAATAATTATGAGACAGACGGAGTAAATTTTATTAGGGAGAACTTAATTTACAAATTAGAACTAGTTTTGTTTTGATAGAGAATCATCCTTTCTTTCTTTCTTTTTCTTTTTTTTTTTTTGGGGGGTTTATAGTCTTTCTGTTACTTTTACCTCTGATACCTTTCTTGAAAGGCAACTAAAATTTAATTACATCATTAAGTTAGGAGTTAGGACTAAATGAATATTAATAATGCTTTTCTATAAAATATAAACGTGTACGAAAGGAAATTGTGTGTTTTCTAGCATGTTTGTGTGTCCAATGTCGCCAATCGTACCGCTAACTAATTTTGTTTGTGAATTGTAAACATCTCAGATATTGGGAAAAAAAAAAAAAGAGTCACTAATTGTCGATACCATATCATGTAAGATTTCTTCTATAGCCATTCAATCACAATTTAATTACAACCCTTTTGATTAGTAAAAGAAAACTTTTGAAGAACTCTTTACGCTTGGGGGTGAACCATATGAATACGCAAAACGTCATTTATTAAGCTTATTATGGTATTAAAATAAAATGGTTAAAAAAAAAAAAGATTGAACATGGCTAAGAAGTTGTCGTCATCAAGTAAAGTATATGTAACGTATCTCTTCGGCAATACTACTTTTTATACACCGTAACGACTAGCATTGCATTTAGCTTCCTTTTCTTTCTCTAAATTCCTCTCATTTCAAAAAGATCTCGTGTTCGTTAAATTTTCTCCGTCTCAAAATGTCCATTACATTAGTTTCATGCCACTAAACTAATTTACGCGTACATTAAAATCAACACAAAAAATATTAACCTATTCTATAACAGTACATTAGTTGGCTTTGACTTTTTTTTTTAATTTATTTATGATACACATTACACTAGTTGGCTTTGACTTGATAATAATAATTCCATTACGTACTTTAAAATCAACACCAAATTCTTATCCCTATTCTACAAAAGTCGGCTTCGATTTTAGAATCAACAGTATTTTTTTTTATTCATCTCAAAGTAAAAATTTGGTAAATTATACATCTTCTGTCTCGAAATTATTGTCCAGTTTGGATTTTTATTTTTAGTTCAGTTTGTATTAAAATTAAAAATTCAAAGTTGATAATAGTTTTGAAACGGAAGGAATACCATTTCAATCATAGTACATGTTATTTATTTATTTTGAGACAGATTGCATTTTGTTTTGGAAATTTATCATGATGGTAGTAGTATTTTTTCCATTGATATATATGAGATGGAAATTTTCCGGGGTTTATTAATGTGATGGTTTGGCACTTCGGCACCGTGTACGTTAAAATCAACACCAAAACGTTACCCCCATTCTATAATAGTAGCTGACATTGCCTTAAGAATTAAACATTTTTTTGGGGCTAAACTAATCCTATTGAAACCACTAATAGTACTCTCTCAGTCCCAAAATTATTACTCACTTTGTGTTTTCATTTTTATTTCAAATTGTACTAAAAGAGAAATTTCAAGCTGGACAATAATTTTGGGACGGAGGGAGTAATTTTTTTCCCATAGACATTATGAAAGGAAAAATTCTGGCGTTGATGAAGTTGTTTTAATTAATGCAAATCACTTCTTTTTTTTTTCTCCCCGAAAACCAAATTAAAAGAAATGGCCTGCGTTGTGTAATTAAAGAGTTTTCTAAAAAAGAATTATAATAACAAAAAGAAAGTTGAAATTCATACAATTGGAAAAAGGCGATTGTTGAGACCAGGACTCTTGGAATAAGAGTGGACCATGATTGATTTGCCTCATTTTCTGCATTTGGTAATAAATTTCCTGCAAATTTTTTTTCCATATATAAATCCAACAACCCTAAATTTCACTTTTTGGGAAGAAAATTACTCCATGTGATATGATTTGATTTTTGTATTTTTTTTCGTTTTGTTTTTTTTTTCAGTTTCATTTGTCTATTAAATAAGAAGTTTTATAATCCTTTCCACCTTATTCTCTCCAACTTCTTCATCGTCATCATCAAATCAAACATATAAAATGGTAGGCAGAATGCACTTCTGAATTTCATTGATGGGTGTGGAATAACATCCGTGAAACCATGCCATATTCATTTCCTTAAATTCATCCTTTCTTACTAAATCTGTCGGTTTTTCTGTGTGTTCTTCGAACCCAACAAACCAGAAATCTTCACATGCAGCCACTGAAAGAATACTTGATGATTTCAATAAAGTCCCTGTTTTAAAAGCCCTGTTTTTGTGAGAGCAAAATACACTGAAAAGGGCGTTTTTTCTCATCCTGTTTTTCCCCTTTTGGAGGGGGGACAGAGCATATTGGTTGTCTTCTTCTTTGATTTTTTGGACTGAGTTTAGTCCTAACAGAAGACAAAAAAAGGGAGAAAACCATGAAGAATGATGAACAAGCTCGGTCTCTTTTTGGGATTTCTCTGAATGAACTGCCTGTTTGGAAGCAATTTATACTTTGCTCTTCTGGGTTCTTCTTCGGTTATCTCGTCAACGGTATTTGTGAGGTAATCCTGATGCATTCTTCCTCAATTTCTTCATTGTTCTCCGTTATTGAATTCTGGGGGGTTTTTTTCCGGTGACGGTAAAAGCTTCCAAAGGGTTGAACTTTGGCGGCGTTTCAAACATTATTAGTACTCTGTTTGCCGTCGGAAATGGTAAAAGGGGAAAACGCGTTGTTGTTGAATGTTTAATTCATTGATTAATAAGGTCAAATAATTGCGATTGATTCCTTTAAAGAAAAAGATAACTCTCCTGGGTTTGAAATTTGAGTTTGTTATAATGTAGTTGATGGTGTGTGCGGAGAATTTGCTGATCATCGTCATCCTAATTATCACCTAATAAAACAAAGAAACAAAGAAATTCATTTCTTCTTTTTCTTTTTCTATTTTCCCTTTCTTTTTTTTTAAAGTTGAGTTTTGAATTGCAAATTTCTCGTGCTGATGTCGTAATGTGATGATCAAACTTCTTTTCCGCAATTATTTCCCAGAATTCGGGTTGGGAGTATCCCAGAATTTGTTATGTAACAGTTACTTATATTGATAAAAACAATTTGGATTCCTTGAAGTTATCTGTCTTTATCTTTTGGTGGGGTTTGGTGGGGTTAAGCTGGGATTCTCAAATTGCAAGGAATGGATCGGTGGCTTTACTGGCTGATACGTTTCTCTTATTGTCAACAATGGGCATCTTCAATACACTTCTTTTTTGTTGTGTTGTTGATTATAATTTCGCAAATCTGTTGATTATTCAAACCACAAACTATTTTTAGCAAATGTGAAGACTGAACATTAGCTGACTTTTTAGACTCACCCAAAATTTTTCGCGTTCAGGAATACGTGTACAACAGGCTGCAATTCAGGTCAGTTTTCACAATGGCACTTGTTTTTTCACTGAATAATTGAACCATTTTGGTCTTAGTTGTTGATATTGGTGGTTCATGCCAATTCTGACTGCAATTTTTCATCCTGAAGCTATGGCTGGTACTTCACATTTGTTCAAGGATGGGTGTATATTGTCCTGATTTACTTGCAAGGTTTCACTCCTAAGCAAATGGTTAATCCCTGGAAAACTTATGTAAAGCTCTCTGCTGTGCTTATGGGATCACATGGACTTACCAAGGGGTCGCTGGCTTATCTGAACTATCCAGCCCAGCTCATGTTTAAGTCAACCAAGGTAATCTTTCTTGCTGGCCTTACTTTTCGGTCTAGATCATAGCTGCATTGAAATTCATTCTTGCATTAAAGAGCTCTGCAGTTTCGGTGCTGAAATATTAGTTTTGGTGGATAGTTCCAAATTCTTATAATCCGTGTTGGGAAATAAATGGAGATAGCATTTCTAACTTAGAAGTTAAAGGCCAACCATAGATATAATGTTGACTGTGCTGAAGCTGCATAGATTATCTTTTATCATTTAATTCGCCTTTTTGGCTAATTCTGGTTTCCGGGATTTCAGGTTCTTCCAGTGATGATAATGGGCGCCTTTATTCCCGGATTAAGGCGGAAATATCCTCCCCATGAATATGTATCTGCAATCCTCTTAGTAATTGGTTTAATCCTTTTCACTTTGGCAGATGCACATAGTTCACCAAACTTTAGTGTGATTGGTGTTGTAATGGTTTCTGGTGCTTTGATTATGGACTCCTTTTTGGGGAACTTACAAGAAGCTATCTTCACGGTCAATCCAGAAACAACTCAGGTAAAGTATTAGGCCTCCTGCATTGGTATCAGGATGCACAATAGCTGTTCAAGGAGAAGTATCATTGATTTTTCTGCAACTTACCTCTGTTGCAGATGGAGATGCTGTTTTGCTCAACTGTTGTTGGATTGCCATTCTTGATTCCACCAATGATTTTGACTGGAGAGTTGTTTAAAGCCTGGACTTCTTGCTCTCAGGTAAGAAACTCAATGATTGTCCTCTGTTCAATTTAACAATATTAAAGTTAACCATGTTTATTTCTGTTGTAGCATCCATATGTATACGGAGTTTTGGTCTTTGAGGCAATGGCTACATTCGTCGGACAAGTCTCCGTCCTTTCACTGATTGCACTGTTTGGTGCTGCCACCACAGCTATGGTATGTATTACACCAATCTAACGGCTATCGCACCGTTCTATCAAAGATTAATTTTAGACTTGTAAAACAAAAGATGTTCGAATCTTTTTCTGCCATCTTAAAAATTTCACACATATTGAATGCATAGAAGCAAATTAGTCAGATCAAGAAGTCGATGTCAAATCCTGCTTTGACATTGCTTTTGTTGCTTAACAGATAACTACAGCTCGAAAAGCAGTAACATTACTGCTATCCTACTTGATTTTCACAAAGCCATTGACTGAGCAACATGGAACCGGACTAATATTGATAGCAATGGGGATCATTTTGAAGATGTTGCCGGAAAACAAACAGCCTCCTAGACGGTCTGCGGCGAAGCCCTCAATCAATGAGGGTAAGATCAGTTCCCAAATGGAGATTGAGAAAGAGGAGAAGAGGCCTTTGGTCTGATGAGAAAGAAAATAGGATGTGTAGTATATTGTGTAATCTATTACTGAATCTAAATTGAAAGTATGTGTAGCATTAATTACCAAGTCATATAGAGCATACAAATTGCAATACCAACGAAATATAGAACTTGAAAATGTTCGTCAAAATCCTGGACTGAGGTATGGTACCTATCGCAATCTCATTGATGGAATTAGTAGTACTACTCTCTCCGTTCCGTCTTATAATTATTGTCCTGTTTGAGTTTTCATTTTCAGTTTAAATTATACTAGAAGTGAGATCTGAAACTGGACAATAATTTTCGGATAGAGTAGTATTATTTATGAGCTCAAGAGTCAGAAATATGAACTTATGTGGCTATTCATTCTAAAACAACTGAATTGTCACATTGAATACCATTTCTGTGCAAGAATCACCCATACAGTCATACATCAGCTTTAGTTATTTCACGTATGGCAACATATTTGGTTAAGGCTCTCACTTATGACATTGTCATTTGAATTCAATTGGGTGTAGATTACTAGAGACGAAGAGATCAAAAGAATAAGTATTAAAATCCAAAAAGAGTAAGGTAAGAACGTAAATTAGTACTCCTTCCGTTCCATAATTATTATTTAGTTTGAGTTTTTATTTTTAGTTCAAGTTATACTATAAGTGAAATTTAAAACTAGACAATAATTTTAGAACAGTGAGTGAGTATCAAAAGTTCGAAATTTTGAAATATTCCTTGGATTTTTTTTATTTTTTTTTAAAGAAAGTCAGAGCCATAGCTCATAGCTGTAATGTGACCATCGGATCAACCGATCAAATTTCTTTTAAAACCGGATTGAAGGAAGAAAAAAGAAAAAAGAATGAATTAAATTACTATTAAATTAATCTATGGTAGCCCTATAGGATCCAACTGGAAGCTGTCAGGAAAAGAGAGATAATAATGACTGGCAGGACGCCACGTTCCCGGCGGAATATCAGTTGACTCCTTTTGACCGGCACACACATTCTGATTCCGATCATCAGCAAATATCACACACGTGTAAGCCCAACCCCATGCATGCCCGACACCGCAGCCTGAAAATCCCATTATTACTTTCATTCATTACAGTTTAATTTGATGCGTGAGAATCATCAATGACATTACATTTTAAAAACTTCTTCCCGTTTTAACAAGCAGAAGCGGCGGCAAAGATTTGTCCAGATTATTGTACTATTAGCAACAGTAAATTGTAGTGGTTGAAATCGAAAACCGATAAGGACAGTTTCCCCTAAAACTAATATGGCCGAAAACGACAATGCTGGTAGTTCAAGAACCACCAATCCTCTGCTTCTACGGGTGGCAGATCATTTAAAAGAAGAAGAAGGAAACAAAAATCAAAGGCCCCAAGAACCATGGCAAGCACATTACCTGAAGAGCATTGTCTATGCTGGGCTGTATTCCATTGTCACTTCTTTTTCCCTCATTTCTTCCATCTCCGGCGGTCGTCTCTCTTCAGGTGACAAAAAAAAAAACTGGAACCAGCCAAATTGTCTGATTATATATTTCAAATGTAAAAAGTGAGTCCTCTAATTACCCTTTTCCTTTTTTGATTTCTGGGTACGCAGTGGATGTTTTGGTACTGGGATTTGCAAATCTGGTTGCTGACGGAATATCAATGGGATTTGGGGATTTTATATCGACCAGCCTGGGGAGGGACATGGCTGAAAATGAGAGATCATTGACCAAATGGGAAGTGGCAAATCATCGAAGACATGAAGAGCACGAACTGCTTCAGAAATACAGAGACCTTGGCATGAATTCCGACGCCGCGGCGGTGGTGACCATATTATCAACGTACATGGACATATTGGTGGGTGAAAAGATGGTAAACGAAAAGGGTATGTTGCCACCTGACCAATCAGCTGATCAGAAGCCATGGAAGAATGGGTTGGTCACTTTCCTGGCGTTTTTAGTCTTTGGCTTTGCACCACTTTTGGCTTTCACAATTCTGATTCCGTTTACTCCGAATAGTAAAATAAATGGAATTGAGTCGTGTTCTGATAGTTTGGACGTTGTAACTTTAACTATGAGATCATGAGTGTAATTCTTAACTTTAACCACCAGATTAGGAGTGTGATTTTTATTACTAATAGGTTCAATTCTTATAAAAGATTACAGTTGAGTGAATTCAGCAGATTAAGTACGATATATAATTGTGTATGTTAATTGAGTTCTTAAACACGCTTTCTGAAAATTGTTCAATTGATACCATTAGTAAAATGTGAGAAAACCAAAACTACACTATTAACAATAGAACTACACACAATTTTAAATGTAGCTGTAATTGCATTTATTCATTTAAAATGAATAAAATGAAATTTGGGGACGTATTGAGCTTAAAACGAAAATAACAGCATAACCTTGTACGAAATACAACGAGTTGTTTGCCTTTTTGGTTTGTGCCATTCCTTGGAAAACGAAAATAGAAAAAAGCAAAACACCTAATAAACCTCATATTTAAAATTTCAGAGAAATTTTGTAGTATGGTGACAATTTTCAATATTATTGGTCCACTTAAAATAATCAAATCGTTGGGATTATAATTTTTATTCATAAAAACACTAGCAAAATAATAGTAGTATTTGTTAAAATTATCTTAAATTTTTACACATCATTGTTCAATTCAATTCTTTAAATATTATTAGTAGTATCATTTTCTCCTCCTTTTTTTTAAGAAATAGAATATATTAAATTTGCTGGAAATAATTTGGTGTGTTTAACCAAGTTATATCACTTGATTACATGAGATTTAGCATAAGCAGTTACCACATGAGCTACTTCATTTTCTTGACGCGGAATCCAAAAAATGGAATTGAAGGAGAGATCTAACAATAATTGCTAATCTCTAGTAGTACTGGTAGACAAATGTACGAGTAATCAACCTCTCCAACGGCTGAAAGAACAGCTACAAAAGAATCTCCCATAATAGTAGCATTTCTAATATTAAAATCTTTCATTAGAGTAATAGCATCCTTCAAAGCCATTAATTCCGAAGTTCTGAAGAACGAATCCCATGCATACAACGTCCCTTTGCAGCTACAAAATTGCCATGTTGATCTTTGATGTAGATACCCATAGCAATACAGTTTCTAACCCGCGACACAGCACCATCAAAAAATACACAAGTTTGCAAATTATCTGGAGGAAATAAGTGCCTTGAACGCAATTTAGGTGACCAAATTGTCTGGAGCATAGTAACAGCAATGTTGTGGTTGAATAAGCTATTATTACGTGCATACCACAATTGATTGCATAAAATTCCAAAAAATTCAGCAAAAGATTTCTCAGAATGGATGATGATATCTCTTATCCATAAATCCCATTATGGTTGTTGGTATTCAAGAATTTTATCTCGTATCCTAGCAAACATGAACAACTGCATTGCGAAAGGGCAAAAAACACAGGTATGCAAGGTTGTTGGATTTGGTGCAACACATAGAGAGTATGGTAAATTTAGAAAACAACCATGTTTTTTTAGATTCTCCAATGAAGGAAGTGAATCTGTAGTGCAGTGCCAGAGGAATGGATGATTCGGTTTAGAATCTTTAGCTTCCACAGTTTATTCCAAAATGAAGTATCATCTGCTGTCAAAACTATAGAAGGATGATTATCAACTGGAGGTGGTGGAGACATTGTTAAAACATTATAAGCGGCTTTAATGCTGAATCTTTCGTTTGGTGAGGGATGCCACATCCATTTATCCCTTGTGGTGGGATTGCCAAGTAACATTGACAGGATATTTTTGGCTTCTGATGGTTGGAAAATTCTTTGAACTAGATTCACCTTTCAGCTTTCTATATCATGATCTATTAAATCAGTAACGACAATATCAGAAGGTAGTACTGAGAAAGCACTATGCGTCTGAAAATCTACAGTGTTAGAAATCCAACGGTCCATCCAAATACGAGTGTCTTGGCCAGAATTGATTTTCTTGCGACAACCTAGCAATAAAGTATCTTTTCCATCCATAAGACTTCTCCAAGTAAATGAAGGGGTATTTCCAAGTGTAGCATCCAGAAAAGATTGAGTTGAGAAATACTTTGCCTTCAAAATTCGTGCAAGTAATGAACCTGGATTGGTAAGAATACGCCAAGCTTGTTTACTGAAAAGAGATAAGTTGAAATTTTTTAAATCTCGAAAACCTAGGCCTCCATTTTTCTTTGGCTGTGATAATTTACTCTATTTGACCCACCTGATCTTTCTTTTATCTCCTACATCACCCCACCAGTATGAAGAACACATAGAATTCAACTTATGAATAACTGTATCAGACAATCTGAAACATGACATGGTGTAAGTCGGTATTGCTTGAAGAACACTTTTGATAAGAATTTCTTTTCCCCCACATGAGAGATGCTTCTCTTTCCAACATGAAACACACTTCCATACACGGTCCGTGACTTGATCAAAAAGCTCTTTCTTGCTTCTTCCAGAAAATGTAGGAAGACCTAGATACTTATCATGTTTTTCCACTTGCTGAAACCTTAGGATTGACAGGATTTTCTGTTGTATTTCCACCTTTGTGTTTAGAGTGAAAACAATTCATGACCGAGACCTTTTCATATAGATCAATAGCATACTTAAATTGCAAAGCTTTCTCCTCCGTTGCATGTCCAAACAGTAATGTATCCTCTGCAAAAAAACAGATGAGAAAATAGAAGGAGCACCATGACTCACAGCAACTCCATGTATTCTTGCACAAGCTTGCAAGTCTCTAAGTATGCATGAAAAATCTTCTGAACAAATAATAAATAGATAAGGAGACAATGAGTCTCCTTGTCAGATTCATCTTTTAGGGGTGAGGTTTCCAGACTGAACCATTTAATAAAAAAGAAAAAGACACAGAAGAAAGACACTGGTATATTAAATCTATAAAAGAAGAATGGAATCCTAAAGCTCTCATAACCTAACATAAAAATGGCCATTTCACTCTATCAAAAGCTTTGCTCATATCAAGCTTTAAAGACATTAGATCTAAATGCCCCGATGTTCTTGATATCATGTAATGGTGTATTTCATAAGCAACCAAAATATTGTCAGGGATAAGCCTACTAGGAATGAATGTAGATTGTGAGTTACTAATGATAGAAGGAAGAATTATTCGGACTCGATTAGCTAGAACTTTTGAGGCTGATTTATAAACTACATTAAAAAACTGATTGGTCTAAATTGACTAATATAGCAGGCTTTTTTTACTTTTGGAATAAGGAAAATATATGTAAAATTAATTGAAGGATGAATACATTTATTATTTAAAATATTTAAAACATAACGAATAAAATAAGACCCTACAATATGCCAGAATTTTTGGAAAAAGATAAAAGACATACCATCTGGAGCAGGAGATTTAAAAGGGCACATTTATTTAAGAGCTTTTTTAATTTCTTCACCAAAAAAAAGCATTAAGAAACGATCATTCATTTCCGAATTCACAAGTGGTCTAATCTGACTAAGTGTTAGCCGAGTGTCAGAGTCTGAATGAGCTGTAGAAGTAAACAACTCACCAAAATAAGTTAATGATATTCTCTAATTCCTCCTTTGCATAGCATTCGCGACCCTGGTGATCTTTTAAAGAGGTTATATGATTTACCTCTTTCCTTTTTTTTAGCATGAGAGTGAATGAATTTAGTAGTGTTATCTCCTTCCTTGTACCAGTGCTGCTTACCGCGCTACTTCCATTTCAGATTATCCTGCTCCATTAGAACTTCAAGCTCATCCTTTTTCTTACGAATTTCCAGTTTAACTGCATCTGTAATGATCCCTTGCTCTAGTACAACAATTTCCTTTTTCAGCATTTTAATTCTTTTCGTAATTTCTCGGACTAGTTTTCCTCCCAAAGACATTAAACCAACAGCACAGTCTATGATCTTATATGGTAAATCATAGGTATTCTTTTCCAAGACTCACGAATAATACTTTCACATTCATCAGACTTATCCATAAAGCCTCAAACGAAATAATTTCTTACGTAGTTGAATCTGTGGAATTTTCAACTTAAGACACAAATGGAGCAATGTATGATCAGAATATAAAGTAGGTAAATGTACAACCTTTTGAGATTGAAAAATGGTCTGCCATGCCACATTACAAACACATCTATCAAGTCTGCTACGTTGAGTAAAAGGCTCAACAGAAAATCTACTCCATGTGTATTGAGGTCCATGAAACCCTAAATCAGTCAGATTACAATGTTGAAGAAAAGATTGGATAGCATCAATCTGCCAATCAAACATCTACTTCTACCTTGAGTTTCATCCTGCTTGAGAACTTCATTGAAATCTCCCATCATAATCATGGAAATTCAGGCGAAGTGTAAAGATTCTTTAAATGTTGCCATGCTAACCTTCGTTTTGCCAAATCCGGTTCTCCGTAAATTCCAGTGAATCTGAATGACACATTATTTAGCACAACATCAACATCAATAAAACGTTCACATATGCCCCTTAATTTCACATTTACAGATTTTTTCCAAAATAAAGCTAAACCTCTTGACATACCATTGCTACTAATTGCTACACCATCTAATTTTAAACAATTCCTAATAATCATAATTGACGGAATAAAATATTTTGTTTCCATTAAAAATACAATATCAGGAGACTTAATGCGAATGAACTCTAGAAGTTCGTTAATTGTACGAGGGTTCCCAAGCCCTCGACTATTCCAACTTACGATACTCATTTTTGTTGGCGGGACTGGCTATCTTCGCCAATCTCCGCCTCCTCAGCCTTAGAAACCTCATCGTCAGAACATGTGAATGTCCAAAAGGAATCAGTCTCCATTGCTGAGCAATGAGTCCGTGCTTTTTTAGACAGGGTCTCTACAGTGATCTCTTCAACTTCCTCAATTAAGAACCTCCACTTTGCACGAGTAAACGAAGCCTCATTCATTTTCAAAGTGCGCTGCTACGTCTTCCTTGCATAATTGATCTTCCTGGTAGCAATTCTATCCTTAGTATCCAATACCACTGGAACCGAAACCAAGAAAGGATCGTCAGAAACATCCGTGAAGGTTGGTGGTGAGGAAATTTCAGTGGGGTCAGATGAAAAAGAAGAAGGGAGTGGGATCAGGTTTTGAGCAGGTTGATCATGATTATTTTCATCAGAGAAAGGTAATGAATGTATTTCCTGGATGATAGGACATGAATCAGGGTTGGGAGGGGGTAAGTTATGTTTTAGAAACACAGCAGGAGAGTGGATTGGATGCGGTGAATCTGTATCAGGATAGAGGACAGTAGTACGGGCTGATATGGTAACAATTTGGAAAGATTTATCAGATACAGTTTCAGTGGGATGATGTTGGATAGAAATGGGACGTGAAATGCAGGATGAGGGATGATTTGTTGCAGAGGAATGACGTTGGTGCATAGACGAGGAGAAGGGACGACGAGGAGACTGTGGTGAAGGGATGATATGCTTCTGGTGTTCGAAATGGAGGACGATATGTGGGATGAGTGATTAGAGGCGCTTTATGGATTAGAGGGTAAGAGGAGGAAGATGATGATTTCGGATTGGTTGAGGAATTGGAGAAGGATGATTTCGGGTTGTTATAGGAAGTAGAGAAAGGGCTAAAAGGTGGAGTGACTCTCATCCATGGACCATATTTTGCTGGATCAGAACTAGAAATTGAAGATACATGCTCACAAACTTCTTCCAAATGGCCAATTCTTCCACAGAGATAACAGAAATTGGGCAGCCTTTCATACTTAATGTGGCATGTTCGAGGAACATCTTTCTAAGTAAACTCCAAATACGAACACAGTGGCTTGTCCAATTCCAATTTAACCTTGAAACTCGGAGAAAGTGACCTACAAAACTACCATCATCATCAGAAGTTGCCTCCACGAATGATCCTAACTTGTTACCACAGAATGCAGCCACTACTTCTGTCATACAACCGAATGGTAATCCATGAATTTGTACCCAGAAAGGACAAGTTTTGAAGCTTAAATCATCTACAGTTGCACCATCATCAATCCGTTCCAAAACCAACAAATCAGTGCGTCCAAACAACCAAGGAGTTCCTTATTCAACTCTCCTCAAATCTGCAAGAGAGAAAAATTGGAATCTGACAATGTCACGGGACAAAGGTTTACATTCCATATCGGACCTAGGGTTCCACAGACGAGTGTATAAATGTTCTATATCCTTAGAAACTCCACTTTAAACCCAAACTAGTAGGTAAAAAATAAAAGGTCGTTGGTTTTAAGAGATTATATTTTAAAAGCCCATTTTTTCCTTTTTTTTTCTTTAAGAATTATATTTTAATTATTTGTTCCTTTGAAAAATTTGCTCACCCTACCTTCCCGATTAGTCCCTGCAGTGTTGGAGGGCTGGGTCGTCACTGAGCATGAACGTGGGGAAAGATGGCCGGTAATGGAGGGTAAAAAAATGCTATGAATTATGATCATATACAAGAAAGAAAGCGCTTGTTTGGACGTCAGTTTTGTTTTCATTTTCAATTTGAAGGTCGAAAGTGTTTTAAATGAAAAACATAATAAAAGATGAAAAAGTTGTTTGGATGGTATTTTAATAAAAAGTTGTTTAGATGGTGGTTGCAAAAAAAATCTGAAAATATGTATTTTAATAAAAAGTTTTTTGGAATATGTATTGACATATCAAATCTGAAAAATATCACTAAATAATCAAAAAGTATCAATTTTAGTCACTGTAAAAAAAGAATTTAAAAAATGATCACTAAACAATGGAAAAGTGTCGATTTTAGTTATTATAAAATGATCACTAAAATCACGAAATAGCTTCTAAAATTAATATTTTACAGTGACCAAAATTGACACTTTTCCGTTGTTTAGTGATCATTTTTTAAATGTTTTTTACAGTGATTAAAATTGACACTTTTCGATTGTTTAGTGATATTTTTCGTACTCAATATTTCAATACATATTCCAAAAAACTTTTTTCTAACCACCATCCGATTGAGTATCGGTTTTTTGATTAGAGGCAAACTGAAATAAATGTGCAAAGTTTTGAATTTAGTCACTAAACTATTTTTAGTTCAAAAATGATTACTGCACTAACAAAATATTTCAAGTATGATTTTAAAATGCAAATCAGAAATTTGTTTAGATGTCAGTTTGGTTTACATTGGGTTTTGTAGTTTAGAGGTCAAATGAAATGAAAATGTAAAATGAGTGGACGTACAAACAAGCTCTTCAAGAATCAATTTACAGTATGTAAAAGATGATGGACATACGGGGGAAACTTCCAACAATAACTAACTCATAGAAAACACTCTTAGTAACAATAACTACTGTTTTTTGTGACATTAGTATCATTTTCTCTTTATTATTTATCACAAAAATTTTTCACTCCAAAATTCCTATTCTATCCCCAACTGTTTCTAAAACAAACATAGACGAGAACAGTGTGGTCGGGTCGAACCATGATCCGCAAATATTTGGGCTCCTGTTTTAAAAATCTCGCCCCGTTTCAGTTTAGAAAGAAGAAGAAGAAGATCCACTAACAGGGAAGTGCCGGAAACGAAGAAGGAGGACGAAAATCAGAACGACAAAGAATGAGTTCGTCCAGTGCCGTCCGAGAGCTTCAACGTGACCTGGAAAATAAAGCAAATGATCTCAACAAGCTTCAGAAAGGTATACTCCTCTTAAACCCTAATCTTTTTCCCTTTTTTTCCGCCATGTCAATTTCGTTATTTCTTCATCGATCACTAATCATTTGCTCGTTCCTCTTTCGTTGTAGATATTTCGAAGAATCACCAAGTCAGGAAGAAGTACACGATTCAGCTCGGAGAAAACGAGCTAGTCCTCAAAGTCGGTTTTCTTTTTTCTTTTTTTTTTTTAAATTTTTAAAAAACGTTTTTTATGAGTTTGCTTTTATTTTTGGCTTAATTGCATAGAAATTGATAGGACGAAGTTTGATTCTTGCTGTAGGAACTGGAATTGTTGAATGAAGATGCCAACGTGTACAAATTGATTGGACCAGTGTTGGTGAAGCAGGATTTAGCTGAGGCCAGAGCTAATGTTCGCAAGCGAATCGATTATATCTCTGCGGAATTGTAAGTTTCCTCTTCTCAAGTTGATTGGATTTGAAATGACTCTATTGAGTTCACATGAGGTTTCTTTTTTAGTTCTTTCCTTGATTTGGTATTTCACCCTTTCTGAATTTTGTATATGCTTAATCTAGTAAAGGGTGAGCTCAACTGTAGTGAGCTTACTAATTCAAGTGTTTGACATGGAGCCTTGACTGCTGATAAGCCGTTCCTTTTTCTGCAAAATGGATAATTTTTCATGTTAGTGAAAAGGGAGCAAATGTAAGTATCAAAGTCTTGCAAATGCTATGCTTCTGGAGCAAATTCGTAGCCTTGTTTTTTAGATTGAGAAATTAATGGATTTGGTCTGAAGAGGATGGCAAAAAGAGCTCTGTTTTTACTCTTTTGCTCCTTGGACATATTGTGATGGCTTGATAGGATGGTTTTAAGAATTTTATCAATAGTTTGAGGCCTCTGTGCAGTTTTAATCTGGTAAGCATATTACGTCTTAGTGGATGTGCTCTGTGTAGGTTGCCTGTGTTGAAAATCTGTAGGTGCTAATCTTTGTTGTTATCCACAAGTGCAGCAGAAGTGTCCTTAGTTCCTCCTTTTTTTTTTTTTTTTTTACCAGGAAGCGTTTGGATGGTACTCTTCAAGATTTAGAAGACAAGCAAAAGAGCAAGCAAGAAACGGTGCGTAGCCTTTCTTTCCATCCTATCTTGTTAGCACCGTCGGTTCATAACTTCTGCGTGACATTGACTTTTAATTAGGAGTGTGTTTTGTTCTATAGCATGGAGTGACCTTTGCCTAATTCTTGATATGGTGTATTCTGCTTTATTTGGAGTGACCTTTCTCTGATTTTTTGTCAGTGTCATCTTTAGAATCTGCTGTTATATTTGGGTGATTTTCTTATCCCCCCTGCCCCTTTCATTTTCATCTATATTTTGTAATGGTACTCAAATCTCTGACCGCCTCATTTTCTAAAGTATTTTGTTTAGCTGACTTACAACTTATTTCTATTCTTTTATACATGACATTGAGTCACCTCAAGGTTATTATGGTGATCTTTTCTTGTTAATACCTTTTTCTTTTATTTTAAACCTGGATGCTAGCTTGAAATTTGAGGTTTCTTAATCTGCTACTAACTTGTGTCTTTTTGCTTGTCTTTCTTTGATTTCTTTATTTTTGATATGAAATTCTGGCTCCGTATCAAGTGCTTTTGTCTGTCATGCTTCGCGATCATCTTGAGCACATTTACGAGTGGTTTATATATATATTTTTATGTTATTGCATGTCGGTTTTTGAATCAGTGAAGTGTTAATCCTGACACCTTAGCTCTGTAATCTGATAAATTTTACTAGCTTTTTCTGGGGGGTCTGTGTTCCTTATTCATATGCCTTAGTTGCCTTACTTTTAGAGTTCTATGTGCTTTTTAGATCATCTTGGAAGTTATTGTGTACTGTGCTAAATTTCTCAATATCTTATTGGTGCAGGTTATGAAATTACAGCAGAGAATTCAGTCGATGCAGGCTGGGAAAGGCAAGTCTCTGTAGGATTTTGGGTTGTCTTGTTCAGCTGCCTGGAATATTACCCTTCCCAGATTGTTTTTGCAGTGTCATTGTGTAGTGGTAGGGTACAAATTTTCGTTACAGTGTAATATCTTTTCAGGACAGCGTACTTCAATTCTCACTTCAGCGTTCAAAATTTTAGCAGCCAACATATATGTACTTCTATTCCGAATGATTTGTTGCCAAATCCGTCCTATTGAATTGTCATGACAATGGCCAGATGACAGGCTATCAAATGGAATTTTTTCAAATACTTGAGGACCCAAAATTTCGCTGCTAAAACAAATATAATAAAAATATAATAGGAGAAGAAAGGTGAAACTTGAAAAATGAAAATGTTTGGGAAAGATAGCAGATCATTTTGTTAATCACATTGTTGTTAAGACATTTGCATGTTGCTCATACATCATGTACTCCTACATTGTAAAAGAAAAAAGTAGAAATGGGTAATGAAATGTTGTACCCCACGGTTTAGTCTTTTCTTGGAAATATATTATGGTTCTTAAGAGTCTCACTAACTAGCACAAGCATTTTACTTTTCCACTTTGCAATGGTTCTATTAGTTCCCTTCACTTAAAGCTAATTGCAAAGCATGTTCTGCCTCCTTAAGAAATAGCCTGGTCAGCTGCTTCTGCCCTAATCGATACACTATGCTAGCCCATATATTTCGGCCGAGGGGTTGGGTACCGTTGGAGTCCGATCTGCAAGATGCCAAGAGAAGACATTACTCCAGAATGAAAACATGGAAATGTACATCTAGGAACTAAATTGCAGATGAGTGCTGAAGCATGTGTTGGTTTTGTGTACTAGTTGACGTGCCGAGACATCAAAGCGAGTGTTAAAGAGACACTTGTTCTGCATTGACACTAGGATCTTGCATGAACATAGAAAATGTAAATCTTCCTTTGACATGTTCAATCCATTGCAAACAATAATGACCTGATGAACTATATTCGTAATGAAATTAGAAAATTGGGGTAAAAGCTATTATGAGCATGTGTGAATGTCAAATAATAGTAACCTAAAATTTCTGTTTATATACTTGTGATGAAACGGGCTAAACAGATGAAATCAGGTCCAGAGTGTGACAACACCGGGATTTTAACGTGCTTTACGTTGATCAATAGTTAGTTAATTTATAATTAGGATGTTAATTTTAATTTTATTATATATATTTGAGTAGAATTATAAACGTTACTCATGTGTGTTGACCGAAAACCAAGTCTAGTCATTTCTATTTCTAAATTAACACATAGGAAAATTTGGCACATTTTCATTTTAAATACTCATCTTCCTTTACCAACATCCAGAACTCCTTTGTTTAATATTTTTGTCAATTAACCTACCCATTTTGAGGATTGAGTTCAGGTTTCCCTTATCATTTCCCCCAAGCCAATATTTTTATCTTTTATCATCCTCATCTCTTCACTTTCTACGCCACCGCCCAACTCTCTCTTTCTCACCTCTCCGTACATCACCAGCCTCACTTATCTCTTCAATTTCTACTAATCAGTAAATTAATTAATTAGAAGGGAAAGGAAGCTAAATCCCATCTAAGGGGCTAGAGGAAGGCAGCGGGAATAGGAAAGGAAAGAAGGAAGAGAGGAAGGCTTAAGGTAATTGGGTTATAGGTAATGCTTCTTGTAGCTACTGTCTTGTGAGTATTGCTGGCTTATATTTCAGTTTTGATTATTGAATTAGTGTTAGAAATAGTGAATTGAATTGAGGAGTTACCATTGGCTCGATTCCGGTTCGGCGCGTAGCTCACTAGCTTGATTTTGTTGCCGGCTCGATGTCTACTGCTTAAGTTCTGATTTTGTCGTTTCCTACAGATTTTAGTGAAGTATATTTGCTTGAAATTGAGGCTTATGGCCTGAAAACAAAGGGGAAAGAAAGAGGAACGTTAGTTGTTCTTATTTGTATTGTTTTTATCATTAAAATGATTGATTTGCATGTCAAGGTGTTAAGGTTGTTGGTTGCTGCTCTTGTCGTTCATTCTCCAGTTCATTTTCTTTTGTTCAAGTGCAGTAGCTGAAGGGTGATAGTGGTGAAAACGTTGGGTTCTTTTGTTATGGTTGTTGCCGGATTTTAACTAAATAAGAAAAATGGAATGGATGCTATAATTATGATGCTTCTGTTTTTGCTATTTCTTGCTGATCTTATTGATAAAAAGGAAGGGAATGAAAGAGAGCTACCGATGGGTCAATTTTGGTTTTTCGGGTAGCTCGTTAGTTTAAATTTGCTGCGTATTTGACGTCTGTTGTCGTGGATTCTAATCTTGTCATCTCCTACTGAATTTAATGAAGTAAATTTGTTCGGAAACCAAGGTTTATGGTCTGAAAACAGAGGAGAAGAAAGGTGGTTGCCGGCGGTGCTTTATGCATTCGTTTTCATTAAAATGATATTGAATTGTAAGCCTAAGGTTCTGTTCTTGTAAGATGCTGTTGCTGCCATTAAATTTATATTCTAGCTTCCTTGAATTAGGTTCTGTAGGAGAGGGGCTACAGCAATAAAGATATTTCAGATTTTATTGAATAAGGAATATGGCACAAATGTAATAATTGTGGCTTTTCTGTCTAGTTGATCATTTTTCTGTTTTGTTGTTGTTTGCTGAATTTGGGTTGTGGGAACGGGAAAAGAAAATGGCCTGATCATATTTTAGAGAATGAAAGGATAGGGAGCATAGGAACTGGGAGTTTGGTTCTCTAATTTTTAAAAGAAAAGAAAGACGGGTTCGGGTGTGTATGTTGGGCTGGTAGCTAGATGCTATGTGTCTGGGGGTTTGAAGCTCTTAAGGAAATGAAACTAAGATTTAATTTACCTCTGCTTTTCAACCTTTGTTTGATTTAGAAAAAGAAAACAGTAGCTAAACTTTATAATTCTTATTTTATTGCTGTTTAACCTGCAGATCCAGTGTACGAGGAAGACGAGCTTCCTTATAATACTTGTGAGTCATCTTCACTATTTTAAAAGTATTTTCAAAACTGGGAGCGGAGCTATTTTTAAATGACACTCCACCTCACATAAGCACGTTTTAACTTTTATTAAAATGTACAAAGGCATGCCACTATATGGTCCAAGAGTGTACTTCATCGCTCTGGATTCTTTGCTTATATTTGTGAATGTTTGACAGTGATTAATAACTTGATTGTGAATGCGCATGTTTCTGGAGGTCTTTTGCTTGTGGGTGACTTGATTGTGTGACCAAGTGATTGTGGTGGTTCGTACGGTCGTTAAATACTTGCCTTAAAACAATGATTGATTGTGCATGATACTATGGGATTTGATTACTGCAAGCTGTGTATTATATATGTGTTTGGTGTGCCATGAATTTGTCATCATTTTTGTCAAGATAATATGTGTTTATGTTAAGCCGGATTTGTCAAGATGTCCTGTGGCTGTCAAGAATATCCGTGCCATTGAGCCGGATTTGTCAAGAAGCCAAATGGCTGTCAAGAATATCCGTGCAAGTTTAAACCGGATTTGTCAAGATGCCTAAAAGGCTGCCAAGAATATCCGTTTAATTTTAAGCCGGATTTGTCAAGATGCCTAAAAGGCTGCCAAGAATATCCAAGCAAATGTTGCTGGGTTTGTCAAGAATGCCTGAGGGACTGTCAAGTGTTAATGCCCAAAGGCCTGTCAAGAATACCCATGCATATGTTAATGCCAAAATGCCCAAGGGCTGTCAAGAAATAATGCCCAAGGGACTGTCAGAAATATATGTGCTTACTATATTATATAATGCCAACGAATAACTGTGTTTCCTTTAAGTTTTGTGTGGAATATTGCTGTGAATGTTTGATTCAAAGGTGAACTTCTTTGTGTCTATCTGGATTGTAAGTCGACCAACAAGGCCACATAGGCCCTTGGCGACTCTGGATCTTGAATGTTTTATCGACTGTGTTGAGTGGGTATCGCGTGAATTTGCCGATGGCCTTGGTTATGGTCATCTGCTATGTATATGTATGTGAATGATGGTTCTTATATAAATGCAGTCTATTTTCGTAGGTCAGTTAGTACATTTGTTTTATCAACTAGAATGTCATAGCCATGTAGATAGTGTTATTAATTTAAAATAAAGAATAGCAGTGAATTACATGATTAACTGTTTTACTGATTTGAGTTTCGTTTTTGTGAAGTGATTTGTTTAAACGTATTTAGTAATATTTTTGGGGACCTCACTGAGCATGGAGCTCACTCTATATATCTATATATTATTGTTCCCTCCCAGGATCATTTTAGTACTGCTGTTTTGAGCTGGGAATGCCTTCCAAGGGAAACATGTGTGTGTGGAAAAGTACTGCATATAGTGGATTGTATATAGTTTTGTAACAGTAACTTATGTATATAGTCCTCTATGGTTTGGTTTAGTAGTAACTTTGGCTAGAGGCTGTTTGATGTTGTAAGAATGGTAGTTTTAGTTTGTAATGCATTGAAAACTAATGTTTGGTTTATGTTTGCATTAGAGGTAACCCTCCTCTGTTTAATGAAGTGGTCTGAGTTTTACTAAGCAAATTTGAAAATTGGTAAATGGAATTTTGAGATAATGATTTAATGATAGTTAAGCCTGGCGCGAGCTAGGTGGACTTCCCAATTAGTGCCTTCGTCTTGGATTAAACCGGGGAGGTGCTAGTTGGGGCGTCACACAGAGTTATTCACACACAAACCGGAGGGAAAGCATATGGCTTAACCATATTCAAACCTAGGCTCATGTTCTTAACGAAAAGAACTAAAGAAGTCACTGAGCTCACAAAGCTATTTTTCTGGTTCTCTTAAGATTTTTGGGTTTCAAATGTTTTACTTAAATAGAGCAACAGAACCTGTTGATTATAAGAGAACCACTAATTAACATTTCAGCAACAGGTAGCACAGTAAACATTACCTTTTGCAGTCTTCCGGAACTTCGGACCCCTGGGCCTTCTTCAGTAACTCAACATCACTTTCTTCCGTCCCCGAACTCTCTTCAAGATCCATCAACCTTTACCACACATGCACAACTGTCAGGTTTCACACCAAACGAATTGATGTTTCGTTTACAAAAAGGACCACTTAACCTTTACACTTCATGCAGCACTAATGTGAAACCATACGATAATCACCTTTTCAGTTTCCCGTTGAATTTGCCAGGAAAGTGAAAACTTTGATACAAAAATGATCTGTAAGCAAAATCAAGAACTTACTTTATGTTTAGAAGGTCAACAAGCAGTTGTAGTCCTCCAGAATCCCCACAAACTTCCCATACTGCCGCTCGGACTTCAGCCTCAGATGGTTGCCTCTTTCCTTCTGGGCCCACAAGCTATACCAGGACATAAAAAAGAAATTTTAATCACAATTCAGCTATGTTTAGAAGCAAAAAAAATTACAGTGCCTGGTCCTCCAATTTACAAAGCTAAATATACGTGAAAAGACAATGTTATATACACAAATCTTGTTGAGATAGAAAACAATGGGAAGGGAACAAAAAGGAAATTAAAAAAGAGAAAGTTTGCAGAAAACAAGAGCTGATGCAGATTTTTGCTTCAAGCTTTTAAGTTTAATTACGTTATTTAGTGTGCAGTTTGTGTTCAAATTTAGATGCGGGAATCTTCTCAGTTAACCAACTTTTGTAGAAAAAAGTTTCCGCTTTACCTTTCCCCAATCATTTGAGGAATTGGACGATGCACAAAAACACATTAAAATACTTCTTTGTAGATAACATTTCTTAGCACTTTGACTACGAGCACTTAAGTATGCAGATTCAAGAAGACAGATAGGCAAGATTAGTTTTTACAGGATGACATATGAATGACAGCTGAATTAACAGAGGGTTGCATCCAATATTCTATACACCAGTCAATGAGAATGAAATCCAAGGAAAAAAGAAACCATTGTCAAGTAGGAAGGATAAAAAGCACACCTCTTCAAGCAGTGATACAACCTGATAGAGCTCATTTTCCTTCATGGCTATTGTCCTCAACGCAGTCAAGAAGTCATCTGGAAAAACAAGCGTATTCAAGTAGGAGGGTGACTTCCGATGACCACTCCAACTATAGCTGGAAGCCGGCGCAGCCTTGCATTTATCATCCTTTTCTCCTTGTGTGATAGATGGAGGAAAAAACCCATGATCTAACAAACTCCTAGGTAAAAGACATCTCAACTCAGCTTTCTGTTGAATGACAAACGCAATAAGATATATTTGTACTGATAACAATGAGAAAGTACTACATAAGTGAGCATGGTTTTTCAATTTCTTTCAACATGTTATGATCAGTAGCATACCTGTGCTTCAAGTAGCTGCTCCTTTTGTTCAGAGAAAGCAACATTCTGTATGGCATCCACCGGATAATTAACCTGCAAGTTTCAGATAATATGAATGCTCAGTTTGTATTTTGTACCTCAGGCGAAATACTGCTTGCTTTTGTCAAGAACAATTAGAAATTGAGCATTTCCAGAAAATTGAACTTCACAATAAACTATTCACAGAAGGAGAACTTTCACCAATGGGTTACCATGAGATAGTCGTCGGGGTTGTTCTTCATGACAAATCCATACAGGTAAAGTAGCTCCTGCAACAAAGTTAACTGTTCCTTTAAAGGTCTGAGCTAGCTCCTATTGCATTGAACAAGAAGACATAAGAACTGTATGTAATACACATCATCCTAGGTCGAGACTGGGAGTTTGGGGTTATGCCATGGTGAATCAGGACAACCAAATTATGAATGAAATCAGAAAGTCAAATGAAGGTTATTCTTGACAACTACTTTTTTTAATCAAAATTGCTTATTTCCCTTATTTCCACATATGTGTGAATACAAACCTCATTTCCCTTATTTCCATAGCTAATCGAGATCTCTGTCTCCTTCTCAAAAGGATTTTGTCCAGCTATACAAGCAGAAAAGTGGGATCCTGATTAGATATTCGGAAGCATAAAACCAAATTACGATACGTGAACTCAAACAAGAAATATGGAAATGAAGATACCAGAAAAAAGATACATAGAGCAAGAAACTCCAGTCATTGATCCCATTCCGTCAACTTCCCATGTTGCCAGGGCCTTACAATCTGAAACAGAGCAGAACTTATCGAGGGAGAAAGAAAACATGCAAATAAAGCCGTCACAGTTCACATTTATTTATATGAAGACATTGGCATTGGATATTAGACAACAACAAAGACATTGGTATTGGTAGGTCAGTTACATAGCAAACATTACACAATGCACTCACCATGGTTACAGAAATCGATGCCAGGAACAATACCTTCAACCCAAACTGTCTCTCCTTGTTGTCCAGCAACTTGAGTGCCATCCTCAAAAGTTTGAGGTTCTAAGGTAAGAAGCTAAATTTAGCGGAGTCACACATGAATGTAAAGTAGGAAAGAGAAAGAAAAGTGCAATACATCAACCCCAGTACAAACATTTGAGAGGAAGCAAGAAGAAAGAAAAAAAAAAAAAAAGAAGATAAGCACAACTTCCAATGAATAGCTTCTCACTTGAAACATGACTGTCAGATCGCCCATTTTCTCCACTATTGGAGCTGATAGTGGCGTCTTGGTTTTCTTGAGTGTCTGGAAACGCATACAAGTGTGGAAGAGGAATATTTTGTGCTCGAGACCAGAAGACAGAATTTGCCCTAAAAGTTTAGCCATTTTTCAAAGTCAGGATTACTTTAAATTGACCATTATAATGATGCACACAACAAATGATAAAATGCCACTAATTAAGAACAAAGCATTCCTCGTGGAGAATGAAGTCATACCAGAGGAAGTCGCTGAATGTCACATCACTGCAAAAAGAAAAACGAAGTATGTTACATATTTTAAGAGAATAGAAATAGAATACTCAACCATTCTACTTTGCAAAATCAATCAACTCAAGTCAATGGAATCTGTGGAAACCATAAGAAAAATAATAATAACCAGGTAAGCCATTTAGGAGAAGTTGTAATGTGAAAAAACAGGAGTAGCCTGTAAACAGCTTTTGAAGTTTTATACTATACATACCTAATAAACCCGTATCATCACAAAAGGAAACTAAGAAACTTAGGCTTTGAAAAAGTTCCAAGCATCTATGACTAAAAACTGGCGGCTACTCCACAAGTAAATGAGTAAAAGCAAGGAAGCGTGACCAGCTGACTAGGGTATGTGCCGAAACAACACCAAAATCTTAAAAGTATAACCCAAAAACCCAAGAAAGGATGTCATAAAATGTGCATGACATCTATTATGCGCTATACGGCTAGGGCTGCTAACAATATGAAGCAGAAAGTGATTTTACAGCAAAATAAATAATACTTGGTAATTATCTGATATTTTCCTACAATTTTTTTTTTATCTCAAGCAACCTAGTAAATTCATTAGTGATTTAATTACATCATTGTTATACCCATCGGATTAACTTGGAGTAAGATACACCATCCATGTGAAGCATTCAGTACAAACCTTCAAAATTAAATCATAAAATTCCATAAAGAATAACACTGAACAAAAGTTTCAATCTGGCAACTTCCACGTATAGAACATACTATATCATAAAAGAGTATAAAAGGAAGGAATTACCATGAAACATCTCATAAGACAATTCAAAAAATTTAACAGAATAGATATCGCTTCATAATTCATATATACCTTTCGAGCTGGCCGTCATCAATCAATAGTTTATCTGCTAATTTCTTCACTTTCTCATTGAATAAGGCCAGCAGATTTTTCTTCTGCAAGACAAATCGGACTCTTGTCAGGTACATCATGAAATTATAAAAGTTAAAGCAGTCAGTAAGATACATGAGACATCACTGCTTTAAGTATCTGTGTCCAAATCAAGAAGCATAACTGAAATCAATATGAAACATCAGTTTTTCAGTTGGAGATCATGTAGAAAAGCCAACAATTCTGATAAGCAATTTTTGTTCAGAGACATAGATAAATACTAAACAAAAATAGTATCCCTTATCTGGATCTGTACCTGCAACTCTGTTGCTCTATATAATGGCGTTCCCCTTAGCTCTAAAAGCTCATTGTCAGAAAACCAAAGGGAATTGGTAAATGTGTTTGGAAGCATATCCAGATATCTAAATGAGTTCCACATCAAATATTTCAGCATAAATTTCTTGAGAATCCAGAAGATAATAAAATCAAGACTGCACTTACGGCTTCCAGAGAGAGTTTTTACGTAGACGCTCCACAGTTAGAAACAAGATAATCAACAATCTATCATCCAATAGTCCTTCATCACGCAATGCGCTACATGCAGGTCCACACAATGGATCTTGGAGAACCCTCATTGCAGTAATTGCTAAATGCAGTGGAACTACCAACAGAATGCCTAAAAACATAAACAGTAAGAATGAAACAAGTTACTGTTTTTTATTGTTTTGGAGATAACGGTACAGGGAAAAAAAAGCCAATCTAATTCCATGTTTATGTGCTTCATAAGGAATAAGATAGAATCTGATCCATGCCAAGTTGTCACATTAATCATGGTTGATGCAGGGGAAGTGAAAAGCTGAAAGTTATCACCTTCTCAAAACTGTGTTTTTACAATTTGTTTTTCTCGCATCAGTTCAACCTTTGATTTCCTCACACAGGGGATGACTTTTTATTTTGGTTCTAATCAAAGCTTCGATTCTAAACGCTAGTTACACGATAACCCTTTCTGTGCTTCAAGAACCAAGCAACTTGGCAGCTGATTTATTTATTCTTTTTCATTTTGTGTTGGCAGATAGTTTCATCAGCTAGCATAAATTTCTCATACTAACTTGAGCATTTTGTTGAATCTTCATTGATAATATAAAAAACCAAACAAACAAAATTAACTGTAAACGTTCCACTAAAGAACATCTTCTAAATTTTAAAAGGTAGTGGAACGAAGATAGAAGATCATATTACCGTCAGGAACACTGCTTGCAGAAAAAATTCCGAACCCTTTACAAGAATCAGAGTATTTGATCTTGCAACCACGTAATTGAACTCCATTCACCTGCAAACCGCTTTAGTTTTTGAGTTCATCATAATCAAACAATAAGCAACATATGGTTCCCTCCTTCCAAAACTTATAGATAAACAGCATTGGAAGTATAGCAAAATTCAAAGTGTAAATTGGAGACCTCAAGCCATTGGAGAAAACACTGGAGCTTTGCTTCTTCTGGGCTCTCCATTTCTCTGCTGTTGTACTAAATCCTAAGTATGCAAGAGGTCATCAATTGGAAGGGTTTAAGGAAGACGACGCAAGATTCCTCAAATGGTTAAAAAGCGCTAAATAAGATTCTTTCAATTGCATAAAAGGCCCCTGATAAATGTAATCCTGCCAAAATTCATCCCACTTATTTCCTTGCAGCTTTGAGACCTTTCTAAAATCTCTACTACTCTTTTATACACCATGAGCCGTCAACAATCCAAAAAAAAATCAAATTTTGATCGCTAGTATTGCATAGATTAACGGCTCCATCGAATGTGATAGAGCAACCTCAACACTTGGTAACTGGCATTGGAGTTCAGGTCAATTACACGAGTTTTTGCCTAGCACCATTGCACAATGTTACTTTGGACGTATGCATTTTCATTTTTTACCAAATTTTTCTGAAAAAGTGGGGCCACTAAGGAAAAATCTGTTCAAATTCTCTCTAATGGTGGGACATTGAACTAAAAATTCATTGCACACAAAATTTGATAAGGCTGCATGTCAGACTGGGACCACATTATTTACTAAAATGGGTAACATACTAACAGGGTTAAGATTAATATTATCTGCAGTTTGTCTTTATATTTTCTACTGAACTTGCACGTCTTTCATTGTATTCATTATTCAAACCAAAAAAAATAATAATAATAATTATCATTTTAAAATATAATATCTCCATCCCATACAAATACATATATTCTTCATAATTGACACTGAGAGTTTGATACAAGTCGGTAAACATAAAATAAGGACTTATTTGAAAATGAAACATAAAAAATAAGTTAAAATGACAAATTCATATAAATGGTGGGCTGGACTATTTTTTTTTTGTTCAAAACCAAAGAACTTGATCTGATCGTACGCCCTTTTTCCCAAGAAAAAAACTCAAGAGTAGCGAAGGCAGACACGTTCCACCATTCCATATCTTCCATTCACCATTATTCCCGAGCCTTCTGTTGAAAATCTCAGGCTAGGAAAGAAGAAAAATTCACAGAAAAGACAATGAGGAGGGCTAATTTAAGTGGGTTGGCCGCCATCTACAGGGCCGCAGCTGTATCTCCGGCGTCGACCAACTTCGCTGCCCGCCAATTCGCCCTGTACAGTACCGCCAACAGTTCAAATTCATACTCCAAATTTCGCTGGTTTTTCGGTAACGATTCTGGGATTTATCAGAAAGCTGCCTGTGCCGTGTCTGGGGCGGTGCTTTTCTCTGTGGCGGCTTCGTCGTTAGCAGGGGAGGTACAAGCTAAAGAACCATTGCCGCCGAATGTTAGCCCCAATGACGTCGTTCTTTATCAGTATGAAGCTTGCCCCTTTTGTAATAAGGTTAAAGGTAAATTTTCATATGACTTCCTTATTGGAGAAAAAAAAATTTAATTTGTTGGAGATTTTTGTAGGGTTTTAGCTTGGTGGGGTTTTCTGGTGTATCTTAAATGTAGTAACTTCGTTGCAGCTCTTTCTCTCGTCTTTTTACTGGTTGACCTCTGCTGTGGTTGGATATTGATGGAACCTAGGTTTACAAATTATTCTTCACTGTGAAATTCAGCAAAAATTGCTGGTTTTTTCCTGTTTAGAAACCCGATTAGTAAACTTGTTCAGCATCGAGGTTTAAGATGTATACTGTTTCTTTGTATGAGTATTAGTTGGACATAAGATTCATAGAACAGGCTACTAAACTGTCTACTGTGTCTACTGGTCTTTGTAGTTTTTCTACTGTTCTTTGGACCTCTGTGTATGTTTTTCTCTGTAAAGCAAGAATAGAAGATCGTCTGAACTCATTAAAGATATTAATCGAGCCAGCCGCTGACATTTATGGTTATTTTTCACGTAAAGCCTTATAAATGCATCAAAGCTTCAACTTTTGAAGTCTAAATAAATCTGGTAGATGGATCAAGCTGACTATTTGCTTGTTCCTCAAAGGTTGTAGATTAGCAATCTCTTTTGAGTCCTGGTTCTCATTTGTTGTAGCTGCCTAAAGTTTAATACTGGTTATAACTTTTTTGTAGCTTTCCTCGACTACTATGATATACCATACAAAATCGTGGAAGTAAATCCTCTCAGCAAGAAGGAAATCAAATGGTCAGATTACAAGAAAGTTCCCATACTAATGGTTGATGGTGAACAGATGGTTGATTCCTCAGGTCACTAAAGCTGTAAGATTTTTAACTATATATTCCATCCTCAAGAGACTGGAAGTTCTAAATTAAAGTATTTTTATGCAGCCATTATTGACAAGTTGTCTGAAAAGACTCGTCCTTCAGTTTCTGTCAAATCAAGTCCAGAAGCTGATGAAGAAGAGAAGAAATGGCGTGGGTAATTAAACTTCCTGTGTCTACTTAGAAATCTGTAAAGTTAGCATGTTCCTAAACTTTCAAACTGTATATCACTACAGAATTTTTGGAAAATGTCATTGCAGATTGTTTCTAATTCTTAAATGGAATTGTGTTTACTTTTGATTGATGACACTATGTAACTTATTATGTGTTTGGTTTCTGTAGGTGGGTAGACAATCACTTGGTGCATATCCTATCACCCAATATATACCGAAACACTTCGGAGGCCCTTGAGTCTTTCGACTACATTACTAGTCATGGTAAGATCTGATTTGAGCTAGCTGATGATACGATTCTATTTAAGAACTAATGGTACTGAAATTTTATGGTTGGCTGAGATTGCCGAATCTTCTTTTGTTTTCTGCATGGAGAGTTCTAGTGTTTCTTATTAATGGAGTATATTTATCTAAAGTATGTGAAGTAAAAATGTCTTTCTTTCCAATAAATGGGACAGGTCAGTAAGTTCTGATTCTGAAGAAGAACATGTACATCTTTTCCTATACTCTTCTGTTCATCTCTCTGGATTCGCTCTCATAAGTGACAAGCATCTTGAAAATGCTTGCACTGTATGTCATTTTCCCTTACAAGATTGCAGTAAAGTCTTGTGCCCTTTTGTTGAGCAATTCTTTTTGTGGGGCCTCATATCATCATTCATCAAATAGATTAATTAGAATTCTCTTCCATACGTTACAAGTTTCTTCTACTACTTTTCTGTGTTTTTTTTCTTGGTTTTTTTCCTGTAAGCTTTCTCAAGGTTTATTGTCTTAGATGAAATTGCTTTGGAGTGCTCGTGGTATCCATTCTGGAATATTTAGAGTTAGGTTGACTTCTCATCACATTACTTGGCAATTGAACTGAGTGAGCGTATCAGAGAAAAAAGCCATGATATGGCAAACTTATAATGTTGCCATCAGTTGCTAGTAGCATTTACTTTGCTGGCGCTGACAATACGTTTTGTTTATGATTTGTATACTGATTATGTTTATGCGAACTTTGTCTTAGATTGGTTTTGAGTTGTTTGGTGATTGCCTTTTGCTGTCTTCTAGCATGCTATCATGCTTGTTAACCAACAGAAACTGAAAACACACACACATGAAACCCTCTATCATGCTCTCCTGAATTGTGCTTACAAACCTACTGAACCTTTTGCTGTTCTTTTGTTTGTGTAGGCAACTTCAGCTATACTGAGAAAATAACAGCCAAGTATGCTGGAGCTGTGGCGATGTATTTTGTATCCAAGAGACTCAAGAAGAAATACAATATTACCGATGAGCGTGCAGCTCTTTATGAAGCCGCAGAGACATGGGTCGACGCACTTGATGGCCGCGATTTCTTAGGTTGATTTTCTTGCCGTGTCACTTATATTGAAGCTGTTAATATCTGAAAGAGAGATTCTGATCACTTACACTTTTAACAGGCGGTACAAAACCCAACTTAGCTGACCTTGCTGTGTTTGGTGTCTTGAGGCCAATTCGCTACCTGCAATCTGGTAAGGACATGGTAGAGCATACACACATTGGCGGTTGGTACTCAAGGATGGAAAATGCAGTTGGAGTTTCTTCTAGAATTCAGGCATAACGCCGTACAAGCCCTCAACTGCAAGCAGATTCTTGCAGCAATCAATACTAGACGTTCCTAACTATACCGGAATAATTATTGTTGGTCTCACTGGAATGAGGTTACAATTTTGATCATTTTGAGAGTAAGAGTGTTACACAGTAAATGTTTGTGGACTTGAGATTTTACTAGGTAAAATTCACAATTAGCTTTGCTGGAGACATCCTGGTGCAGGAAGAGCCAACGCTTTTCTTTAAGTATCTGTAATTCTATTAGTTATCTTTAGGGATTCTTTTAGATTTTACACATTATTTTGTTATACTTTCCCCGGCATGAAGAGACCAATTTCGCCATGTGTTACGAATTTCTTACGCAAAACCCGAAACAAGAGATCTTTCATGCTTGAGCTTATGTGCTTGAAATGAAACACTTTTAACAAAAGGGAAATAGATGAAAATGTTCACACGCCTTATTTTTAGACAATAAAAGCTCAATATAGATGTTATTCATCAAACCCAAGAATGATGTTTAGCTTATCACAATCTTCCTTTTTCTTCTTCTTATTATTATTTGATGGGGAAGCTGGAGGACTAATGTATATTAGCGATGAGATAATATTTATGACATCGTATGAGATGTTTAGAGAATTGAACTTGTGATTTCCAACTCAAATTGAAAACAGGAGGCAATGCCTTGATCATTAGACTACAAGCTTACAATCGACCGTGAGTAAGAAACACCGCTCGTGTACTAACTACGGTTTAACCTAAACGTGGATCATCTAACGATTGTAATTGTAACTCTAATCGAGAATGAAAAATAATTGTAACTCTAATCGAGAATGAAAAATGAAAAATGCAGTTGGAGACCATCAATGACCTTAATCTGAAACTCCAAAATTTTCCTCTCGTAGGAGCAGATTGATGAAAGAATCAAACAGGCTTAATTGATTTGATTAGCCTGGTGTACTTTGAATATATAGAGTTGAAGTTTTACATGATAAGTACAATGAGGATAGAACTCTTAAAGAGATAAATGCACAATAATTTCAAAAAACACTTATCTCTAAAAACTAACTTTACAATTTCAAATATTGTATCTAACATTCCCCCTCAATCAGAACGTGGAGAATCCTGCACGTGAAGATTGTTCCGCAAAGTTTTGAATCGATGAGAAGTCAAGCCTTTTGTAAGCACATCAGCAATCTGTTGTTGAGTAGGAATGAACCGAACATGAAGAAAACCGGAAGCCACCCTTTCTCGGACAAAATGTAGGTCAATTTCTAGATGTTTAGTCCGAGAATGATACAAAGGATTGACAGTAAGATATATAGCACTGATGTTATCACAGAGAAGTAAAGGCTTGACTTCTCATCGATTCAAAACTTTGCGGAACAATCTTCACGTGCAAGATTCTCCACGTTCTGATTGAGAGGGAATGTTAGATACAATATTTGAAATTGTAAAGTTAGTTTTTAGAGATAAGTGTTTTTTGAAATTCTTGTGCACAGGTTTGCAATGGAGTAAAGAAGCACGAGATAAGAGATCACGAGCGTATTTTGATTGAGTAAGAGAAAGACCCGATGATGTGTGAATAACTTGAATGCCAAGAAAGTAATTTAATTGACCAAGATCATTCATGGAGAATGTATTGCGGAGATGAGAAATAAATGTGTCTAGAAGAGAGGAATCGGACCCTATGAGAATAATATCATCTACATATAAAAGAAGAATAAGATAGGAATGAGAATGATGATAGATGAACATGGATGTATCTGCCCGACTATTATGAAAGCCATAATTCAACAAGAATGAACTAAACCGAGAAAACCAAGCTCGCGGAGCTTGTTTGAGACCATAAATGGCTTTGTTGAGTTTACATACATGCTGTGGAAAATTAGGATGAACAAAACCTTGTGGTTGAGACATATATACCTCCTCATTCAGAATACCATGTAGAAAAGCATTTTTAACGTCAAGCTGACGTAGGGACCAACCCCGAGAAATAGCAATAGAGAGGACCAAGCGAATGGTGGGTGGCCTAACGACAGGATTGAAAGTTTCATCAAAGTCAATACCACGTTGTTGGTTATAACCCTTTGCGACAAGTCTCGCTTTGCATCGCTCAAGAGAGCCATTAGAGTTTTGTTTGACACGATACACCCACTTACTGCCAATGACATGCATGTGAGGGCGATATGGAACAACAGTCCAAGTTTGATTAGAAATGAGAGCATTGAATTCATCGGCCATGGCAACACGCCAATGAGATTCTTTAGATGCGGCTGAATATGAGGTGGGTTCAGATGGTAAAGGTTGAGAAGGAAGAGCAGCTAGTGCATATTTAGGATTAGGTTTGTGAATTCCAGCCTTAAGGCGAGTGAGCATAGGATAAGAGGATGAAAGTTCAGAATTGGTAGATGGAGTGACAGTAGGAGTAGGTGTATGTGTGGATGAACAAAGACTTATTTGTAAGGAAGGAACAGGAAAAAGTGGACGACGACGCAAAGAAGACTGAGTTGAAGGATCAGGAGCTGAAAGGGATGATGTGAAGGGAAAGACATTTTCAACAAAACGAACATTGCGACTGATATATACTCGCTGAGTCGAAAGGTGAAGACAACGGTAACCCTTTTGTTGAGAACTATAACCAAGAAAGGCACAAGGAGCTGACGGGAAATTTAATTTATGAGTTCTATAGGCTTGAAGATTAGGATAACATAAGCAACCGAAAGGTCGAAAAATAGTATAATCAGGAGGTCGATTAAACAAGACTTCAAAAGGTGATTGATGGTGAAGAACAGGAGTGGGGAGCCTATTGATTAAAAATGCAGCAGTGGAAAAAGCTTCTACCCAAAGAGAATGAGATGCATTAGCATGATAAAGCATAGTACGGGCAACATCTGAAAGATGACGATGCTTTCGTTCAGAAAGACCATTTTGCTGCGGCGTATGAGGGCAAGTAAATTGATGATGAATACCATTTTCATTAAGAAATTGAATGAAGCGAGAATTGAGATATTCGCCACCACCGTCAGTGCGAAAAAATTTGAGACAAGAGGAGAATTGTGTTTCGACATGTGCTTTGAAGGTTTTAAAACATTCAAAAACTTCATGTTTAAAACGTAAAGGATAAAACCAAGTAAAGCGGGAGTAATCGTCTACAAAGATGACATAGTAACGATAGCCACTGACAGAGGAAATGGGAGATGTCCATACATCCGAATGAATTAAATCAAATACATTAGATGAAACGGAGGTGCTATGTGAAAAAGGTAAATTAGAATGCTTAGACACTAGACAAGAATTGCAAGGAAGGTTGAGATCATCCTTTTTATTGAAAGAAATAAAATTGCGATGATGAAGATGATGAAGCACATCACGTCCTGGATGTCCAAGGCGAGCATGCCAAAGAGATGAGGATGAAGTGGTAGAGAGGAGAGCCGGATGCAAAGAAGAACCAAGAGCTGAAGATCGGGAAACAGAAGACGGGAGGATAAGGGGATATATAGGGATATCACTGGGGCATTTGAGAAGCACTCTCCCTGTCACCAAATCCTTAACAACAAAACCCCAATGATGAAATTCAATAAAGCAATGATTATCACGAGTAAATTTTTTAACGGAGAGTAAGTTAGCAGACAAATAAGGAGAGTGAAGAATGGAATTTAACTGAAAAGATTTATAAGGCGTAGAAAAAGATGAATTGCCAGATTGATAGACTGGGATAGTAGAACCATTGCCTAAAGTAATAGAAGCATGAGATGGAGTAACAGAAGATTGAAGCTGACCTTGATCATGAGTCATATGGGAGCCAGCACTACTATCCATGTACCAAGTTTTATCACCAGAATCATTGAGAGAAAGGCCCGCAAAGGAGCCGCTAATATCGAGGCGACATAGGCATGATTTAGACGATCCGGACAAATCAAAGCAACATGTCGAGTTGTTGCAAATCGGCACTTGACATTGGGAGGAGCAGGGTTTGGAGATGCAAAAGAGGGTTGATTTGATTGTTGAGAAACAAATTGCGGGTAAGGAGCACAATCCAAAATACCCCGAGAAGCTGGAGAACTAGGCAACATAAAGGAACCATTGCCACGTCCAGAAGGGTGCCAGCCTGCACGACCACGACCACCGCGTCCATGATTTTGCCAACGGCCACCAAAACCACGACCACGAACAGATCGACCACCATGAAAAGAAGGTAAGTAGTCCTTGGTGGCAACAAATGCCGTGGAGAATGAAGAAGAAACCGGAACACCATGAAGTTGTTCAATACGGGACTCCTGAGTAAGTAGCATAGTCCAGAGTCCCTTAAAGGTGGGTGGAGGTTTCTGATTAGAAGCCATAGTAATGAAAGCTTCATAAGAAGGTGGAAGACCTTGAAGAACAGAGAGGACCAATTCAGGATCAGAGATGGAACGACCAATAGCCGTAAGAGAATCAGAGGTTTCTTGAATTTTGGTCATGAATTTATCAATTGATAGATCACCCTTTTTGAGGGTTTGAAGTTGCAGTTTAAGCTGCAATTCACGAGCAGTGGTTTGTTGGAGAAAGTGAAATTTTAAGGTGTTCCAAGCCTCAGCAGCAGAAGAGGCATCATACAAAAGAGGCAAGAGATCAGTGGCTATAGTAGCATTGATCCAAGTGAGAATCAAGCGATCAAGACGGCACAAATGATTATAAGTAGGGTTAGGAACAAGTTTATCGGAAGAATCTGGGATGGTAGTGGAGGGAATAGGAATAGAAGTATCAAGATGAGGATGAAGATCATAAATTTCCAAGACAGGAAAAAAGAGATGGCTCCACTTCATATAATTAGTTTGATCTAAAGTGACAGGAACAAGATCTTTAATATGAACACCAAAGGGATTGTGGGGAGGGAAAATAGATGTGGAAGCGGCCATTTCTGCTGATACCATGAAAGAATCAAACAGGCTTAATTGATTTGATTAGCCTGGTGTACTTTGAATATATAGAGTTGAAGTTTTACATGATAAGTACAATGAGGATAGAACTCTTAAAGAGATAAATGCACAAGAATTTCAAAAAACACTTATCTCTAAAAACTAACTTTACAATTTCAAATATTGTATCTAACAATTGATACTTCAGATTCCTTTTCTTTTTTATGACTAGTAGGAATTATAAAAGGGCCAAAAAAAAAAAAATGTCCTGCCACAAACAAAATTATTTTCTAATTTTATTGATCAAGACCGAAAATTAAAGGGTGGAGAATTATCCTGGAAAATAATAACGGGTAAATAACAGCAACAGAGCTACCATAAATAGGTTTCCTTGTGTTTCCTCACTTCTCTTTTAGCCGTGTCTACTTCTTCGCCAACAAACGTTGTAGAAAGAAGAAAGAAACTGTCTTCTCGTGTTCTGATCGAATTCGGGTATTCTTGAGTCTCGATTCGTCTCTCAGCTTTTAGGGTTCTTGGATTCGCAATCTCAGGTTCGGTATTCTCTCCATAACGATAGGTAAAAGGCTCGTAATTCCTGGTCGTATTCGACAACCCTAGGTTTCAAAGTTTCGATTTTTA